AAACGAGCCACATCGTCCCAACAAGCCCCCAGCAAAACCCCGTCGGGGAAATCGGGAGCACTTACCAAGTATTTCCGCGACCGGGCGGACAGCAATACCGGCCTGCTAGGCCCCAACATGGCGGCTGACTCCCCGCCTTTATGCATGTCCCCCTCCAGCCCGGCGGACTCATACAGCTCGGGCCCACCAACAGAAGGGGACCTGAAGGAGATCCTGAGGAACTTACCCTCCAAGCAGGATATTGCAGGTATGCTGACCCGGCTGGAAGCCTCAGTCCAGGCCAAGATGGACTCCTTTAGTTCAGAGATCCGCCAGGTCTCTGACCGGGTGGTCATTCTAGAAGATGACAGGGACGCCATACAAACACAACTGAGCTCCCTACAGGCAACAGTGGAACACCAAAATGCTTACCTATCCACGCTCCATAGGTCTATAGATGATCTGGACAATAGGGGGCGCCGCAACAACTTGCGGATTCGGGGTCTCCCAGAATGTGAGCAGGAAGATATTTATGCAACCCTAAATGAACTCTTCAACCTTATATTAGGAAAACCAGGAGACAGCCATATTCTCCTAGACAGAGCACACAGAGCGTTGAAACCCAGAGACGTCATCTGCAGACTCCACTACCACACCTGCAGAGAAGACATACTGAACACGCTGAAACAAAATTCACAACCCCTTCTGTTCCACGAAGCTCCAATCACAATCTATCCAGATCTCTCCTGGCTGACACTACAAGCGAGAAGGATTTTGCGCCCCATTATGGATCAACTGAGAGCTAGAAATATAAGATACAGGTGGGGATATCCACTTGCGCTGAGCGTCACGCACAAAGGCGCCCAGCACACCATCCACTCCCATGCAGACATTCCTCTCTTTATCCAAACTCTCAATTTAATAGATCCGCACATCCAAGATTGGTATGGACCACTGCAAACACCATTACTCCCTCAGCTGCCGCAGAGACCCAGATGGCAACAAACACCCAAGAAAAAGAAAATGGACAACCGAGACCCGATGCAACAGTGATTGGATTCTAGCCCGGAGCAAACGGCATGAACCGCTGTCGGCCCAGGTCCTGGGACCAGCAACCTACAATCCTCTTGAAACCTCAAAGACACCATCTACTAACTGAAACCTGCCTCAGACGACCGCACAAAACTGGCCGAAACGGACTTTCTCGTTACACTGCTAGGCTGTAGAAGAGCACGCTTCCTCCCAGCCTCCTGCACACCTCCCGTGATTCAGGTGACTGTATTCACTGTCCGCTGCTTATATATCGCAATAACGCGCTCACTACAGCAGGAAGCAACAATTCCTCACTTACTATCCCCTATTAGACTTATCCAGCCTAATATCTCCCGCTAATGAACCCTTTATACACAACACCACGCCAAGTAACCTTATATAACGGCTTGCAGTGATAACCACCTCCAATGAAGACATGGTCACAGGCCAGACAGCAAGGTTTCTCTAGCACTAATTAACCCCCCAATCTGCGGACCAGGTAACCGGGTTGGCAGAGGACAGCCGTGGCACGGTAAACGAATTCCACCTATTGGCCCACTACACAGGTTAAGAACAACCGTCAACTAAAATATATATAAAAAAAAAAAAAAAAAAGCTCATAGACATTGGCACAGTTTAATATGTTTAAATCCTATTACTGATACACATGCCTGAATGTTTGATGTGTTGTAAATAATGTTAGCGGATTTGTGTTCTGGCGGTGATTGACTGTAAACCAATTCTCCTTCTGCTCCAACAAGAGAGCTTTTGGTTGACGTCAACTACCTAAGACCACCCCCGCCTCTCTCCCTCACTGTTTAATTACTATCATATGCATACTTGATAACTCCTATCGTATTAGGTCGACACGACCTACACCACGGTGTCACAGAAGCACCCAAGTGGCAAAATCCCACCTTGGGTCCGACACCAGAGGTTCTCCCCTCAGGCTGCCGACGGGCGACTGGCTAGACCTGCGCCTTCCCACAGCCTAGGGGGATAATTATAAATTCAATTTACTTATTGAATATCTGTTTGTATATAAGTTGTTTACTGTGTTTGTATATTTTTTCCCTTCTCCCGTGTTACTCCCTTAATTTCACAACCGGCCCAACCCCCCCATCCCTTCCACCCCACAATGAGCAAGACGGACCCTCCGCAAGGGCCACACACACACTCAGACCCGGTGGCCACTCTAAAGATAGTCACCCTCAATGTGAAAGGCCTCAATACCCCTGAGAAGCGATCCATGACTCTCACGGAAATGCATAAACTCAGAGCAGATGTGGTCTTTATACAAGAGACCCACTTTAAAAAAGGCATAGCCCCTACTCTCAAAAACAGGGCATACCCCACAGGTTTTTTCAGCAACTACAGTGATACCAAGGCCAGGGGGGTGGCCATACTATTTGCCGCACACACCCCCTTCACATACAAAGACCACAAAACGGACGATGGGGGCAGGCTGATCCTGGTGAAAGGCCAGATAGGTCAAAACATGCTTACCTTTGCTAACATATACCTGCCCAATAGACACCAGGGTAAGGCGCTTAAGAAACACCTCCGCATAATTGAATCCTTCATGGAAGGCATGCTAATCCTGGGTGGTGACCTAAACATGTCCTTAGACTCTGCCCTTGACACGACTTCCCAATCCACACACTACCAGACCACTACAAGGAAGCAGGTATCACACCTTCTCGATCAGGCTAGGCTACATGACTGTTGGAGAACCATGCACCCTCAAACTAGAGACTACTCCTTCTACTCTACAGCTTCGGGCACATACTCTAGGCTGGACATGCTATTTCTTCCCCAGGACTACCTACACCTGGCCACCTCCTGCACCTACGGCCCGATCACCTGGTCGGATCACGCACCCCTGTCTCTTGTCGTACAAATCCCTACACTCCCGCTAACATCTTTTCATTGGAAACTTAATGATTTCCTACTCAATGACCCCGCCATTACATCGCGAGTGGAAACCACTCTCGCTAACTACTTCCAAGAAAACACGCTCCCATCCATTTCCCCCATCATAACCTGGGAGGCACACAAGTGTGTCATACGGGGAGAATTTCTGGCAATTATGGCTACCCTTAAAAAACAGAGGACACAAAGAATCGATGCACTCACACGGGAAATTAGGACCCTGGAACATACTCACACCAGGGATAGCTCCCTCCTGACGTATAACACTCTCATAACCAAACGCGCAGAACTGACACAATTACTGCAACGCCAAGCCAAGAAAAAACTATTAAACACCAAACACTCCTACTACGCGAGGGGAGGCAAATGCGGCAAATTGCTTGCCAATGCCCTGCGCCAATCCAGACAAAATGCATACATTTCCAAAATCAAGACACAGACAGGCATAATATCCCACACCCTTCCAGATATCATGGAAGCCTTTCAACAATTTTACACCAAACTGTACAACCTCAGAAACTCGCCCCCCTCCACAACCGACATAGAAAGTTTTCTTTCCTCTAGGCTCAAAAACACAATCCCTGCAGACGTAGCTCGCTCCATAGACATGCCTATTACCCAGGACGAATTAAAATGTGCGATCAAATCAACACCGTTGGGCAAAAGCCCAGGTCCCGATGGCCTCACGGCCAAATACTATAAACACTTTGCCACACTTCTGACGAAACCATACCTGAGGGCATTTAACGCTCTCACAGACCCGCTCCCACTCCCAGCATCGGCACTAGAAGCACACATCACACTGTTGCCGAAACCGGGTAAAGACCCCACTGAATGCGGTAGTTACCGCCCAATATCGCTCATCAATGTAGACCTAAAGATATGCACAAAAATTCTAGCCACGCGACTTCAACCGATCCTGCACACCTTAATACACCAAGACCAATCTGGCTTCGTCCCTAAGCGTGAGGCCAAACACAATACAACTAAACTATTAAATCTCATACACCTCTCCCATGTCACTCAAAGACAGAGCCTACTTCTATCCATAGACGCAGAAAAGGCGTTTGATAGAGTAGACTGGAAAATGCTGACAGCCACACTCCAAACCTTAGGCTTTGGCCCAAATTGGATGAAATGGATGTGAGCCATATACTGTACCCCAACGGCGAAATTGAGAATAAACGGCCAATTATCAAACCCAGTACACATTAGCAACGGCACGAGACAAGGGGTGCCCTCTCTCCCCCTTACTCTTTATCCTCTCTTTAGAACCCTTTTTGCAGGGAATAAGAGACAACGACGACATTCACGGATTCACTGTCCACCCACAGGAGTTTAAGGTCTCTGCATTTGCAGATGATCTACTATTCTCCGTCATGGACCCACTCACTTCCCTACCACCCCTGCTTGCAGAACTGGAGGCATATGCAGAACTATCCAACTTTAAGGTCAACTACACAAAAAGCGAAATTTTACCCCTCCGAATGGACAGACGCACACAAACTGAACTTAAAGCTGTATATCCCTTCACTTGGGCCGAGAAGTCCATCACTTATTTAGGGGTCCACCTGCCCAGACACTTAAAACACACATATGACCTAAATTTTACACCACTACTAACGGCAATATCGAAAGATATAGGGGACTGGCAGAGACCGGTTTTCAGCTGGTTATGTAGGATCAACATATTGAAGATGAACACGCTACCTAAAGTGCTGTACCTCCTACAAACACTCCCCATCACAATCCCCCCCTCCTTCTTCACTAAACTCAAACGAATCTTCACGACCTTCATCTGGGCGAACAAACGCCCGAGGATAGCATACTCAGTTCTGACCAGACATAGAGAACAGGGAGGGTTAGGACTACCCCACATTGAACGCTACTACCAGGCGGTCATACTGACTAGGATATACGAATGGAATGCAATACACCCACTCAAACAATGGGTACACATAGAGAGCTCCATGTTCCAATCCCCTCTATATACGATCCCATGGCACGACGAGGGTCGTTCTCTCCTCCGGCCACAACACGCTCATCACCCAACGATCATGCCCACACTACGTATATGGTCACGCATTAGACACCAAACTGACGTCTCACCACATCCCTCACCCTTCTACCCTCTAGCACACAACCCCAACTTTTTACCGGGCTTACGCCCCCAGTTCTTCCATCAGTTCCCACTGACTCAAAAAACAAGATACCCGATGGTCAGCACGGTCATCACACCAAAGGGGATAGCTCCGCTGTCTGTCTTAACATCCACAGACCACCCAACTTCCCAACAATATTTCCAATACGCCCAACTGTCACACTTCCTGAAGGGGGAATCACACCTTCTTCGAGGAACAAGAGCACACACCAAATATGAAACCTACTGTACTACACACAGCCTACAAATCAAGCACTTATCTATATTCTACAAACTCCTTAACACCATCAATCTCACCCCCCTCCCCCATTCACAGCTTCATGGGAAACTGAGCTGGGGATCACCATTCCAATGGGTACATGGCACAAAATATTCATATACGCCCATACCACGTCCATTAGCACCGCAGTAAGGGAAAGCACATATAAAAGAATCTCTAGATGGCACTACTCACCTGCTAAGATACATGCTATTTTTCCAACAGCGCCAGATACATGCTGGAGGTGTGGGCAACCCAAAGGAACTACAACTCATATCTGGAGGCTATGCCCGACCATCCAAACTTATTGGCAGAGGTTGGGAGGGCTAATCAAGGCTATAACAGGCCATCAACTACCACAATCACCTGAAACCTTCCTCTTCCTTGTACACACAACCCACATTCCAAACCTCCAACGCAAACTAGTCAACCATTTGCTGACAGCAGCAAATATGTTGATACCGTTGAAATGGAAAAGCACCAGGGCCCCGTCAGTACGGGAGTGGATACAAAAGGTAGAATTCATAAGGACCATGGAAGAACTAGACGCATCATACTCAAACAAATACTCCACCTACACCTTAACATGGCAACCTTGGCTGACTTATCTAGGCAATAGAGCCACTTAATCACCGTCTAAACCACCAGCTACACAAGACCACCCTAATACCTGCACTGTTCCTACCCTTCCCCTGTTGTTCCCCCATTACTATAAGCTGCAAACTATATCACGCTTGAAGTTATATTGAACTCAATAGAACAAACTATATTGTCCGCTTTGAGACAAAATTCCCTCAAACCAATTACTGTTACCCTACTTTGTTGTACAACTGTGATAAATGTAAAAATGCGCAGACTTTGTTGCCTGCATATTTAGAATTGTTAACTGTTATACAAGGGTGGCAAACAACACCCATGTTTTGTAACTTTATATGCGCAACTAAAATAAAGAATATAAAAAAAAAAAAAACAGCACTTTCACTGATATCATTGTTGTAACATGTTTTACGGTTTTGAAACACTAATATTTGTGTTCAGCATAGTCTCCCGAGTATACCCGTACCCCCCATGTACAGGTTTTATAGTGTTTTTGAAAGTTACAGGGTCAAATATAAGGCCATTTGTTCACATTGAAATTTACCAGATTGGTTATGTTGCCTTTGAGAGTGTATGGTAGCCCAGGAATGAGAATTACCCCCATGATGGCAGCCCATTTGCAAAAGAAGACAACCCAAGGTATTGCAAATGGGGTATGTTAAGTCATTTTTACTAGCCACTTAGTCACAAACACTGGCCAAATTTAGCGTTCATAATTTAACGCATAATTTAGCATTAAATATAAATGCTACCTTTGGCCATTGTTTGTGACAACGTGGCTACTAAAAAAGACTGGACATTTTGAATACCCTGGGTTGTCTACTTTTCAAAAATATATTGTTTGATGGAGGTAAATTACATTGGCCAGCTTCAAAAATGTCCCAAATAGGACATAGGTGCATGATGATCAGCTGTGAAAATTCAGTTGGAAAACTGAAATGTACACCCTCCAAATAAGGTATTTTAGCCCCCAGAGAACCCGACACACCTATACATGGGTGGTATAACTGTACTCGGGAGATGTTGCTGAACACATATTGGGGGTTCTTTGGCAGTAACCCTTAAAGTTCTCAGTACATGTATTCTTAAATTGCTATGTGTGTCAAAAAAAATCACCAATTTTTTTTTTTTTTTAGCATAGATTGGTGGTAAAATGGTTACATGAAAAGAGTCAAAATACCCCTAGTTTAATACCTTAGGTTGTCCTCTTTTAAAAAATATATACATGTGAAGGTTTATTCGTGGATTCCTGACAGATATCAGTGTTACAATGTAACTTTTGTTAATTTTGAAAAACAAATGGTTTGGAAATAGCAAAGTGCTACTTGTACTTATTGCCCTATAACTTTCCAAAAAAAAAAGCTAAGAACATGATAACATTGGGTATTTCTAAACTCAGGACATAATTTAGAAACTATTTAACACAGATGTTTTTTGGCAGTTGTAGATGCGTAATAGATTTTGGGGGTCAAAGTTAGAAAAGGTGTGTTTTTTTTAAACATATTTAATGGTGAGAAAAATTGTATATAATATGTGTGGGTACAGTAAATGAGTAAGAGGACAATTACAGCTAAACACAAACACTGCAGAAATGTAAAAACAGCCCTGGACCCAAACGGTAAGAAAATTGAAAAGCGGTCTGGTCACTAAGTCATACTTTAACTGAGATCTGAAACACTTATGATGTGGATAGTTGAAAAGTTGTGAAGCTTCAAACTACAGGACTAGGGCTGTGACTCTGAGGACTCATCTGATTTCAATCTGCTTTAACTTGTAATGATTGTTGGTTGATTCTGTTAACCATGTCAGCTACTTCTTGGCTGCATATTACCACTACATATTAATTATATTGCCAGTTGCAAAGGTAATAAGGAGTCTTTCAGTATCCTGCTGCTTTAATCCCATGTACACTGTACACTGTGTGCTGAGTGTTAACAGTAAGTCATGGGTAGTTGACATGTTTGGAGTCTGTCAGTATCCTGATGCTTTAACCAGGTGCACACTGTGCGCTAAGAACTAATAGAGTAGCTGACAGGTTTCATAACAGCAGCAATATTCAATAGAAAGCTAAAGCAGGAGCATCACTGAAGATGAGATCATGAGAGGGAAAGCTAAGAAAGGGCTAGGAAGATAGAGAGAGAGCTGGAGCATTATACAGAGACATGTACTGTGTGGGCATCTCTGTATTGCAGCCAGTGCCGGTGCGTCCATAAGGCGGCACAAGCAGAAGGGGAGAGGAACACTAAGGAACAGGGGAGGGAGGGGAGAGGAACACTAAGGGACAGGGGAGGGAGGGAGGGGAGAGGAACACTAAGGAACAGGGGAGGGATGGGAGAGGAACACTAAGGGACATGGAGGGCAGAGGAACACTAAAGGACAGGGAAGAGGATCACTAATGGACATGAAGGGGAGAGGATCACTAAGGGACATAGAGGGGGAAGAAAGACACACGGATGGGCTGGGGATGAAAGTGAAACACAGAATGGCCTGGGGGTTAAATACAGAGGGGCTTGAGAAGTGGAAAAAGAGAAACAGAGGGGCTGGGGGGAGATAGACGGGCTGGGTGTGAAAGAGAAACACACAAACAAGCTGGAAAGAGTAAAAGACACAAAGGGGCTGGGATTATGTGTAAAACACACAATGGGGAAAATAGGGAATAAGATACACTAAAGGGGGTAAGACATTTTAAAAAGGGGATAAGAAACAAAAGGCGGGTTAAGAGGCACACAGGTGAAGATGCTTTTTTTGGGGGGGGTGCCAAAATCATCTTCGCATGTGTACCCAAAAATCCTTGCACCGGCCCTGATTTCAGCTCTATGTAATCCATCACAGTGATCCTGGCTGTGTGGAATAGTTATTAGTTTCTCCTTATTGTGTCCAGCTAGGTGTTATTTCTCTGTATTTTACTCATATCTACCTGTGGAATGGGTATCTCTGTAGTCTACCCATCTCTGTGTAATGCAAAGGTATCTTTGTATTGTGTCCAGCTCAGTGTATTGTATAGGCATCTTTGTGTTGTGCCCAGCTCTGTGTATTCATTTTTTTTTTCTCAGCTCTGTTTGTAGTATGGTTATCTCTGTATTGTACTCAGCTCTATGTATTTAATAGATATATTTATGTTGTACTCAGCTTGTTTTATTGTATGATCATCTCTGTATTATGATCAGCACTCTGTATTGTATGAGTATCTCTGTACTGTATAAGGAGGAGTAACATTCTGGGGGAGGAGTCCGGTGCCCCACCATCTTAAAACTTCACCAGCCACCACTGATGAAAACATATACGAAATAGAACAATCACCAGTCATGCCCCTCAAACTTTGATCCCCCAGATTTTGTTGAACTACTACTCCCATGCTTTCTTGGCCATCTATTACATTTGAATAATTCTAAGCCATCAACATCTATGGGGGCCAGAGAGTTTGAGATCCATGTCCTACGTGGTCAGACTGGTGAATGAAAGGAAAGATCTAAAGCTGATGGCAAAGGTTCTAATACCAGGAAATCCAAGGATGCAGATTTATCAAGCTGGGAAAGCATAGAAACTTTGCATGGCTCACTCCCAGTCATCTATAACCTCTACAAGCTACGATACTTTGCATTGTTTTTTAACGTGGTTATTACACCAGCATTGTCACATATTATCAAGCAGCAGCTGCGTACTGTAATATAAAACACCACCCTCCCCACTACCCCGTGGCCATGAGATATCAATAGTTTTCAAGATAATGTTTAGCACACGGATTTTTGTTGTTTAGTTAGTTGGTTTAGGTAAAACATTTTAAAAATTAAAAATTTTTAGAATTCCGTCAAATACTGTTACTCATCTGATTTCAATTTATTTAGCCTGGCTTGATTTGATTTATTTCAGTTTTCTGTCTCTCCCAGGAATAGTTAAGCTCTGTTTTTGGCAATAAAACACCCCTACAGAATGTGGATAAGCGAACGACACGCCGTTTACACTCAGACTAAACCCTGCACATACTGCGCTGCCCAACATGCTGGTGTTCTGCAGCCAGAACAGAGTGAGCCTCTCTGAGCCATGACAAGAGTGAACGCCAATAAATTACAAAGAACTCTAAGGAATTAGTGTGATTTGTCAAGCTTCTTGTCTGGCATTATGCAGATACATGAGTCACAAACTCTCATTTGTCATTAAATACAAATGTAAAAGTACTTAACAGAACCTAAAATGCAGACAAACATTTCATACCTTTCTAATGGTTGGGTTACCTTCTTTACCCCAGAACAGCCAGAATTCTTCATGGCATGGATCCAACGAGGTGCTGAAAACATTCCTTAGAGATTCTGGTCTGGTCCATGTTCACATGATTGAATAACGCAATTGCTGTTGATTTGTGAACTCCACATTCATGCAGAAAATCTCCTGTTTCACCACATCCTGAAGGTGCTCTATGCAGTGTTCCCCAACCCAGTCCTCATGGACTACCTACAGTCCAGGCTTTGTCAGTATCTCCAGTGGAATAAAACAGGGAAATACAAAAATCCTGGACAGTTAGTGGTCCATGAGGACTGGGTTGGGGAACACTGCATGGAATTAAGATCTGGTGACTGTGGAGGACATCGGATTACACTGAATTTACTGTTATGTTTTGAGAACCAGCTTTCGATAAGCATGTGGTTTGTGATAATGGTATGTTATCCTGCTGGAAATAGCATTTTGAACACTGAAGCCATAAAGATATGCACATTGTGAGCAAGAATATTAAGGAAACAATAATAATTCACACACACCTCAAACAATAGTGTAAATAAAATTGTAATAGAAAAAAAAGGCATTACCCTTTTCTTTTCTTTATAACACCATAGGAAATCCTCAATGTTCCAAAAATAAAAATTCACAACACATAGGTTCTACAGGTATAAATAAATATGGAACATACATCATACAGGCACAATTTCCACCACTACAGTCTTCTTCTCTTAATTTCAGTGGCAGACAAGGATATGCAAGAAAATATAAAAATACATCACGAGTCACAAAATTTTGAAGTGCCTGTTTTCACTTATACATTGTGAGTTCAACCAGTAAATTAAAACCCTTTGGTGTTTTAACGGTACTAGTATATTAAGGAAGGCTGTGACATTTAAAAGATGCTCAACTTATTCAAGGAACTTAATGTATGCCCCAAAAATAGAAGGATGACATGAAAGGCTGGACCCATGGATTTTTTTTGTTTTCACAAAATTATGTCCCTTACATCATGGTGCAGTAGAAATAGATTTGTGGGATCACAAAACATTTTTTTCAATGTTCTACTTTCTATTTTTGGTGGACTTGACTCATGGCACTAAAGTATGTAAAGCTGATCATAATTTGCTCCCACGCAATTTTACTCATTTACAGAATCTATTTCATAGAGGTTATGTGTTTTGATTACTATTTAGACACAGTATATAGAGTAGAGATAGACAACCTTTGGCACTGCAGATGTTTTGGACTAAACCTCCCATGATGCCTTGCCAGCATTATGGCTGTAAGTGCATTGTGGGAGATGCAGTCCACATCATCTGCAGTGCCGAAGGTTGCCTATGCCTGACCTAGAGAGTATATATATTTTTATAGCTGTAAAAGTCACAACTGTTAGAGTGAATGATGAATTCCAACAACTAGGTGCGTCGTCTGCCCACCCAATGCCTTCTGAATCCCTACCTCTTAACTTTGAAAATCATGCAGAAGATATTGGGCACCTTGAAGGTTTAAGTTGTGGATGTGTATCTAGTTTTGTTCTTAAATGAATAGTCAGAGTAAAAACAGAAGTAGTTTACTAATCAGTTTAAAGGATTGTTATGTAACTAACCATTTCTCCAATACTTCCTTCCCTCAGTTGGAGGTTTCTGACTGTTACTCAGTCTGTGGTTCCTCATTTTAGAAGTCTTTGTGAGTCCAGTATTTAGTTACACTTTGGCATAGGACTGATTACCCAGTCGGATCTGCAATAAATAAATTTTTTGTAATTATGTAGCATGCAGTCTCATTTCCGTCAAACAGTCTTTTGGTTAATAGATGTCGAGCCTCACACGATGAGAGAAACTCTCCAGACCCCAGGGCAGATGTGCAATGATGTGTATCCTTCATAGGTTTAAAAAAAAAAAAAAGAAGGAGTTGCAGGTGGTCAAATGAGGGGAGGAGCTGTACATATAGGGGCTAGTGTAGAGGATGGCACACTGGGTGATGTTCCCCAGATGTCTTGTGTGGTAAGCTGCCAGAGGGTGCCTCTGCCTGGGTAATGCTTCCTAACCTCCAGAGTAGAACATCCTTGACCATGACAGATTATTTCAGATTCATGGAAATCAGAGACTATGCCAACCAAGCAACACTCAAATAGGCGGCACGTAAGCTAATGACTTTCTTTGAAAGACTACATGTAGAAGAAATATATCACAAGGGTCTCATAACTCTGTTATATTTCCACTTGGGTTCGAACACTCTACATTGGGGGGAGGTTAACATGCATGGACCAATAGGAGGCTCATATGGAGGTAACACTAGAAAACACACACTGGGAAGACATACGGGAAGCTAATAAAACAACATCCATATGTGTAACCATGCAGCACTATTTTTCGATGGTACACCACACCTACAAATCTATTCTATGCATAAAACTCCCGACGATCTCTGTTGGAGCCTATGTGGAATTAAAAGCAACTATAGACAAATGTGGTGGGATTGCCCAAAGGTCGATACATTTCTGAAGGGAGTGAGAGACCTGTTGACACAGAGACAAATAGAGCTAGACCCCTGGGTATAACTATTATCTAAACCAATGGAGGGTTGGACATCAACTGAATGAACACTTTTCAATAGGATCACTTTAGCAGTCAGACGTGATTTGGTTCAGACCTAGTTGCATTCAGAAACACCATCCATAGATGAGGTGATCCTGAAAATATGGGATAACTATCTAGTCTAGTGGATAAATTAACTGCCCAAGTTGAAAACCTTCCATAAAGTTTGGGAACCATGGGATAACTGACAGGGATGAGAGAAAGGTAGGAGGTAACTCACTCAGACGGCCGGCCTTTCTATTGCTACTTCTATTGCTATGTTTTCTATTTCCCAGTTTCTGTACACTACAAAAAGTTAAAATTGGACAGCAGGCTAAATTGAACAATGTTTCATATTTGACCTGTTTATTATTTGTTTAAACACATTAATGAATGTACTATTACTACTATACTTGCTGTCTACTAATAAATAGAGAATGGGGGGGGAAAAGAAGCAATACGATGTTGATGCAGAGATAACTACAGTCAATTTAAGTCCTATGCCATAGCCGTCACAGAAACTGTGAGAAGGTTTCTTATTTGTTCCTCTTAGTTTTTTTTTTTTTAACTTAGTTTCTATTATATATTATTACAGAAACTGGAGAATAGGAGATTTTAAAGAACCCAAACACCATAAGCAATACAGCCAGAAACGCCCTGATGATAACCCACAGTAAGTAGTCAAACCATTGTAGTATGGATTGACACCTAATCTGGATCCCACCAGTGGCAGTGAGATGTAGTGGTTATCATGATTAAAGTCTTACTTTAAGTGCTGCTTATCAAAGTGCACTGTCCCAAATCCCTATGTCCATTTAAATAGCATATGATGGTCGTACAACTGCAATTACATTCCACTAAAAGGCAAAATCTCATGTTGACAAAGGCACAGGAGAAGAGTAGAAACGTTGTTTGTTGTTTTTGTTGCACTCCGAGATAAACCAAACACGTGTGCCCAGACATTTGTATTTAAATTGACGGGATGTATTTGGGAGCCTGGCCCCTCCCCAGTTTGAAAGATAACTGCTGGGAGTATTCCCCGTTGAATAATGTGTGCATTTCTCTCTCCTTTGAAAACATGCCCAGTAGGTATGGTAAAGGCTAACATAGCAATAACTTGGATTAGTGTCTGACAGTTATTTTTTTTAAGAGTAGTGAATCAGCCTTGGATTCAGTTACTAAATCACTTTTTTTGTGTGGTAAATTAACAACCAAAATGCAAAGTTTAGTTTAAAATAGGCAAGTTGGATACATTGTCTAGAAACAGACAGGGTTGTTCACTAAAGTGAGAATAGTTAGGAAATCAAAGTAGATTTCTAATTTAAGGCCAAACTAGTTGATATGGAAGCAAAGCTGACTTAGAGATTTTTTCCCCCCCCAATTGTGCTATTTTAACTTTAAATGTGAAATTCTCACTTTATTGAATTAGCCTGGGAGTTTTTGTTGTATTAATAAAATCACACCAGCAGATGGCGCAGTTCACTAATAAAGTGAAAACAGTGACTACGTTGGGTGAATTATAACAGGATTATTTACTAAACTGAGAATTTCAAGTGAAAGCAAAGTGAATTTAGAATTTTAGGCCAAAATAGCTGAACTGGAAACATTTTCCAAGTCAGCTATGTTTCTAACTATTGTGTCCTTTACATTTGAAATGTGAAGCGCTACGGAATCTGTTGGCGCTATAAAAATGTCAATAATAAAAGTAATAAAATGTACCTTGACTTACAATTCTCACTTTGGTGATTAACTCTATAATAAAAGGGATTCTATAGTGTAAGGAATAAAAAGCTGTATTACTTACAATGAAGAGCCTTCTGGTCCCCCAGGCTCATAACTTACATGATTCCAGCTGCGACCCCTGCGACCGCGGTATGTACGCCTCTGACTGTAAGCACAGCAAGCTCATTAGGCCCTCCACATAGGAAATATTTCTTCAATGCTTTCCTATGGGTATTTTACTGACGCCGGATGTCCTCATGCAGAGTGTGAGCACGTCCAGTGTCAGGCGACCAAATGTCCGTAGTAACCAGGAAGTGTCTCTAGTGGCTGTCTAATTGACAGCCAATAGAGGCAATCTTAGTCCAGAAATGAAATGAGAAACTGTAATGATTTCCATTGCAGGACTAAGTGGGACAGGAACACTGAAACCAGACCACTATAGTGCTCCATTAAAGGTGTTTTCCCTCTTGGATGAACTTTTTCAGTGCCAGAAAGCAAATCAATTATATTTAGAATGTTGCTCATACCCCTTGTAATGAATAGGTTAACATTTGCTTTGTGTCGTGCTAAATATAGACAGATATACACAATGCACACATTGAGCATTTGGAGGAGGGAATTCCAATAGGTCTGAACTGTTGAGAAATTCCAATCTGGATTTTTTAGGATTTTTTTATCTCACAGTAATTTTTGAAGAACTTGTTCCACATGTGGCAATTAGATTTACATTATGCAGGACCACCAGGGAAGGACTACCCAGATGCTGGGAAATTTCCTAGTGGGTTGGCATACCTTCAGGGCCAGTGCACGGCTGCATACAGTGCACCGGCTCGCAGGGCGCGATTGCCGGGTTACCATCAGGAAGGAACCAAACAGCTTCTTGCAAACCAGGCAGATGAAACAGAAAATCTACTACCAGTGGTCAACTCCGGCATGCTACAAGAAGGTAAGCCAGCACATGAAGGGAATGGGGAGACATATGGAGGGGTAGGGGGAACGAGACACACAGTGGGCCTGGCAGAGAGAGTGACACGGATAGGAGGGCTACTGGATAGAAATAGACCCACAGAGGGGATAGGGAGGAGAAATAGATACACAGAGGGAGAAAGAGACACACAGAGGGGCTGGGGAGAGGATAAAGAGATAAAGAGGCTGGGGCTAACAGACACACAAAAATGGCTTAGGGGAAGAGACATACAGAGGGGCTGGAGAAGGGTAAAAAGGCACACGCAGAGAGGCTGGGAGGAAGTAAGGGATACACAAAGGGGTGTTGTAAGAGACACACAAAGGGGTAAATAATATACACTAAATCGGGTAAATATTAAAAGAGGGCATAAGAGACACAACAGAGATGAGGATGCATTTTAAGGTGGTGGAATGCATCATTCGCTTGTGTCTTCTGCTCTCCCTGTAATTCAGTTCTTCAGCAAAGAAGTCTATGCTGAAGAAAAAGACCTCTTATTAAATAGGCTTTTCTATTTTGCTAGCAATCCTAACACCATGTAGAGATAGAAGTTGTAATTGATGTGATTTGGACGGTAATTTTAGTTATATACACACAAACACAAATATGTATATATACACATGTATATTGATGTGTGTATTAGTAATTTATGGAATTATGCCTATAATATTTGCATATATATTAATATACATGTATATGCATAATGGACACAGAAATGTAATTGATGCTCATATAGATTTTTTTTCAAGGGTTGCTTTTAGTTCTCAATCTGGCTCTGAGGACCACACACCTCCCAACAGTCATGGTTTCTGCAAGTCTGTCCCAGTTTTGGGGTTCTGTCCTGCTGTACCTAAGAATGCTATATACACCATGTTTTTTGTTTGTTTATTTATTTTAGGGACACATATCTTTCTTAGCTTTTTTTTGTTATGGTTCACACTCCCTTTGAATTCCCCCAAATTCACTAATACTTGTTCCATGGACTATGTGGAATCTTTGAAGCCACCAAAGGGTTAATAATCAGAGGTATTGACTAAAGGCCAGGGGTAAGGAACATTCGACATCTCAGATGTTGTGGACTACATCTCCCATGATGTTTTGCCAGCATTATGGTGACTAAAGTGTGATTGGCTGGGAATTCATAGGAAATGTAAAGTGAATTTCAGATATTAGGCCACAATAAATAAATTAGAAAAAATAACAGACTTCATTTTTCCAGTCTGGCTATTTTTGCCTAAAATGTTTAATTCACCTTGATTTCACAATTCATACTTCACTGAACAAACAGCTTAACATTTCGAGAGCTCTGTAGGCGTTTGAAACAGTTTAGTAGGAGTACAATGCGTTCTAAATGGAATTCCTGTCATGATAGAATTATTAAATGGACAATATCCAATAATCAGGCAATTCTTTCAATTGCTTGCAAATTTGATTACAGAGAGAATTTTAATTTAAAGGGACACTACCCCGAAGCACTTCAGCTTGCTGCTTTATGTTTGAAAAGTGTTCTTTCATTTTCTAAAAAGTGCAGATTTCAATAAAAATTTTCACTTTTATAAATTAACCTTTAAAATTTTTGCAGTCCATGATTGTTAATTTTTATTATTGTTCTCTAAATTGGACAGCTATTGTCAGATAACAAGGAAGTGAAACATTCACATTATCAGGCAGGCAGGTGATGGGCCGGGTTTTGTTTTTCATCAGGCCAGGCTTTGTTTTTCATCAGACCAGTGGGAGATGGCTTGACAAAAAAATAGGGAGAAAAGCAACACTGCCCGAGTACACTAGTACCGCATTCCAATGACAACAGTTCATAGAAATACACCCCTACAAACATACTCTATACAAAACATGCTTACATTCAAACCCACAAACACAGCCCTGCAAGGATGGGGAAATGGTAAATCCCCAGCTGGCATAATACTGTGGGTTTTGTATGACAGATCGGGATCTACATTTTGGCCATCCTTGAGCCCCAAAATAATTTCTTGCACTGCTCAGGGCTTGCAATGCCATGCTACAAGTGGGTGCATTTCTGCTAAACAGTGAGCAGCCAGTGACTGCTTGCCATATCAAAGGACTAGAGACTGGGCAGATCTTGCTGCCTAGTTTCTAGTAATGTACACCTCCCCAGTGCCCACATCGGGTGGGGGCTCTAACTTGTAGAAAAGGAGATAGTTAAATCACTCTTCACACCCATGTGCCCTCATGGTGGGGCTAACATTTTTTTAAAAATTAAGGTGAGCACTATAATTAAAATGAGCAGGGACACTTATTGTCTCTTCCAGCCCCCACCCATGGGTCAGCAGATGGGAGTTCTAATTATCATATTAGATAATGACCCAATGTGTGTCCCCAGATCCAATCCATGGTCAGGGGTGGGAGCTTTAAATAAATAGAAAGTGGGTGGACATGCCATTGTACATCTCTATAAAAATGATACTCATCCCTTCTCTCCTCAGATAGCAAAGGGTCCCAAAACCCCTAGCAACCACCCAACCAAATTTAAAATAAAAATACCTGGGGGAAGGAAATAAAACTAATACCTGTAAAAAACAAATCTCACACTTACCATTAGATTTCAACTTCCATCCTCTTTTGTTCAGCCTAAAAAAGGCCAAATAAAAATCCATTTTGTCCCATGGCAATTTTGAGAATGAAAAACTGGATCACAAAAAAAGCCCATGCAGGGACCGGCTATAGACACCAGAATCACTACATTAAGCTGTAGTGGTTCTGGTGACTATAGTTTCCCTTTATGATCTGTTATTTTTGTCATTAAAAATAAAGCATTGTAAGTTTATAAAAAAAAAAAAAAAATGGCTCCTAACTCATTCAGCTGGCTCCTAGATTTAAAGCAAAATTTTCAAGCTCTGGTCAAATGAGATCCTTGTAAAAACATGGCAAAGAAGGCTCTACAGAGATATTTAATAATTAAGTGCATTAAAATGTCTTTGGTAGATCGATCATTTAAAAGTGAGGTTAAAATGGATAGCTTTCGGCCTTCCAACATACTCGAGTAGCTATGAAATACAATAAACCTCTGTGTAGACTTGCTGGCATTTAACACCCATGGGAATATCGCAGCATTGCATAAACACTCTGCCTGCAAATCACAATTTACGAACCCACGAAAACTCCTTAGAGCCTGGCTCCGGAATGTAGATGAGTGAAGCGAATCTAACTGCACAAGATTTAACTTGTCTGATACACACAATCATAAGCAATGTGTCAGTTATTCCAATAAAACACCAACAATAACGTCTTCACGTAGCTCGTGGTTCTATTCATATAAATGTAGGAGTCAGTCCATTTTTTATGTTCAAATCCCTCTTTCCCTCCTTTGTATCCGAATGTAGTTTTCATTAGAATCTCAGACCGGATTATTTACCATAGTGAAAATTTAAAGTTAATTTAAAATAAATTTCAAATTTAAGGTCAAGTTAGCTGAAATGGAAAAATTCTCTAAGTCACCAATGCTTTCAGTTTGGCTGCTCTGGCATTGAATTAGAAATTCACTTTGAATTCTCACTTTATATATAGTAGCTGTCTGCTTGTATATAAAGAGCATTACATAAACAATTCCCATAATAATGAATATTTCAGCTACGATAAAATCTGACCAGTTTAGAGTTTGTAGTAAAATGCACAGAATTTGTATCTTGACACGGATGTGGTGTAAACTTTACATGTGATTAGAGTTAGTAGGTTTATTTTCTTTAGCAACCGATGGGTCATACAAAGCAAATGACTTTAAATTGAGAAATCCATGAGAGCATATGTTCCAAGTGTCCCTATTGAGGAGGAACCGTCCCTGTTCTGGGCCCAAATCCCTCAAATCCCTCTATATCTCAATGTTCCTCATTTCTAGGAGTTCCATGTTGTTAGTGTGTCTGAGTATATAACAAAGCTCCAAAGCTGTAATACTCATAGTAATGTGTCTTTCAGTGTTAATTTTGTCGACTAACAATTTTAGTCTACTTACATTTTTGAGATTTAGTTGACTAAAACTAGACTAAAATATAACAATTCAGATGTCTAAAATACCACTAAAAACTAAAACTGACTAAACCTAAATTGAAATTTGCCACCAAAATTAACACTGCACAGAGGGGATGTAGAAGGGACAAAAGAGATAGACTAGGGCTTGGGAGAGAGACACCTAGAGGTGTTGGGAGGAGACAAAGAGAGGCTGGGGAAGGGGCAAAAGAGACAGACAGGTAGAGTCTTTAAAGGTCCACTATAGTCAACAAAACAACTTTAGCTTAATGAAGCAGTTTCGGTGTATAGATCATGCCTCTGTAATTTCACTGCGTGAAATCAGTTTTGTTTCTGATGCAGCTCTACCCATACCTTCTCTGGTTGCGACTGACACAGCCTGCATGAAAACAGATTTGTTTCATTTTCAATCATATGTAACTTTCTTTAAAGGTTTTTCTCTCCTGCTCTGTAAATTTAGATTTAATTACATAAAGGAGGCTCCTGTAGGGTCTAGAAAGCTATTAGCAGAGCAAGAGATGAGAAATTCTAAACTTAACATAATTTACAATAAAGGAGATGTAAACATTAGATGACTCTTTACAGGAAGTGTTTAGGAAGGCTGTGTAAGTCACATGCAGAGGAGTGCCTAGGGTTGCATAAACAAAGTGATTTAACTCACAAATGGCAGAGAATTGAGCAGTGAGACTGCAAGGTCCTTTAAGGACCGCTGACGGTTCAGGACCATCACTGGAAAAATCCCCTTGAGGAACGATGACGGTCCTGAACCGTCATAATGGTAATATTTACTAACCCATTCCTGGCGTTACACCCGGTCTGGGTGGACTGCCTGACAGCCCAGGCAGTCCCCCCTCGGCGAATTAGGCCCCCGCAGCCATGTGAGCGCTCTAACAGAGCGGTCACATGACCGGAATAGGTGCCTGTGTATCTGCCTGCAGGGGGACTGCCTGAACTGACAGGAAGTTTCCTTGCATCTGTAAAATAAAATGTTTTAATTGTTAATAAATGAAAAAAATATAATTATATATGTGTGTGTGTATATATATATATATATATATATATATATCACACACATACATATATACACACTGCTCAAAAAAATAAAGGGAACACAAAAATAACACATCCTAGATCTGAATGAATTAAATATTCTTCTGAAATACTTTGTTCTTTACATAGTTGAATGTGCTGACAACTAAATCACACAAAAATAAAAAAATGGAAATCAAATTTTTCAATCCATGGAGGTCTGGATTATGAGTCACACTCAAAATTAAAGAGGAAAAACATACTACGGGCTGATCCAACTTTGATGTAATGTCCTTAAAACAAGTCAAAATGAGGCTCAGTAGTGTGTGTGGCCTCCACGTGCCTGTATAACCTCAATAAAACACCTGCTCCTGATGAGGTGGATGGTCTCTTGAGGGATCTCCTCCCAGACCTGGTCTAAAGCATCTGCCAACTCCTGGACATTCTGTGGTGCAACGTGATGTTGGTGGATGGAGCGAGACATTGGTGGATGGAGCGAGACATAATGTCCCAGATGTGCTCAATTGGATTCAGGTTTGGGGAACGGGCGGGCCAGTCCATAGCATCAATGCCTTCATCTTGCAGGAACTGCTGACACACTCCAGCCACATGAGTTCTAGCATTGTCTTGCATTAGGAGGAACCCAGGGGCCAACCGCACCAGCATATGGTCTCACAAGGGGTCTGAAGATCTCATCTCTGTACCTAATGGCAGTCAGGCTACCTCTGGCGAGCACATGGAGGGCTGTGCGGCCCCCCAAAGAAATTCCACCCCACACCATTACTGACCCACTGCCAAACCTGGCAGCAGATCATTCTCCACGGCGTCTCCAGACTCTGTCACGTCTGTCACGTGTGCTCAGTGTGGACCTGCTTTCATCTGTGAAGAGCACAGGGCGCCAGTGGCAAATTTGCCAATCTTGGTGTTCTCTGGCAAACGCCAAACATCCTGCACGGTGTTGGGCTGTAAGCACAACCCCCACCTGTGGACGTCGGGCCCTCATATCACCCTCATGGAGTCTGTTTCTGACCGTTTGAGCAGACACATGCACATTTGTGGCCTGCTTGAGGTCATTTTTCAGGGCTCTGGCAGTGCTCCTCCTGTTCCTCTTTGCACAAAGGCAGAGGTAGCGATCCTGCTGCTGGGTTGTTGCCCTCCTACAGTCTCCTCCACGTCTCCTGATGTACTGGCCTGTCTCCTGGTAGCGCCTCCATGCTCTGGACACTACGCTGACAGACACAGCAAACCTTCTTGCCACAGCTCGCATTGATGTGCCATCCTGGATGAGCTGCACTACCTGAGCCACGTGTGGGTTGTAGACACTGTCTCATGCTACCACTAGAGTGAAAGCACCGCCAGCATTCAAAAGTGACCAGAACCTGGTCACCACCTGCAGAACCACTCCTTTATTGGGGGGTGTCTTGCTAATTGCCTATAATTTCCACCTGTTGTCTATCCCATTTGCATAACAGCATGTGAAATTGATTGTCACTCAGTGTTGCTTCCTAAGTGGACAGTTTGATTTCACAGAAGTGTGATTGACTTGTAATTATATTGTGTTGTTTAAGTGTTCCCTTTATTTTTTGAGCAGTGTATATATATATATATATATATATATATATATATATATAATGTCATACTAAGTGTATTTTTCTATCAATATATACATACATTAATATAAAAATACACTTCTATACAAAGTAGCGGCCTACGCCGACCATATCCTCCTGACAATAACAGACCCAGCCCACTCCTTCCCACCACTGCTCGTGCTTCTAGAAGAATATGCAAACCCTCTCGGAATACAAATTAAATCTAGACAAAACCGAAGCGCTTCCCGTGGGAATCCCAGATACAGACCTCATGGACCCTTTCAAATACAACAAAGACAACATACGATACCTAGGCACACTTCTTCCATCGAACTCTCGACCACATACACCATAAACTACTCCCCCTTACTTCAACAAACACATAAAGACCTCCAAAACTGGAATACCATGCCAATCTCATGGATGGGTAGAATAGCATCCATAAAAATGAACCTGCTCCCCAGATTCCTCTACCTCTTCCAAACCCTACCCATCCCAATCTCCACCAAGGACTTCAAAACACTACAAACTAAAATAGATAACTTTGTCTGGTCCAATAAAAAACCTAGGATCAAGAGATCCACAATGTATAAATCAACAAAAACTGGGGGGCTGGGACTCCCAAACTTTTACCAATACTTCCAAGCCGCACAACTGGCACAAATACAACACCTTCATGCACAACTAGGCCTCAAACTATGGGTAGACCTCGAGCATGACCTCCTTGGTGGAGACCACCCTTCCCTACTCTTCTGGCTCCCAAAACACAACAGGCCGGAAACCCCACAGACTACCCCAGCCCTACAAACGTCCTTTCTCATGTGGGACAAAATCACTCGCAAGACTACCCTCATGAACACTCCATCACCACTCACCCCACTCCTTCGAAACAAACAATTCCCACCAGGCATGACACCCCGACACTTTGCACACTTCGAAGATAATGGACTCACTCGAATTTTCCACTTCTTTCGATCTAATCAACTGCTCCAGTTCCCCGACCTGCCTAGACACACACCACTGACCACCTTTGACCAATTCCGATACCTACAAATCTGCAGCTTCCTAAACGACTGCCAACATGTCACCACAGCCACCAAGACATTGACCCACTTTGAACACGGATGCATCCACAACCCTATCCATAAGGGCCAAATCTCCTACATATACTCACAACTGAACTCTGCCTCCACGGCAGAAGCACTCTTATATACCAAGACATGGGAAAGGGATACAGGCCCCCCTCGGACCGGCCGATATCTGGGAAGCAACCGCATCCCTCACGATTTGTGTAAACCACAAGGAGCAGGCGTACAAGACGCTCCTCCGCTGGTATCTAATGCCCCTAAGGCTCAAACAAATGGGCTGCACAACCTCGGACGCCTGCTGGAAGGGATGCGGTGCCCAAGGCACCTACATCCATTCATGGTGGGAATGCCCTAACATATCCCCCCTGTGGTCCGAAGTAACAGATCTCGCCTCTAAAATCCTACACACCGACATCCCCCTAGACCCGTGGATCTGGCTGCTCTCTAAACCTCATGCCCCCCTAATCAGAGCACAAAACAAGCTACTCGCAAAGCTAGCACTGGCCACTAGACGCACCATCGCGGAACAATGGGGTAATCAAAATATACCCACCTTAAGGACCGTGCTCCGTAAAATGGAAGACACCAGAGAAATGGACAAGCTCTCGGCCCTAGTCCACGATACTACACACAATCACAACAAGATATGGGACCCATGGGTCATACACCATCTCATCCACACCTAAAAAGTCCCACAATTAACAGCTCACCCACCGAACACCTACCCCCTCTGCCCCCCCCACAAGATCTCACAACCCAGACCTCACCAGAGCCCCCCCCCCTGCAACTCTCTGCTCCCCAGGGATAATCAACCCACCCCCCTCCCACAACCCCTCCCGCACCTGACACAATACTCTCACCCCCCACAACAACAACACCACACACTTCTCTCAACCCATGCTGAACCACAACAAGCAATAAACACTGCCCAGGCAACCACAAACGTACCAACAAACTTCACTCCTGCAAAGAAATGACACCCACCACCCAAACTCACTCATCCTAAAGAGATCAACTCGCAACACCCACTCCAAGACCACCAACAACACAACATTACAAAACAACAATACCATTGCTTACACAGAGAAACCTAACCTCCCACTCTACACCCCGTAACCCGGCATAACCGAAAAAGACCTCTAAACCCCAAAGGTCTTAGAGCACTCTCTAAACAACTCCAAAGTTAACTCACAGCATGCCTACCCAAGGCAAATTAAGCCAAATGTAACTGCTTAATGAACAATACTGGATGTTTATATGTACAATTGACAGTGTAATACTTGTTACTCCCTCCCTTTTTTTCTACATTCTGTACCCCACCAAAAACCAAAAATGAAAAACGACTGAAAAATAAACAATTTACAAAAAAATACACTTATAATTAAATTACACACGTATATATAATATATATATAATAACTAGATATATATTGTGTATATATATATATATATATATATATAATATAAAATATAAATAATAAGTAAATAAACAAAAAAATTAAAAGTAAATTGATTTTTTTTATTATATATATATATATATATATATATATATATATATATGTCATTTTATTCTAACTGTATTTTGATATTAATATATATTTATATATAAATACACTTAGAATGAAATTATATATATATGTATTAAGGCAATTTGTCTGGATTTGTGGGAGGTGCTGGTTTGCTACCCCTAGCCTACTTAAGGCACTCCCCTTACCTGGCTCCTTACCGTTCGAGGTCAGCGTTGAATGAGGATCCACTTCCGGGTTCTCTCAGACGCCATCTTGGGTTCAGTATCCACAAGGTTTTTCACCACGTTAGCTGTGTCCAGGAATCCTGTTCAGGCCTTTTCCGCCCGTCCAGCTTCTTCTGACTCCGGTCTTCGTCGTAGATCGCGTCCCAAGGACTCCTAAACCGTAAGTCAGACCTACCTGTCACGCCAGGACCGGTTCCCACGGCGCACGGTACAGCACGGGTCCTCGCTTTACGGTTTTTCCCTGGTTATGTCACGAATGTTTCAAGCCGTTCGCGGGGTTTTTCATTCATACGGTCATTCGGCTGAACAGTTTACTCGTACAATAGTCATTTCGCATAAACTATTCCATGTTACATTGAAACGGATTATCATTCGGTTGTTTTGCCGTTCGGCAATTTTCATATACGTTCAAACACGGTTTTCGGTTTTGCATAAATTCATACGGTTAAACTATTCGTTCTAACTTCTGTGTTTCCCTCACGTTTGTTTTCGGCTTTATTTCTATGTAATACGCATAATCCTTTCGCGAATTATATTCACCATTTCGTGTGTATATAACATTCGGTTAAGAATTGCTTGTTTAAATAGATAGATTATTTCTATTACTTTTTAAATGTTTTCAGTATTGTATTATGTCCATACAAACCAAGTCCACTTATCTGTATAGACCATTTTTGACTCCCACGCTTTCAGGGGTCTGCATTACTTATCCATCCATCCATCCAAATGGACTCAGCCTATGTTACAGGCCTCATTTCTGTGTTATTACTACGACACATACAAAGGATACAGGTTCTTTTCAAGCAATAATTCTCGGGTTGAATCACGTACTGATCCAACCAATCATACAATACAAATATATCATATATATACATCACTTTACATCACTTTAAGTATTTTTGGGTATCCCTGCCTTTGGTTATTCTACTACATATCATACATAACGCTGTGTAAAATAGGCCATGACCTCATCCATGTTCCTTTCTATCAAACCAGCTACATTTCTGTACGGATCATTGAACTCCCATGCCAGGAGTTTTTATAATTATCCATTTCATTTCAATTAACTCAGCCTACATTACAGGCCTCATTTCTCTGTCATGACTATGACACATAAGGCTTAATTCCTTTTCATGCATACTCGGGTTGAATCACACGTACTGATCCAACCAATCATACATTTCCTGCACAGTAATATACATATATATATAACCTACATTTCATGTTTCCCTTACACACCATTATCACATAACATATATGTTGTTTGTACATAGGCCACGGCCTCCCTCAGATGTCTTATTTAAGCATGCAAACATTTCTGAGCGACTCATATCTATTCCTATGGTATCAACATTTTTTCAAAACATTGCTGCTACAGGATATAAGTCTGTTCTTTTCAACAATCCACACTCATCATACTACTCTCTTTTACCCATTTTAGGCTGTCAAGCTTATATATATTTGCTCCACACGGTTTATTCCTGTGAATTTGTCATACTGCCAGGTACGTACACCTGCTCATATGGTATTCTACCATACATTTCATTTCGTCCCCCTAGGTTAGAGTACTGGTAATAGGGTCACAGGATTCCCAATAGGTATTTACCCCGTCTTGGCAGTCGCCATCAGTTAGTGGTCCCGCGAGGCCAACACCCCGCCTCAAACGTTCCAGAGGCAAACACCCATCGGGCCACACGTTAGCTAGCCGCCTCGCATGTTGCATAGAGAGGGCCTCACCTGTCACTCCCTTCCCCTGTTTTCTGTCTTACAGTCACCGAGAGGCCTAAAACTCCTGCCACTACGTCGAGTGGCCTCAATAACCCCTCGCGCCAACGCATAGATAGAGCCTCTCAAGCCGCTTGGCAATTAGCAGGGCCTCACCTGTCACCAAACAAGTATAATGCTTTCGCCATCCGGCCTAGCTAGCCTGCAAGTACAATTTGGTGGTTTCATATACTAATTAATTGTTTTATTTATAGTATATCTCAGGAAGGGGTAGAGGATTTCTCCCTGCCTAGCACCCCGGCTAGAGCTGTCACTCCCACACAAGGAGGAGAGCTAGCTAGTCCAGCATCAATCAGATCCTGGACGATCCCGCGTATAACCATGGAATTAAGGAGACGACAAATCCCCTACCCCACTACAGCAAGGAAAGCAGAACTTTTCAAACTGCTAAGCACATCGACAAATAACATGGATGCCAGTCCAACCCAGGAGACATATATGCCATGTTATCCTCACTCATGGCGTCCATGAGCAAGGTCAACTCCAGGCTGGAGAAACTTGAGTCGGTCACCACGGCCCTCACTCTAGCAGGGCCACCCGGTGCTGCGGCACAAACACCAGCCTTGCCATTAGTCGCTCCAGCCATCACCCTGGATGACCAGGAAGTTAGCCCGGCCCACATGATACCTGAGCACATTAAAAGGGATATCCTGGAAGGTAAAGACGTCAACCTGGCTTCCCTGTTGATTGCCTCCCAGGATATTGTGGAAAATAAGACGTATGCGTAGGATGATGTATCTGTTGTTGTCAGATCTAGGGATGCCCGCCTGAACAGGAAACTGACTATCCCTGAATTTGTACTAGCGTTTGGTATTTACAGAGATGTCATCTGTGCGGTCTATCCCAACAGAAGAGAAGAGTTTGATCTCTATATGCACAAGCTGGTAGACCTGGGCAACAAATATGGTGGTTCAGCCTTCTATGACTACCATAGGTCTTTTTCTGCAAAAGTGTCTGGAGCCTTCTCCCAGTATGGAACACGATCCAACTGGGGAAGGATTGATACCGTCATATTTTGCAGACACTTTGCAGGTCTAAGAACACCAGCTTGTGCATACTGCTCCTCCACAGCCCATACTACAAATTTTTTTCCCAACACGGCGGACGGACATGCCTCCACGCAAGGAGCTAGTTCCTCTGGGAATCCAGGGAAATTGTCAAGAGACAAACTGGGACGCCCAATCAAGTTTCTGGGCAAGTCCCAGATATGTAATAATTTCAATGTTGGGTCTTGTAATTACAGTGGATGTAGACTATTGCATGTCTGTTCAAAATGTTTTAGGGCACATGCAAAGACCATGTGTCCAAATAAAATGTATTCCAAGCCTCAAAATGTCATATAACACCATCAAACTCTATCTCACTGGCATTCAACACCACATGCTAATCTTACACCCACATAACAACAGTTTCATGGCCTCTCACCAAATTAAGGCCATACTCAGAGGTATTCAGAAATCAGAACCCACACATACAGAGGCTACCCATAGATAACTATATCTTCAAAGCATTATCTAACCTGCTTGACTTAAAACCGTCTGACACCAATACAAATTCCATCATCAAAATACCTCGCTTTCTATGGATTTCTACAACCTAGAGAATTCACTACAACCTCCACGACCCAAACCACTCCGTTCCTCCTCTATTCCCACTTGACAAAACATATGGATCATTACATCCTGACTTTACCTCACTCCAAAACCAGTCAGCACATACCCGTAAACATTCCGTACTATCCCACGCACAACAGATGGTGTCCCGTCAAGGTTCTTGATGCCTACATACAGCACCATCACTTACTGCCCTCGCAACTGTTACTACAACTACAAGGTGCAGTACTCACCACTGCAACCTTCATGACTTACGTCAGGTCCTTGCTCACACAACTGGGCCTCAACGCAGACAAATACTCAGGACACTCCTTTCGTATAGGAGCCGCGTCCACAGCCTCCAGTGTCAACATCCGAACTCATGTTATCAAAACACTGTGGAAGTCATCCGCTTACTCACGGTACATACCGAACCCAGTACAAGAATTAAGGGATGCTTTCAAAAACATGTCTGGTTGATAAAATGTATATGTATTGGTTGTCTGTTAATAAATTTGATTACTTCATTTTTGCCCTCTTCTTTCTCAGGCCTACCTCATCGTCGGTTTCGGCACACCACAACCGACTTGCTCCTTTTATTATCCTACGTTTATTCATGGTATTTCACACTGTACTATCTTTTTTTTTTTTTTTTTATCATTCAAAGTTTATTAGCTTCATTGGTGTGTACATCAAAAAGGCATACATGTGCATCAAAGATAATGTAGCAAGATAACATGGTAGTATAACATCGTATTTAACAGGCATAGTAGTGAAAGGCAGGTAAATAATAGATAGCTCTACGGTAACATGGTAGATTGGCTGGTCGGTGGTAGCATAAAGCAAAACATTCTCGAGGCGGGGCTAAGCGGCCATGCTGAGCGGTCGCATGTGAAACGAGCTCCATGCAAAAAAGCTCTACACTAGCCAAAATCAGGGCAAAAACCCATCAAAATACGGTTAAGCAACCTGGAGAAGGAAGCCCTAAACTGCAGAGCCAAGCACCAAGCATCCCGACCGAAATCAGAGGCTTCTAACCAGGGATAGACCTGAGGCCCACCAGAGGCCTACTCGGACAAAACGAGGGAGGCGGCCAATCCCTACGCTGACCGCAGCCACTCACCTGGAGGTCTCCCCGGCAAACTCCCTCCCCCCCCCCTGCCGGTGAGGGATATCCCGGCAACTACAGCTTGAGACACATAGGCAAAACTGCAGCGGTGACTGTCCCACACAGCCAGAACAACGCCAGCAATCATGGTGAGTAACCCTCTGAACAGCGCCCCGCTGCCCCCTCTGGAAGAAAGGCTGGATCGCCTGTTTGCCGCCTTTTGGGCTAAAATATACCAACAGGGAGACATAACAGTGGAGACCCCACCAGCAGCAGGCCGGGAAGAGGCAGAGACCCGCGGCCCCCTTTCAGGGTATCGGCAAGGCTGAAATGGCGGGAAGAAGGAGATGGACGACTCGACGCAAACCTCGACACCGCAGACCAAGACAAGCAGTGAGTCGTCCTACTCCCCATCAGTGGCTACCCCTCTGCAGCCTCACCACACTCCCGAAGACCAGTACCCGCCATGTGGAGAACCCACATAAGAGTCCGCGGAGACTTAAAATGGAACCGACCCACAGCGCCCCGGAAAACTCCTGCCCACGAGACTGACCTGCCTCACACGCTGATGATCAATGCGGCTCCCAGTCAGACACGCTCTCCAGCTCCAACACCCCTACACAAGCGGGGCATCGGCTGAAATGACCACACCATAGAGGTATCAGCCCCACACTGCGAGATGCAGACAGGGTGGAAGATTGGCGCAGAAGCCGCACATACTCGCAAGCTGGGACTCTTTCCTGCGAATACTGATCTGGTATTGCCTGACACGCACCCCTAACGTGACTTTGTGTAGCATCTTATAATGTATAATGCTCATCTACTAAACATGTATTTTGATGCATACTGTGATAGCTAACGGCCAGGACAGCCTGTACCTTCTAATCCTGATAACCTAACACTGACAAACCATAATCTTTAACGCAGATCCAATGTTGTATTGGGGCATTCTGTCCTCGCTGTATTCATTTTTATTATACCGATAGATCAGACGTGCCTAGCAGCTAGCAAGTTCTACTTTATATAATCTATGTCAAGAAAGTTTAGCCATGACCACTGTGATAAACGTGTCATTTTTTGATAAGGATACGCTGAACCACAAATGGCGAATAAGTAATGGCGGAATTAACCCCTTCACCCCTACTCGGCTACTAAGGCAGGCATACTTTAACTCACGACCATACTCAAAATGCCTATGTACCCCATTAGCGTACACCTGAACAGCAAATACATAAGTAATTACAGTCATGTATTGTCTAGCATGTTACTCCACATTTAACTACTATAGAAGCAAGCCTATTCATGTTTTGCCCATTCTCCCTAGTAATCACAGTACTGGACTATCTAGCACGTTACTCAACACTTGGTTAATACTCTTTAAAAGTAAAAAATGTGCACATGTCATTCTGTACCCCAATGTTTCATATGTTGATGGAAAAAGTGAGTGGATTGCCTTTGGGGCACCACAAACCTGATTGTTAAGCCTATATGCACGAAAAATAAAGAATTATAAAAAAAAAAAAGCAAAACATTCTCCTATTTAAACATGTTAATATAACTCCGAACCTTGCGATGTCTGTCAGACACCAACAGCCTAAATCGGCCTCAGCAAGCACAGCCTCTAGGTTTAGTGATACAATATTAAAATGAAAACAATATTAAATTAAAGTGAGCAATTAAATGATAAGATAAATATCCAGACTCTCCGTGGAGTCAGGAATAGGGTGGAGGTCCTCGTGTGAGCTGCGGAGTATATTTGTCTCCGTGCTCCCTTGGGTCTGATTCGGTGTACGTGTCTCCGGGCATTTTAACACGCCAAAGTAAAAGTGGGGTAGGAACAAGGCTGAATGGTACTTAGAGAATTATGGTGCAGGCATGCAGTGTTGGGGAATGCTGAAAAATGAGGTTCATCAGTGAGATTAACAACAATATATGAGTGGGTTAATAGTAACTTTTAGGACGGTGTCTGGAAAGCGTCTACGTATGGAGCATTATGTAAAAGTTCCTATTATAGATTCCGGAGCTAGCTGTTCCATCCACTCAATGCATGCAAGTCAGTAGGTTGTGTGGTCTGGCCGGCTGTGTGAGGTTGGTGCTGGGTATGACCCTTGTAGGCCCATGAAGCGTGTGGTGTGTCTGGGTCACCCGCGCAGGGCAGGGAGCAGTCAGCGCCACCCGGTCCCCCAAGGCACCAGGCCCCAGTTCGGTCCCCCAGCTCTGCCCAGGCCGCTCCCCCGTAAGCACCGCGGCCCGGTGGGCACTCAGGGACTACATGTGCTCCAGCGTCCCCCCCCCAGAGTCCGCTCACCCAGTGTCCCCTGCACCTCCCCCGAACCTTCGGTACTCCGGTAGGTACATGGGTCGCTCCGCCTGTCTCACCCAGCGCCGGCCGCTTCTACGGGACAGGGGATGCACAGCTCCTCAGCCACCGGTCCGCGGCGCGCAGTACCCAGCTCCGTCGGGCTCACAGCAGTGGGGACAAGTTCCTCCGGATGCCCACCTCATCCGAAGGTCGAGCTGCCATGTTGTCGGCTCATGGGCTGTCTGGGCTGACCGTCCAAGGCCCCGGCTGCTGCTGGTCTAAAGGTGAGCGCTGGGCATCCCCTCGTGCGCGGGCTGGTCGCCCTCCGCTCCACTCTTCTGATGTGTCTCCCTTAGGCAGTTTTGCCAGTTGGGGGGGTTGGCACGGGCCGAGGTCGGAGGCTCCCGCCTCGGTGTGTGTATTCCCCACGTGGCCGGGGTTACCCCCGCCGGCTGGGGGGAGAGCGGGGCCGTGCCCCGAGCCAGCACTGCCCTCCCCAAAGGTAAGTATCTCTGGCACATGTTCCTTTCTAGGTATGTGGATCTTGCTTATAAATATATGCCGCTGATGTCTTGGCTTGTGGAGGTAGGTAGGCCAGGTGTATCGGGGTCGTTGCTCCCGGTGCTTTGATGGCCTCGTGCTTGGTATCGGAGCGGATCTGGGGTGATTCTCTGTATTAACGTGCATAAGTATCTGTCCTCAAGACCGTGCATATGCGTTTTTAGTGCCGTTTTTTGGGGATCGGGCTCGGAGCCGTTGTGATCTGCTTCCATGCAGCTCGGTGGCCCGGCCCGGCCCCGCCCTGCCCCGTCCACACTGTACTATCTTAAGCACCTAACACAAGTATTAAGGCAATTTGCCTGGATTTGTGGGAGGTGCTGGTTTGCTACCCCTAGCCTCCTTAAGACACTCCCCTTACCTGGCTCCTTACCGTTCGAGGTCAGCGTTGAATGACCCTCCCACCACTCCACATTTTAACATTTATTTCCTTTCTATTTCTTTTCCTGGGTAGGCCCTCTTCTTTCTCAGGCCTACCTCATCGTCGGTTTCGGCACACCACAACCGACTTGCTCCTTTTATTATCCTACGCTTATTCATGGTATTTCACACTGTACTATCTTAAGCACCTAACACAAATATATATATATATATATATATATATATATATATATATATATATATATATATATATATATATATATATATATATAAAAATAAATAAAAATAATACGAAATATATAGATATCCATATACAAAAATTACATAAATAATTTAATAAATATACACGTAGACTTCAAATATATAAATATGTATAAATATTTAAATTCTACATGCATATTTATATAATATTTTTACATAATTAAGTAATTTTGATGGACCTGCCTGACAACCCAGGCCAAAAGTCCAGAGAATTAAATTTGCTAGCACTGTATTTAACCCTGTAGCTTTCTATGACATCCTAAAACCTGTACATGGGGGGTACTGTTTTACTCTGGAGACTTCGCTGAACACAAATATTGGTGTTTCAAAACAGGAAAACATATCACAGTGATGATATTGTCAATGAAAGTGACTTTTTTGCATTTTTCATACACAAACGGCACTTTCACTGATGATATAATTGTTGTGATACGTTTTACTGTTTTGAAACACTAATATTTGTGTTCCACAAAGTCTCATGACTATAACAACACCCCCCATGTACAGATTTTATAGTGTTTTTGGAAGTTACAGGGTCAAATATAAGGGTCACTTTTTTTACATTGAAAATTGCCAGGTTGGTTATGTTGCCTTTGAGAACGTATGGTAGCCCAAGAGAATGAGAATTACCCCCATGATGGTATACCATTTGCAAAAGAAGAGAGCCCAAGGTATTGCAAATGGGGTATGTTCAGTCTTTTTTAGTAGCCACTTAATCATAAACACTGGCCAAAGTTAGCGTTCATAATAGTTAATGGGCAAGGTTTGTGGGTGAATAAGGGTTGAGAGAGTGGTCTCCCATCAATAGCTTCAACAGCCAGAGATATTCTCTCCTTGATAGGTATAACAAAATGAACATCAATGAACATCAATGAGTCCATCAGGGCCTTGCATGAAAAGTTATTTTTGTCAACTATGATCGTAATATCAAGGAGAAATCTATTTTTGTTATTCCCAGAGGACATATCCATTACACCTAAGACCTGTCCCCTTAAGGTTCTTAGGTGCGGTAGTTTTCCCGGACGTATGGGACAAGTACCCCTCATATGTCCTTTTTTACCACAATATAGGCATAGACCCTCTCTTCTCCTATGTTGTCTTTCTGCCTCGGACAGTCTAGTGACCCCCAACTGCATAGGTTTGGGTTCGGACTGTACAGAGAGGTCAGGAACAACCGGTCTGGAGAAATGAGGTGCTTGCCGAGGTCAGGGGATACAGAAAGAGACGCAACGATAAGGGAAAGCCAGAAGTCAGGGATACCAGAATACAGGGAAGTCAAAATCCGGCAGGGGCATAGGAAACCCCGCACCCGAGCAGAAGGGTCGGAAGAGGGCGCCTTCCTGGACCCCCAGGGCACGCCGATGTTCGACCCACGCACAATCCGCCACCCAAGGTCTTTGGAGTGGGGTCTCCCAGATCACCTGGCCCAGTTCATTCACTTCTGGCTGCGACAGCCGATGGATAAAGAAGTGCGGGCATGATTAAAGGCCGAGTGTCCGAGGCCCATGCTTCCAGACAAGATTGCCCATACTCCGGAATTCGATACTACGGTGGTCTTGTTCATGTCGCGTGCGGGCCGGGATCCACGCAAAGGCATCGAGAAGGGCCTCAAGGCTTCACAGGATAAGCTTCTGGACTTGCTGGGCCCACTGGCAAAGATTTTATACCTGGCTGATGACGCCCTCACAGGAAGCAACGCTCTAGACGCCCATGACATCCGGGAATGGGCTCAACGAGCGATCTGTATGTTGGGCAATACTAATGCAGCCCTATGTGCAGAGAGGCGCAAGGCGGCTTTGCTCAAAATGGACTCCAAACTTCTGGAGCTTGGTAAAAAGGAGTTGGGCCCACAAGCCAACGGCCAATTGTTTGGGGAATCGTTCATAGGCGAATTGAAGAAACATGTGAACCTGTTCACTATGTAAGCAAAGCTCAGACTTCGATTAAGCAAGTCTTCCGCAAACCCACAACATACAGAGGGGTTTTCGGCAGGGCTGGTCACCAACGGGCCCGAGCCACCAGCCGCTTCTGGTCGACAGGCCCCAGGAATCAAGCATCGTAAGCCTTCTTCCCATCGAGACCACCGTTCACTATATATTTGTTGTCCGGAAGAAGACGGGAGACTACCGACCCGTCATCAACCTACGAGATTTGAACGCCTTCGTAGCCTACAGGCACTTCAAAATGGAGGGCATTCATCTTCTCAGAGACCTACTTCTGGAACACGACTGGTTCACTCGCTTGGATCTAAAGGACGCCTATCTATCGGTCCCGATAGCCCAGGCCAGTCGGCCATTCCTTCGTTTCCACTGGAGGGGTCGCACATGTCAATTCACGTGTCTCCCGTTCGGACTCAGTTCCGCACCTTGGTGCTTCACGAAACTACTCAAGCCGGCAATGGCGCACCTACGGACATTGGGTATCCGCTGCCTGATATATCTGGACGACATTCTGATATTCTGCGGAAGCGAATCCAGGCTTCGATCTCAGACGAAATTTATAGTGCACTTTCTGGAATCCTTGGGCTTCATAGTGAACAAGGAAAAGTCGTCACTCTCCCCATCAAGAACTGTTCAGTTTCTCGGATTCGAGATAGATTCAGTGTCATGCACGCTACGCCTTCCCAAATCAAAGAAGGAGATAAGACGTTTTCTGCGGAGAGACACGGTTCCCCTGAGACTCCTGGCCAGGATAGTAGGGCTGCTGTCATCCTCCATACAAGCTATCTTCCAGGGACCCCTTCACTATCGGGCCATGCAACGATTGAAAGCTCACCACCTGAGGCGGGGACACTCCTACGACCAAGAAATAGGAATAACTACGGAGGTCCGGACAGAACTTCGTTGGTGGCTCCTCCACGTGGAGGCTTGGAATGGCAGAGCCATTTTCGGTCCAAACCCGGACTTTGTCGTGGAGTCAGACGCCAGTCTATGGGGCTGGGGAGCCCACTGCGCACACGCGTCCACGGGGGGTCCGTGGTCAGAGGAGGAAAAACAACTCCACATCAATTGCCTGGAACTGATAGCCAGATCCTTTGCTATCCGCAGCCTAGCCAAACACATGTCCGATTGTTGCATTCTTCTACGCATGGACAACATATCTGCGGTCCAGTACGTGAATCACCTGGGGGGAGCCAGGTCGCGAGCCTTGACCGAGGCTACCAAGGATCTATACCGGTTTTGTCAGAGCGGAGTACTTACCCGGTCTCAACAACCTCACCGTGGACTGGTTTTCTCGTCATTGGCGGGACACCAGCGATTGGAAACTGGACACAACGATCTTTGACATGGTGAGAACGCTCAGGGGGCTGCTCCACATAGATCTTTTTGCATCACGCACAAATGCACAACTACCAAGGTATTACAGCTGGCTACCGGATCCACGGAGCGAGGCAGTGGATGCATTTCTGCAACACTGGCCCTCGGCAGGGGCATACGCTTTCCCACCGTTTTCTATGCTGGCGAGGGTACTTCACAAAATACGTATGGCCAAAACATCGTTGATACTAATAGCACCGCTATGGAGAAGCCAAGCTTGGTTCCCGGACCTACTAGCATTGTCACAGGACCATCCACTAGTACTGCCAACATTTCCAATGCTTCTCACGAACCCGAGTGCGGAACCTCACCCATTACTAGTACAGTACCGTCTAGAATTGGTAGCCTGGACTCTTACAGGGGATCTTGGGCAGTCTCAGATCTATCGCAAACGACTAAGGATCTCCTATGGGACTCATGGGCACCGGGTACAAGACGTAGCTACATGGCAGCATGGGATGTATGGGACCGCTGGTGTCTGGGACGGGGCCTTGATCCCTTTACAGCACCTGTCTCTGCCATACTGAATTTCCTGTCCTACCTGTTCTCCACTAGGAAATCGTACCGGTCTATCAATGTAACTCGCTCCGCCATCTCGGCGGCGCACATCAATGGAACTCCAGTGGGTCAAGAGACCTTAGTGTGTAGGCTATTAAGGGGCATCAAATTAGCCAGACCACCAGCCCCGAAATATCAACGACTATGGGATGTAGATGTGGTTATTCGTTTTATACGGGAATGGACAGATAATACGGCCCTGTCACTCAGGCAATTGTCGGCCAAACTCACCTTGTTGTTGTGTTTAGTATCCTTTCGACGGGTTTCGGACGTTCAGGCATTCGACGTAGACGGGTTTTCTATAACCCCCGTCAGGGTTACGTTTTTGATTTCGCGCAGGATGAAGACGGATTCTAAGTCCGTGTCCTATCCCTTTTTTCCGGCGGTTCCTCGGCTTTGTGTCGTCGAGGCTCTACTCCACTATGTAGAGGTTACGGCGCCCCTTCGGTCTTCGCGATCCGGACAATTGTTAATCTCATACACCAAGCCTCACAAGCCAGTCACTACAACTACACTAGCAAGGTGGATAAGGTGGTTACTATCTTTAGCTGGGATTGACACTAACTTTGGGGCCCATTCGGTCGGGGGGGCGGCGGCTTCTAGGGCCTTTTGGACAGGTGCCTCTTTGACTGATATCTTACGTACTGCGGATTGGACAAGAGAAAATACCTTCATGGTGTTTTATTTTCGCCAATCATCGCACGCGTCCTTTTTGTTTTTACCACAGCGTTAAAAATGCAAAATAGGAAGCCTCCTGTCATGTAATAAAATTGTAGATTATGCTAACGTAGTGTACAGATAATCTTAATTTTAATAATGACAGGAGGCAAGTATTTTCCCACCTCATCTTTCTTTCTTTCCCACCCTGTACTCTTAGGGGGTGTCAGGTTATCCATTGACAAGTAGTTACTATAGAGACACATGCTGTGGGGTAAAGGTAAAACCGAGCCAGGGGACGCTTAGCTCACATGATGGAAGATAGGGTACACACACTCTCAGATCTTAGTCATGTCACAAGTTATTCTCAAGAATGAATTATTAAGACAGAAAGGTTAAACAGTATTTCATGTGGACAAGTTAGATTAGACGTGTTATGTGGACAATAGTTGTGTTCCAAAACCTTTCACTTGTTTCAGTTCCTTTCAGTTTGACATCGCGTTGTAAAGCGACAACGGTTACGGAGTATTCCCAGTTCACACCGCAAGTTATCAAGTTTTCGCATTGTTCAAGTTTGTTCTACAACACAACTTCGGAACTGTTCTCCAGGCATGGGTACATCAAAGAAAGAGGAAATGGAGAGCCTGTCAGGGACTTATATACTGGATGTACTGGATTCTGATTGGTTAAATCTTTTTCTTTTATTTGATTGACTTGTGCTGCTGGAGGCATAAAGTAAAGAAAGTTTATGCAAAATACTCGCCTCCTGTCATTATTAAAATTAAGATTATCTGTACACTACGTTAGCATAATCTACAATTCTCTGTCATTTATGAGTTAAATCACTCTGTTTATGCAGCCATAGTCACACCTCCTTGCATGTGACTTGCACATCCTTCTTAAACACTTCCTGTAAAGAATCTAATTTTTACAATTCCTTTATTGCAAATTATGGTTGATTTAGAATTTCTCCTGTTCTGCTAATAGCTTGCTACACACTGTAGGAGCCTTCTGAATGTAATTAAAGTTCAATTTACAGAGCAGGAGATAAAAACTTTTAATGTAAGTTACATCTCAGTAAAACTGAAACCATTTGCAGTGTGTGTCTGAATGATTGTATGTGTCTGTCAGATTGTGTCAAATCAGTGAGTGTATATGTGTGTATATGTCAGTGTATCTGAGAGTGTGTGCTGGTCCGTAAGTGTGTGTCTGTCAGTCAAAATGTGTGTTTGTTAACAGGAAGAGGTGTGGCCTTGGCAGGAAGGGGCAGGCACATTTAAATTAGGGGGTGCCCGAGAACTGTCATGCCCTGGGCAGCACCATTTCAAAATACACCACTGAGTGTCCCTTTAAACTTTGCATTTGAATTGATCCAGTGAGAGATGCTTTCGGGCTTGTCTAAATTATAACTCGTCATGGTCATTTTAAAACGCAGTGAGGTAACATGCCTATCTGAGTCTAATAGGTCAGTAAACTTTACTAAGTCCAAAGTACCTTTAATTCTATAATATATCTCCATGACCTAACTGGCCAGTGAACATTTTGTTTAACCCTTTATTAAGACCAGACTGGTATTGGTTAACCTCAATTCTAAATAGAAGAACAAATTGCACAATGAATGCATAAATAGTTCATCTGTGACCATAGTTGATTGGAAGAAGTTTTCCAGCACAAAGATTTTGACCTACATATTGTGATAATGTGATTCAGTTTTCAGTTTCTTTTATACAGTACTAGTTAGCCAATCAATTCTTCTAATCCATGGAGCACTGCAGAGGATTTGCAGATTTTAGGCCAAAGGAGAAGAACAGGATGTATCTTTAAATCCGCTATTTCTTTTCATTTTGACAGTGTTGACCTTAAAATATGCAAATACACTTGTCCCAGTCTTCTAGCCACAAGTCTGTAATAAATAAAATGGCTGCTGCTTTTTAAGTTTCTTTGCCACACAAATTAACGTATAATGGCTGACAATAGCTGGAAGTTTTAAAATATCCCATAGAGGTTAATAAGATGATAAACGCTAGGTGACATCTGGTTTTCATGTTAAATCTTAAAAATTATAACCTGTTGCAGTCTAACTATAAATTACCTTACTTATCTAAGTGTAACAATTGACGAATGCTAATATTCAGTATATACGGCACCTTCAGAGTGGAGTTAAAAGGTGTTTAAACATACCTTTTCTCCATCGCCCCTGTGTTGTCTGATTGGCCCCGCCTCTATGGCTGAGATCATCAATCTTGACGATCTCCTCCAATCCAATGCTTTCCATAGCAAAGTACTGGGAGGCTATTTCGCATGCACAGCAAAATGCCACAAGGCGCCAGACAGCATCTCCTCATAGAGATGCATTGAACCAATGCACCTCTATGGGGAATGTTCAACATCTCCATGCAGAGTGTGGAGATGCTGGACATAAGTGCTGCACACAGTGCAGAGTGTGCAGCCCTGAAATAGGAAGCACACCTAGTGGCCGTATGAGTAACTGCACCTATAGGTGTTACTAGGCAGCAGAGTTAACACAGCCTTTTCTCTAGATTGACAAGCCTGCAGGAACGTGATCAAGGCACCAGCCCCACTACATTAAGCTGTAGTGGTTGTGGTGATTATAGTGTCCATTTAAGCTTTAAAGTCTATAAATATGGTGTATGTAGCTTTTAATAAATAAGATGTGAAATTTGACAAGGCAGATGTATGAAAACACTACGGGCAACTTACTCAGGCCATTGCAGGTGAAGTGCGCATGTAAACAAAAAAGCTGTTATAATTTCCCGTCCAACATGCAAAATGGTAGTGGAGAGAAATTTTACACAATTTAAAAAAAGTTTGATTCAGATAGATCCATTCTCCTCCCCTTCTGCCGTATTTACTTCCAAACGATCTGATACTGTTAATCTTACACTGTTGGATACATTGTGGCACTACCGAACGCAACACTTACCTCTTAGTTTTAATAAGTTCTATCAGACAGCCACCAGAAGGACTTCAGGGTTCTTAAATGACTTTTTGGCTGCTTAAACGACGCAGGACGTCCTCACGCTCTGCATGAGGACCACCAGCGTTGCCGGAATCAACATAGGAAAGCATTGAATAATGCTTTCCTATGGGGAGGTTTAATGAGTGTGCATGCGGCCATTGCTGCACATGCCCATTAGATCTCCCCCGCTGGCGGATGTCAGCGGGGGAGGAGCTTGGGCGGAGTCTGACCCAGCGCCGAGGGACATCAGCGCTGGATTCAGGTAAGTGTCTGAAGTGGTTTTAACTCCTTCAGCAACATGGGATGGGGGGCAGGAGGGAGGGGGCACTGTAGGAATCTCTAGTATCAGGAACACGGGTTTGTTTTCCTTGCACTGGAGAGTCCATTTAACAGTGTGTGTAATTGTGGACAGTCTACTTTATACCTTGTTTAAGGAGGCATCTTGCAATCATGCTATCACCACTACAATGGGCAGAAGTGGTCTGGGTGCCTGGAGTGTCCCTTTAAGGGAAAATTAACAGACTGGAAAATTTCTCAGAGTTAGCTATGCTTCCAGTTCAACTGTCTTGGGCCAAAATGTTAAATTAATTTAGAATTCCTGACCATTCTCAATTTAGTAATACATTTGCTACTGTATATATATCTGCTCACTCAGACTTTAAAACATATATGTATTTCTAGGAGATATGAGCCTACATGAGAGGTATTCTTGATATTTCAAAGTTTCATAAATGTATTCCTGAATTAAATAATTTTTTTGTTGTGACTCATACACTGAACAGCCACAACATTAAAACCACCTATCTAATATCGTATAGACCCCCCTTGTGCTGCCAAAACAGCTCTGAAGCGTGCCCAATGGTAACTGGCACATTAGACATTAGCAGCAGATCCTGTAAGCAGGGCCGCCATCAGAAAGGTTGGGGCCCCTGACAAAGCACAAGGTCTGGCCCCTCCTCCCCTTCCCTCCCCCCGGGCCCGCCCACGCCCTACCTAGTCCGCTGGCAATGATGCAGGACTGAATGTGGTGTGTATAGTGGAAATGAATTAGAATGTGTGTAATGGATGTAGTGTTTGTGTGTATTAGATACTGTTTGTGCAGTGAATGCAGAGTGTGTGTTTGTGTAGCGGATGCAGTGTATATAGAGAACACAGAGTGTGTTTGAGTAGTGGATGTAGTGTGTGTACAGTGATGTAGTGTGTGTTTGTGTAGTGGATGTAGTGTTTGTGTGTACTAGATGAAATGTGTTTAGTAAATGCAGTGTCTGTAGTGGATGTAGTGTGTGTATTAGATGCAGTGTCTATGTATAGTGAATGCAGAGTGTTTCAATTTGTGGTGGATGTAGTGTGTGTACTGTGAATACAGGATGTTTGTGTAGCGGATGCTGTGTGTACAGTTAATGCAGAGTGTGTGTTATTGTAGTGAATGCAGAGAGTGTGTTAATGTGTAGTGAATGCAGAGTGTGTATAAGTGTGTAGTGAATGCAGATTGTGTGTTAGTGTAGTGAATGCAGAGTGTGTGTGTTGTGTTAGTGTATGCAGTGTGTGTGTGTGTGTTGTGTTAGTGTATGCAGAGTGTGTGTTGTGTTAGTGTATGCAGTGTGTGTGTGTTGTGTTAGTTTATGCAGTGTGTGTGTTGTTTTAGTGTATAGCTTGGAGATATATAGCTTGGAGATATATAGCTTGGTGTTCATGAATGAAAAACGTCAAGCGTTCCAGCATTAAACGCGGAAGTGCGTTTCTTTTATACATGTGACCGATAACGTCATCACATTCAGCCAATCATAGACGGACAAAGACGAAACCCGGAAGTAAGGTTTTTTCCGCGTCAAATTCAAAGATGTTCCGAACCCTATAAAAGGAAAGGACTTTGGGACTGCACTCTGTATCCCTGAAGAAGTCGATAAGACGAAACGCATTGGATCCAAGCCAGAACTATTTGCTTTTGTTTTTTTTATTGTTTTTATAATTGTTTATTTTTTATATACATTTTTATTCTTTTTTTTTTTTTTTTAAATCTGTTTTATTGGTTCATTCAATAAGCGATCATCCCACGCAGGGGAGGTAAGCAAATCATAGTTAACATATGTCATAGGCATTAACCATCAAGCATAATATGGATCAATTTCAAAACAGTCAGTGCCTGGTAGGGCGGAAAAGTTTAAGTATATAAGCATATGTTACGTATATTTAAGCTTAAAACATATATATGGCGGTTGTGTTCTGGCTCGGTATGAAATACCGTTAATGGCAAGTGTTTGGCTAATTGCTCGGTCTCGGTTACTGATGCATGTTTTCCTTTCAGGAACATGTATCGTATAGCAATCTGTGCGTAGATAAAGTATGGTTATGGACTAAGTTTTAATCGGGGTACCTTTGCTGTTGCCTTAACATGTTTAACTTAAGCAAGGTAGGTAACTGTTTAGGTTATACATTTTTATTCTTATTGCATCTTCATGTCACCATAGAGGGACTCCTTCTCCTTGATACCACTGGTCAGTGGAGACATGCTGATTTAACCTTCATTTGATGTAAGTGCAATTTGTATCAATAAATTCCTTTTTGTGACTATACTGCTCTATATATATATATTTTCCTTAGAGGATTGTTTTTTCCAAATATACTGCTTTGATCTACACTGCAAGCTTTATCTGGAGAGGAAATGTCACTCCAAAAACAGATACCCTATAGAAGGGAGACGAGCGCAGATCTACTATATGGTCTTGTAAGTTCTCTACCTTCGGGATTGAACTATCTATTTCTGTACATACTTCACTATTATGTGATTTTTTTATATTCTAGATCTTCTGGAGAATTGTGTTTTATTGCACAGGTTGTATGTTTCATGATATTTGTGTGCCACTCCTTTAATCCATACGACCACTTGTTGGTGTAGTAAAGATTTACCTTTTCTGTTGTGTTAGTGTATGCAGTATGTGTGTGTTGTGTTAGTGTATGCAGTGTGTGTGTGTAAATGTGCAATCTGGGGGTGGGAGGAAGGGGCATTTTCACATTAATTTCAAATACATTTTTTATTAAATTAATTAAATCTTGCCATCACTATTTGGCCCTAAACAAAGTCGCTCAGATCTGTTCACTTGCCCATTTTTCCTGTTTCCAACACATGAACCTCAAGAACTGACTGTTCACTTCCTGCCTAATATATGCCACCCTATGACAGGCGCCATTGTAATGATATATTCAATGTTATTTTTTTCATCTGTCAGTGGGTTTCTCTGAGTTTTTGGAAACAGGTTTTTTGGTTTTTTTGCAGGCAGCTGTTTATGCCTACAAGGAGGACCTACCCTGATTACAAAATGTGCATTTATTTCTCTATATATTATATCTGATTTTTAATTTTCTATATGTTATTTTCATTTCTATGTGCTTGGAAGGAATGAGAGAGGCACTTTTCAGCTTTTCCCAGAGTCCTCAGTGGAGCTCCTAGCAGGAGTTTCTGGCTCCATAAGAGGCTGTGGCCAGCAGACCCTAGGTAAGTTGCCAAACTACTCACAAATGGTTTGATTACTTACTGTGACAAACGCCCTGTGGTTTGGTCATTTGCCTCCTGGAGTAGCCTTCTTGCCAGTCTCATGCCTCAGGATTATGAGCCCTGCAATATACCTTGCCCAATGCACTTTAAAAGGCTCCTTTCATGGGATTTATGTACTTTTGATCTCCAGAAAGAGAGACCGACTGTTAGCACTGATTCCCTGGAACTGTTTTGGGCATAGGACCATGTGCACTGTAGGTCAAATAATTGACTTCCATGAAAATCCCAAACCCCTGAACCGATCTGGGTGATTTTTGGATATGTTTTGTGGGGTTTTAATGTGTTTTGAAGGTATTTTGGGGGGCTTTGTAAAAATGTATGTTTTCTGTGCCTGGAGATAATTGCGTTTAATACAGTGCTGACTCAATTATCTCCCAGGCACAGAGGAGGAATTGACCTATTTTGTATGGGAGTGTCCTGGACCTGAGAGCATATGTATTAATGTGTATGTTTTTACTGTAGTTTACAGGTCCAGGAGGGAGTGCCACTCCAAGCACCATAACCACTACAGTAAGTAAGGTACTTTTAGTAATTAATCTGTCACTATTTGGATATCTTGCTCCTGCTTTTCTGGCTGCCAATAGACCTCATTATTGGAGACTGTATAACACATACATTTCAACTTTAGTTGTTTGTCAATTTCAGCAAAATACATTTATAATAGATCTGCAAACATGCAGTTTCACACATTCCCACCTGTGCAACCACACAACCCAATTTACATACAAAAACCTAAACACAGCATAACAGGAAAAGCAACATAGGAAGCTGTAATTACCATTAAAGAACTAAACAGACAAGAAACAACTAAAACAACATTTGAAAGGGATACTCCAAGCTTATACCACTAGTCTACACATCATAATAATACTGTGGAAAACTGTAGTGGTAATGGTGATCCTTTGAATTTTAATACCAAGGTACGGCACCAATCACAAGTAGAGATCCGTCAGACTGATGGCAAGCTTGTGCTAGAGAAAAAAAATGATCTAATCGCATATTGTCTGCTGCCTATAATATGACCTCATTTTGTGCAACAATCAAACTTTAATGTAACATGTGTTTTCTGTAATATAGCTGACTGTATGCAGTTTATAATAACCACAGTCACAGATTAGTGAGAGATACATCTGACAATTATGCAAATCCTGCCACAGAGACAGCAGGTGTGTGTGTGTGGTGGGGGGGGGGGGACGTTAGTGTGGTCTGGGTTACACGTATTCAGCCACATAAGGGCTCTACAGCAATAAAACATAGAGAAGTGTGTGATCGTGATGTGTATTAAAGTATCACTAAGCTCCACAGCAATAAAACAGTAAGTCAGCTGTTTTTGCTTTGGCTGCTAAAATATAAAACTCGTTCTGAATTCACTTGAATTTCTGACAAATTACATTTTAGCAAATTACCCAAACATGGATACACACTTGGCAGAGCTCCTGCCTGGTCGTTGCTTTACTTATATGCACGATGAGGTGCTGGGGTACTTCTCCTAAGTGTCCCCTATCTGGGGCCTAATTCCTCTGACCCTTTTTTCTATACTTATGTCCCTGTTTTATATGCCCCATATTGTTGGTGTGTCTGGGCAGGGCCAGTGCAAGGATTTCTGACACCCTAAGCATAGATTAATTTTGTCGCCCCCTCGTGTCACTCACTCACTGACAGACACACACTGGCAAGACACACACGCTCACTGACACGCACACAGACACACTCATTGACACACTCACTGACACACATACACTTACGCACTGACACACACACACAGAAACTCACTGACAGACAGACACACTCTCTGACTGACACACACACAGACATACACTCACTGACAGACACTCATTGACAGACCCTCACTGACTTACATACACTCACTGACACACACACAGACACACACTCACTGAGATTCAAACACTCACTGACAGACTGACACACACACACACACACTCACTGACATACAGACTCAGACATACAGCCTCCCTACATCTCTGCGGTCCAGTGTGGGGCAGCTCCTCACTCCTCCAGCGTGCTGTTTAGTATGCCGGGGCCAGAGTTACGTCATATTCCGGTTCCCGGCATCACAGAGGTCGTGCGAGGGAGGAGTGGGAAGCTGCAAGAACAGCCTCCCACGCCGCCCACAATAGAGCAGCCTGCCTCCTGTCACCGGTATTTCTTGGCAGAGCAGGCACCTGCCATCAAGTTAAGCAGGTGCCTGCTCTGCCTTACCTAGCAGAGCTTTGGGGGCGGCCTGTGGTGGCCAGATGGCCACCTTCTGGTCCCCCTGTGACCGGAATCGTCTGGGCGCCCCCACTTTCGGACGCCTGGAGGATCGTCCCGGCACTGGAGAGGGGGCGGCTCAGGAGCCGCTCGCTCAGTGCTGCGGACCCAGACAGGGGGAGCCCACCAAGAAATAGCCCTAGGCAAATGCCTAGTTCGCCTAACGGTGGTGCCGGCCCTCCCAAGCAATAAAACTCCCAGTAATATGTTTTTAAAGAAACATTAGGGCTTTAGGAATATAAATGTGTATTCCTAATACTATAGTGTCCTAGTTATTGTTTAGATGACTGCCCATCCCCCATAAGGATGAAAAATAATTTTTGCTCACTTTTTCTTCCACGCCATGAAGCTCTCTCCATAATGGACCTCCTTGGCCATCATCATCATTGAGCTTGATAATCTTTGCCAACTCAGTGCTTTCCCATAGGAAAGAATTGAGATGCTAGTGCAAAATGCTGTGCTACACCAATCACATGGTCTCCATGAGAGTTACTCAGCTATTTTGTTGGAAGCATATCTAGTGGTTGTAAAATGAGGGGGACATGGCACCCATAACACTTGAAGAAGATGAAGTGGTCTCGGTGCCTAGAGTTTACATTTAAAGGAAATCATCCTGAGAATGAATGCACTTTTTTATGCATGACAGTACCTTACTGGCTTTAGCCACTGCTGATTGACATTGCACATTGGTGCCTAGCTTGTTGTCTATAACAATTCCGAAATCCCTAATTCACTACCATTTAGAGTGTAAGTTGTTTGTGCATTCTTTACCCCGATGTGCATAACTTTGCATTTTTCTACATTCAATTTCATCTTCCATTTTAGTTCCCAGTCCCCCAATCTATCTAAATTCCTCTGCAGCAAAGTAATTATCTTGCTCACATTGTATTACTTTAAAGAGTTTTGTGTCATCTACAAACACTGAAACATGGCTTTTAATGCTTTTTTCAAGATCATTGTATTCAAGAAAATACATTGTTCTTGTTCTAAATTGCATGTCAGTTCCATAAAGTATTAGTTACCTAAAATTTCTTAGCACTGTCCTCCCCCTAGCCACACCCCCAGTTGCACCCCTAAAATTAAAGTTACCCTTTTTGTTAATTTGATATATTGGGAGGTGTCTGGTGGTGGGAAAAACTATAGTTCTACTCACTAGGCAAGTGGAACTCTCATTTCTCTCACACATTTGAATAAAACATTAGAAATCATCTATAATCCATTTTACCTTTTTGTTTAATTGGATACTCTATTTTTCATAAAAATGTGTATTAAAGATTTATCAAACTACATTACTATGCAGTAAATTTCAGGCATAGCCAGGGCACCAAATGCAAAAATAAAGGAGAACAGAAAAGCGTGTCAGTTTCTCTCTCTCTCTCCTTGTGCAATGGCTGAAAAGGGAAACATATACAATGATGACTGACGTGAAGCCAAGATGGAGGTGCCCCGTTAAAGGATAGAAGTTTGAATTTATACATTTCATTCTATTTTTTTTTTTTTTTTTTTAGATCCCACAAAAACATATTTTCTAAATATAGAGATAGTATATTGAGTGGGCAGAGTGCCTTCATGACGAGTTTAGACTCTGACACAATTATCCAGGCCACAAGGAAATGGTGGTCTCTACCTCCTTCTCTCATCTACAAAGAAATGCATCTTGGCCTGGCCCACCACATTTATCTCTCTCCACAATGGCAACGTCAACTGAGGATCTCGACACAATGTCTGAAATGAGGTGAGAAAAGCCTTTGAATTTACCAGTTGTTTTCCTTTCAGTTATTGTGTGGGAAGAATTCAAATCCTGATGAAGACCCTCTCTAGACCAAAGGTAGGCAACCTTCAGCAATCCAGATGTTGTTCAGACTCTACTTGTTAAATGATTGGCCTCTCCAACAACCCTTCAATCACATTCATGTTTAAAAGAAAATAAAGAAAGAATTGTTTAAAAAACAAAAAAACAAAAAAAAAACACACAACACATGTTTCAGGATTTATGTTCACGGACTTCTACAGTGAAGTACTTCTTTTATTTTCTTGACTAAGTGCTTTTCCAATGTTTGCTGTATTTAGTGCTTAATTTATTACTTGGTAATTTGGAAATATATATATATATATATATATATATATATATATATATAGTGTATGTAAAATGTAAAAAACTTCTGGGACTTTAACGTTCTCTTTCAACCCCTGGGTCTGGATTCATAAATTGATCCCCATGTCATTTTGTGGGTCCTGATAACAGAACTAGGCAAATCTTATTCATCACTCCCCAGACAACTACCCTCAATAAGTTATTTACAACAGCATTGCATTCCCCAGGAGTACAAGTGACCTATTTTATAGAAGCAAATGTCAATTTTGTGTTTTGCAAAATGTATTTTAATGGTGATTATATTCCATTTAAGACAATGAGTCACTTAACTAACTTTCCCACTAAAGTATTGCTTGTTAAGCTAATGCAATAAATGTAACTTGGGTCTCAAGTCATCACAGCTCACTGTTTAGTGAATAAACCCCTGTTTCTCTCTCTCTTCTCAACTTTTCATATGACTAGGATTACAATTAATATAAGAAGCAGCAAACCAAGGCTGTATGTGGCTTTCATCAATCTCATGCCTTGTGAGTCCCATTCATCGGAAAGAGGAACTTTTATTTCCCTAAAATGACACTATTGCATAAAACACCCCCTTGCATAACTTGTGCTAACTTTTCTTCCACATCCAATCCAATCCAGGACAGCCAGAACACACATAGAGAGAATTGGAAACAATGAGGGAGTTTTATTAAGTATTGAAGACAGTGTGGAGTGGTTGTGTTTTTATATAGATTTAAAATAACAGACAGGTCATGTAATTTTACACAGAATATATAGTGAGCCTTTAATATTAAAATAAAATATTAACCATATATTATAATCATGTGATATATTACGTTTAGAAAACCAACAACTAGGAGAATATTAAATAGTAACAACCCTAAAATACCAATAAGAATATTGTATATGTAGCATTCTATGTAAAAGACTAGCTCCTGATCAGACATACAGACCACAGACACAGAGAGTAATAATAATAATAATTTACACTGAGCAAAGAATACAAAAGTTCAGCTGTCGAATGGAGTTCCCAGTGACAGTGGTAATAATAGTAATTAATAATAATAATAATAATAATAATAATATTTGGCCCACTGTGATAGGTATAATAATGAATAGTGATACATGGTCCACTTGGCATGCACTGAATAAAGTTTGCAAGCAGCACAGGGAGAGCAGGATCTCTGGCAGTCGGACTGTACCATTCTCCGGTGAGGGGTGTTACATTGTATAGATAGGGTGTAATGAAGCAGGGTTGGGGTCTCCCTGTAGATGCCCCCTCGGTCTCCCCCCAGCAGTGACTGTAATGCAGTGTAGTGCAGTGAAGGTGTTAAGCCGGGCTGGGAGGGCCGGTGAGGGGATAAGGTGATGATATGGGTCCCCCTCCTTTACATGACTCAGGTTGGTCCCTCCCTCGGTGGGATCCCCTGGCTGTGAGAGGCGGTGAGCACTTACTCAGTGAATGTCCCGGAGCGGCTCCCACTCCTCCTCCTGTCCCCGGCGGGCAATGAGCGGCCCGGAGCCCCCGCAGCATGAGGAGAAGCAGAGCGATGGTCCTGGCGACCTGTCTGGGCTGCCTCCTGCTACTACTGCTAGTCTACTCACAGAGCAGCCTCAGCTCAGGTAATGGGACGGGGGGCTGAGACTGGGTCTTCTTACTTACAGATTGCTAGCTCTGCGGCCAAGACACCCTTTCTCTGGGGGGCACTGTGTCTGCTTGGGCCATCTAACATACAGGGAATGTATATGCAATGACTTTAGCTATAAACTGACTTTTTAGGTAAAAGTGTGTCTTGGAATAGATATTTTTATATAATTCTTCAACAGATTGTAAGCTCCTAGGCTCAGGGTTGCCACTGTGACCAGTTATGTAAATCATGCTTGTAGATTGTAAGCTCATGGGGTTCTGTACACATTCCATCCCCGTTTTGTTACAGCAATATCCTTTCTGTGCTAGAACTCTCTGTGAACTTGATACATTGATTGCCATTGTTTGCAGTTAACTGCCTTTGTTGTTTTGGCTAGTGGTGCATGGGTTAATAGTTCTGATGTCTGACTCTAGTCCTGTATTAGGTACTAATCGTGAGGAAGAGGGGGTAGCTGATCCATCAATGACGGCTAATTACCCTGCTTTATGGGCTGGTATAATGCCTTCTGCAGATGTAGTCTCTGTAACAATCATGTCTCAGGGTTTTCTTGACATCACATATATATTTGGGGGGAGGGCTGGGAAGCAAGGCTCACTCAGATGGTATGCATGGTATGGATCATTCTGTTTATTTGCTTTACCCCCTTAGCTCTCAATTCCAGGAAAATTGTTCAGTTAACTGAGTGGTTTGGTAATGAAATCCATAAGAATAGTTCTGATCTTTCTAGATTCAGCAGAGCATTGTAGCTTTCCTTTTCTTTTTTATTGGTCTGAGTAGTCTACTACCATCTGAATGTCAAGGTTGACGATGTCTGCCTCTTTTTTTAATATTAATCCCAGTTTATGTAGTCCAAAGTTAGATCAAATTCTCTCTACATCTATCAATCTTGAGAAATTTGGTTTTAATTTAGCAAATCATTTTTCTTCTTTCATTTTCTGCAGTTGCAGGTCAGTGAATAAAACCTAATGCTGTTTGTACATTGGTGATGTTATTTGTACAGTTAAACTGTTCATACATTCACAGCAGACCTCTCCCAGTCATCCATTCCCCAGCTTTAGGTATATCGGGCATATTCATGACGCCTTTCACTCACAGTGCTGCTTTCTGTCTTCGCCTATCTTATCTTCTTTTTCTACCTTAATAGTTTTGTTTCACCCTTTCCCCTGGTGTTTGCCAACACAAATGAAGTGTTTCATCCATAGTTCACTGGATGAAGTGGGTAGCATTCCTAACCCGCAGAATCCCTGGCATTGTCTAGTCACAGAGTCTGCTAGTTTTATAAAAACGCAGTCTGGTTTATTACTATGTCGTCTGTTTTTTTTTTATTTTTTTTGTATAGACTATACTGTATTCCTTACAAAATGCTTACTTAGCCTTTTTTTTTTAATTTATTTTTATATATTTCTCTTGTAGTACAGTAATTGAGGAATCTTTATGACTTTTAAATATATTCCTATAGAAATCTGTTCTGTATTAAGGAAATAAATATATATATATATATATATATATATATATTTATTTATTTCAAAGCTCTTAAAGTGGAACAACTATCAGGAATATAGCATTGTGTTCCATAGTGATTGCTACATTTAAAAAAAACCACTCTGGGCACCATAACAACTTAATCATAATGAAGTTGTTACAGTGTGAGAAGGTCCCAGGCAAGATCATTGGGATGAAGTTGTTATAGTGTCTCTTTAATATACCTTACCCCAAATAACTCTATACATAGTACTGGTCCTTCAAGTATAAGTATTTTCTAGTTAAAACTTTTTCACCATTTATAGTCTATCAATTCTCATATTGACTATAGTGAGTTTCCAGAAATCAAACGGCTATTTATAAGTTCAACATAATGTATGAAGTTAAAGAAACACTCCAAGCTATAGTGGTTATGGTGCCACCTCAGTTTATCTGTCAGACAGTATTAGCACGGTTTGGCACTTAATGTGGGTTCTGCAAATAACTGCGCTATTTGCAGTTTTATCAAGCTGTATATGACTGGATGCCAGTTTGTTCCAGAAAGGGACTCATTCACTGGCCGAGGGCACTGAATGAATGAATGTCTACATGGCATCCAGATTCTCCTGATCAAGCAGAGTTGAAGCCGCATGAGTGCCTGGTGTGACTCAGGTAAATGTCAAACCGTGCTAAAAAGGGTTGCCAGATTATGCAGTCCTGGCACCATAACCACTACAGCAGGCTACAGTGGTTATGGTGCTTGGAATGTTCCTTTTAAGCATGTCTGAGATTCGCAGTGTGTAAAAACAAAAAAAAAACAAACAAAAAAAAACACTTTCAGCCAGTAGATTATTGCATTTCGTTGAATACCTGCATCTGTCTGAGCAGTGTATTTGTGTGAAAACATTGAATTTAATTAGCACTGGCAAATTGAAGCCCTCTTTGAATATTGAATATAAAGCTGCGTGGAGCAGCATACTATGCCCCAAATTGTAGAAGCCATTTCAAGAGCATAGTAGGGATGAGCTTTAGAGGTAAAAAAAAGTTTTTGAGAAGTTGATGAATTTTAAAGTCATCAATTTGGCAATAAATCCTAAAATTCCCATGAGTTATCACTGAATTGGATTCCCTTCAAAATGTAGCTAATTGGGAATTAATTCCTAAATTAGCCATGAAAATGGGCACATTGGCCCCAAATAATTCCCAGAATAAGTAGCTGGAAACTACAAGGCCAGAGCAGCTGAACTAAAAGCATAGCTGATTTAGAGAATTTTTCCAGTTTGGCTACTTTGACCTTAAATTTGAAATTTACTTTGCATTCTCATTTTAGTAAATAACCCTGAATGTCTTTCTAAAAGCAGGAGTATATACCCGTATGGATGGTCTGTGAGAGCTTTCCATGAATTCCATCCTTCCAGCTATCTGCCAAAGCTTTGTTTTAATAATGCAATGATGTAATCTGCTCCAACCACAGGCTGATGTATGTGAAATCTCTAAGGGGGAACCCCTAGAAACGTTGGATGACTTGGCTCTGAACCTATGTTTAGTTAGAGCAAGGAGTGTAATGTTTTTTCCCCCTCTTCTCATTGTAATCTGATGCTGATTGGGAAGAACAAATCTGCTAAAAGTCTTTAAAGAACAAGACAAGTCTGAAGCTGCTTCCAGTCAAACCCCTAACACAGCTCAGGATAACTTCAAGGAATGCTGAGCAATTTCTGTGTTTGAAACCCGCGGGCTAAATAACAAAGGTGCAAAGTGTGATCTTCTATAGAGAGGATCAAATCAGGATAAATGAATGCTGTCCCGTAACAAATTGTGACTTGTACATTTTTAAAAAATTATTTTAAATATGTTTTCATAGCACTGACCTGGCAAACTCCAGGAGCCTGGAGGTTGCGGATATTATTTATATTTGCAATGCTTTGTCTGTCTGTCTGTCTATAGTACCTGAAAAAACACTTAAGATATTGGCCCAGGTTTGGGCCAAAACGTTTGTCAACAACGGCTTTACTTTGATAAAACAGACAATATTTGATTCTCTATTGCCATTTGCAGATCTATAAACTCATTGGTGCAATCCGAGGGACAAAACCTGCACTTCAGATCAACCAATGATAGCATTATAGTGGTGATAGCAGGCAAATGGGTATATAGGAAAATACACTTTTAAGGATATTCACTAAAGTGTGAATTGTCAAAAATTCAAACTGAATTTAACATTTTAGGCCAAAGTAGCTTAATTGGATAAATTGTCAAAGTTGGCTATGTTGTCTCTTCTCCCCTTTCCATTGCCGCTTGCCCTGTGGTGGTGCTGGGGAAGGTAAGTCCCTCATTTCTACATACCTGAAGCTGTCCCTTGTGGTAGGTAGATCTTATTTACCTGAAATAGCGTCACTACCTTGTCTTATATCTTACGACGGAGTTGGAATTTCAGTGAAATTCTAGCACAGTCAATATATTCCTTAAAGAATAAAGATTATATCTTTTTAAATACTATTTATATTTGTTTTTGGAGGGGAGGTAGGTGACCCTACAGGTTTAATGTATAACTGTCAATTTAGTGTATAAAGTTTTTAACGTTTCACTTCTGATATGGCATATGGTGTCATGTCATTTCATACCACATTCTTTAAGGGATTTTTGAGCAGGTGCAAATGGTCCTGTCCATTTTCTTACTTCAAACCTCATGCATATTTGCCAGTTCCCTTTAGCTAATGGATTACTTAACCCAGCCCCCAGTATCAGTGGTGAACACCTGTTTTCTGTTTATTATTGCAGCCTCCTTTCCTCTTGCATACATAAATATTTATTTAAATTCTCTGCATTGTTCATTTTGCTCAGCATACATACAGTTCATCTGACATCCAAATCTTAAGAACTCTGAGCCAGGGGTCTCCTGTGTCAATAGGAAGTGTGACAGTATTGGTGGTTAAGAATTAAAGAGCAAATGCCACATCTGAAGGTTAGTACAAACAAATGGATAACTAAAAGCACGCTATTCTAATAGTAACGTATGATGAAACACTTTAGAGAACACATTTTTCTCCAAAGTCAAATACTTTGTGGCTGGGCTGTGGTTGCCCATTCCGCCTGTTGCTCCTAGATGCTTCCCCTTCACAATAATATAACTTACAGTGGTACTGGGCAGGTCTAGTAGGCCAGACATTTCACGACCTGACTTGTGGCTAAGGTGTCAATGTTTATCTATGAATATTTCATGGTTAACTGCTGGATTTTATGCACCTGAAGGCAATGGATGAGGTTAAAACACCAGGACGCAATAATCAGTAAGTGGGTCCACATACTTTTCACTGTATATTGTATTTGTAGAATAGGGCGATTAGAAGCCAATCCCATAAAGCGCTGTCATGAGCTGAGGGTATTATGGAAGAGAGCCTCCTATAAGAAGCTCGCTGCAGTGAAAAAGCTCTAGTACTCCATCATCAAGGATAGAGGCCTACTGTACTTCTGCTTCTTGAAGTGGTCATGGTGGTTGGAGTCTGGATGTGTATTGTTTTAGCTTAAAACACTTTGCATACTGTGCAATCTGCACTTTTGTGCAGTGGGAAAGCCCCGAATTCTGTTTCGGGTTGCCTAATGTCAATTCTGTGCATATTTTATGTCTTGTCAGCTTGCACAGAATGCTGCAGACAGACGTAACTGCTTTTCCCTTGCAGGCATAACCTCTATCCCTTCCACACTGATTGCAGCTCTCACTGCCTCCCTAACCCTTACACTAATTAATATATATATATTATCTCCTCTTTTCCCTCCCTCACTCTCTTTTTTCCCCTCTATCACCGGTTTAGAGCGTGTGCCTACACTCTGAGCCTCTTAAATCCTCCAATGAAACGCTTGTCCATGGGTCTCAGGCTTATAGAATGATGCCAGAATAGCATTATGCTGTTCCCCACAAAAAAAAGTTTTGGAGAAACCTTTTAAGTTAGACCGAGAACTCATGAGTTTTGGTATAAATACGGAATGGGTCTCTACATCTGAAACATTATGTTTAGGTGAGCTGTATTAATGATGCACTGAAATCTTCCACAGTGGCGACTATGAATTGGATACACCAGAGAGAGTTGAGGGCATGGACCCAAAACCTGGTTTTGCAAAGACTGAAGAGTATTTTTAACCTTGTACTACTATATGGGAAATGTGCGAATGAGAGAGGCTTGTTGATGATGACTAACAGGATCACCTTTTTGACGCACATTTTCGCAAAGTGCGTGTTTTTGTTTTGTTTGTGGTAAAGTGTCTGATTCCATTGGTGTCAATGGATATTTCCCCAATTGAAGAACGTTATACTTTATTTCAGATCATGACACTTTGATTAATTTCCCCATTCACAGTGTTCTTTGCATCTTCTGATTCTGTCAGGCCGTGTACAGAGCTGGAGGTGTTCCGTTAAATATCACATCTTTATAATGAACAGTCTGTACAAACACGATATCCTATGTCCCAACTATTTCATACCACTTCTGTGTTAACCCATTTATTGGTAGAGCTGTTGCAGGAAACCAAAATCAGCCAGTTACAGCTTCTGGTAGATTATTTATTTTATAAAATATTAGTACCATGTAAGCTGTTAATTACAGTTTCCTATTGCACTGCATAAAAAGTATGGCAACACCACGATAAACCATGCCTGTTGTTTTTTTTTTTTTTTTATTATTATTAAATATAAAGTCGTATGGAGTGGATCAGTCTGATCAGGAGAGACTTCAGTTAGCAAGAGCAGATGGAGTTATTCCAAAAACTGGATTCATTCCCCAAATAGTGATGTATGGAGCTCTGACCTCAGAGGATTTTTGTGAAAGTTATGATACTTGAATTTTATGGCTCAGAAAACAAGATAAATGTTCTTTGTGGTTATATCGTTTTATAGTGAGACCCTAGAATCCACATGTATCGGGATTGCCTCATTTTGTCCATAAAATCTAGACTTTGTGTAGAATGCATAATTTCAGATTCTGCTGCTTACGTTCTTAGTTTTTTTTTTTTTTTTGGCAAATGCTCCTCAGCAGCTGATGAGAGTATTATGCTCTTTAAATCCAGACAAATCTTTGGTATCATTTTTAGCCTGGAATATGAATGCAGTTAAAGTGTCGGAGTGGACTTTCAAGCACTAAATTAGGCTTTTTTTTTTTTTTTTCCCTCTCACTGCTTTGTTTTGTTTCTAAGTGTACACCTCATTTTTTGGATGCTATAAAAACTGGTTATTCTTTCTGTAAAGAAGTAACTCATGAAAGATGAGTCTTGCCTGATTTTTGGCACAATCGCCATGTCTGATGTCATTGAAAATAAAGCCCCTCCGTCATAGTCGTATATCACAGTGGAGTTTAATCATGTAAAATGATAAATTCTGCTCTCTTTGTATGGAGTTAGGTTAGTGTTTTACGGCTTCTAATGTTGGACTCTGTAAACACCACAAACCGTCTTGTAGCAATGTAAAATGCTTTTTCAGTTCATTGGTTTAACATCCAGGGCTTATTTATTCTTTAGCTATTAACCTTCTCTAGTTTGGCAGCTTAAAGGCTCAGTCCATAGTTTGCCAAATAGCGGCAAGAAAGTGCGAACAAAAAGTAAAACTAGGCAATATCTCCTGGAAATGGGGAAACTTAATGTGGTTTATAACTGTAAAAAATGCTTCCCACTTTGTGATGTTGCATCAGACATATCTGATTGAGAAGGACCAGATTTCCAAATCAAGAGATTTCAGCATTGTTATCAGGAACATGCATATTGATTAAAACGTTAGGAGGGGTGAGTGTTCAGGTCTATAGAAAATGTGTAGACAATTTTAATCTTAACTCATCAACATTATTTCTTCTTCTAAACAGAGTACACTTTACATTGCCGAATGCTCACGTATTGGCTCAATGTGAGTTAAAGTTAATTAATCCTTTTAAGGGGACACTCTCATAACAACCACAGCTTATTGCAGTATTTCTGATGTGAGGATTGATTACGTTCCTTTCCCAGAGCCAATCCCCTCAGCTGGCAACATCCTATGTGCATGTTACAGCTTCCTTATCCAAAATATAAGGCAGAATTGGTTTCCAGGAGCCAGTGTCCATTCCGTGTCACCAATAGGCTTAATGGTGATTTGGCTTGTGTATGCCTGCACCTCCCAGAATCTATACATGTTGTTTATCCTGTGACTGTTTTAAACAAGGTTGCTTTGGTGTAGCTCTCAATCTTTCAGAACTGATCTATGGGGGTGGGAAAGGTTCACGCTTTTGTGTTTGTGGCGTGTCAGGTTAAGAATACATGGATGTACGTGTCCTGAGCCTGAAATATGAGCGCGAAGGCCTCTGTCAGCCCTAGTAATGTGAGCATCTGTAGAAAACTAACAGCACAATGAGATGAAACCAGAGTCACAGAGATGGTACCTGTCTCTCTGAATACAGGCAACACAGACTGCAGAACAGGCTCTGTTTAAACAGGCACCTTGGGGTTTATTCACTAAATGTGAATTGGTCGCTAAACTTGAACATGTAGGCCAAAGCAGCCAAGTTGGGGGGGGGGAAATAATAGAATGTCACTGTTAAGGTTTCCTAGTTTAATATAATCTTGAAACAGGAAGACTGCATTTGGTCTTGTGATCCAGGAAACCGTGAAAGAGTAGAGAAATGCCATCTGGATAATATTTCCTATCCAACATACCTTGTGGCATTGTGCAGCAGGTGATGAATCTATATTACAGTGTACCTGATCGCTAAATGCCTGATCATAAACATGATAGGTATTGGTAAAACTTGTATTCTAAAAAGTCATATTTACCAACATATCTGCTTGTTTTTTTTTTGTCCATGTAATACTTTTGCTTGCATTGAAGATTTATCAAATCTGGCTTTTAATAATCTTTCCAAACATATTTATTTATTTTGAAAACTCTACAGAGCTTATTTGTCACGACAGATGTGTGCAGAATGTGATGCAATGGAAAAAAATGCACAATTTGAGCTTATCATGCTTGACCAAAGTGTGTCTGTTCCTCATATATGATTCCCATTGCTGTTTTGGCATTTGAGTGTATGACTGTCTTTTGTATCAATATGTACTCCAATTCTGGAGTTAATGGTTGGTTTACTGATTTATTTTAATAAAATAATAAATGGAAAAATGTATCTAAAGATATCTTTGCCTTTAAGATATATTATAATCAAGAGGTTATTCAGCATGAAATGTGTATTCGTTATGTAGCTTGAGACTGTATAATCATGTAATATTTACATGTTTGGTAAACTAAGCCCAGGTAATTGAACTTGTGTCTGCAGAGATAATATGCACTTTTTTTTTTTTTCCAAAGCACGAATATTATAAACTAGTATATAAAGTTCAGAAAAATACCTTAATCCCATTGTTTTAAGTTGTTCTCCAAACTGGTGTGATAGTTCCTTTGCAATGATTTCATCGTGATCTGTGTATTTCTAATGGTATATAGCTTTTAAACTAATCTCAAAATGTATTATTCTAAATATGAAATCTTCATATGGTTGCAAATATTACAGGTCATAACAACCAGCAAGAATGTTAAATAGAATTTTACCGGCTAGTGATTTTAAATCAAATCCTTCCTATGGCCACGAACCACTTGATAAAGATGGGTTTTGTGCAGCAATTATATCTTTAACATTGTCTTGCATGGAAATGGTGTTACATCTAGGGCCTTATGTATATTGAAATTCTTGCTTTATGATCAGTGTTATGGGATAAGCCAGAACAAACCTTTGCCTCCTCATCCTAGTATCCCAAGTAATAATGTCTGCAAAATGCAATTTCTACCACCGGGAAGAACCCACACAAGTTCCAAACCAACACATTACACTACATCTACAACCTGGTATTACGACCACAAAGTTCAACACAAAGACCACTGGCAAACGCACGACCACCCACTAAGACCTCTCCACGAAGCTAGCCACGGCTATAAGAAAAGACGACAGGGCACCGCTCTCTGTGTCCAAACCAGACCCCGACGGGGGATGGTTCATGAGACGGGCTGTCTCTGAGGCTCTGTAACTGGGAGACGTTACTCAAACCGGTACCAAACCCATCATATTACCACGCGGACGGTCTCACGACAGGGCTTAGAGCACATACCCGATACCACATACCTCAGGACTACTCCACGCAGAACAGAGTATATAGACTCAACGCAAGCAATGTGAGTCACTAGGACAGCACTGTAAAACCTGTCTTATACATACAGAGAGTATTGTATTTTACCCTATTGTGTTGCACTGTTGTGTTCCTTGTTCTTTTTTGTGTTCTCTGTAATTGTTGTATTTTTTGTACGGGCAAAACTGCCCCTAAAACTTAAACTCCGACACAGAGCGGCTAAAATCAAAGTCGTCTAACCTACTAAACATTTAACCACTGTTGTAAACCATGGCAAATATCTTGTAACCGGCCCCTGCGCGAGCCACTGAATTTTGCTATGCCGCATTTTGTGTCGAATTAAAAATAAAGAAATTAAAAAAAAAAAAAATGCAATTTCTAGTGTTAAAGAAATATGAGCCAATAAACTACCAGGGATAACTGGAAGAGGTTACCTGTGTAAGTCTATATGTCTTTAAAAAATTTGGCTATAGATGTGGGAACTTTAGTATAGAGTGTTCCTGCATCCAGTGTATGGAAATACAGAGGGGTGTTGGCTGCATTTAGGAATAATAATTTGACCATCAAATGAACGTTCAGACCTAGTTTTGAATGGAGCTCTGTCCTAAGGCTCTAAATCCAAGCATCGGTAGAACACCTGACTGTGAATAAACTATACCAGACTCCAGGAGAGAATTGGCTTGTATTTTTCCACCGTCCCAAGTTTTTAAAAGCATAAATAGATGGTGGTGGTGGTGGTGGTGATGGAGGATGTTTTGATATTTCATTATTTAAACTGTCTGGAGGAAAAATACCCAATCTGTGTGGAATAACCTAGTAAATATTCCACGCTACTTGCCTGTCTGAATACAGAGGCTCTCAGTCCTGAATATTCTTTTGCTGATTGCATGCTAAGCTTCCTGGAAAATATCTAATGTAACAATCTAAACATGATATGTATATAACATCATCCTCTGTTTATTGTTGGATGGTGAATCCCATTGTCCAGAGATGGAAGGTGAAACAGAAGTTGACAATAAGAACCTCAAAACGTCATGTTCTGTAATAAATATCATGTTCTTTATTGCACCTCCTATACCTGACCATTATTCACCAACTCCTCTCTAACAAATGCTGCTTATAATAGAATTTATTTCTACTGTTAAAAATAAATGAAACTAAAGAAAGCAGAAGAGATGGAGAGAACCGTGTGGACACGTTTACTTGGGTCAAATTTTTTTTTTTTTTTTTAGGCCTTCGATCCTACCATTCCCTTTTTACGGTGCAGGAGTGGTCCAATCAATGCTGGGTGTGTAGATCTGCTTTTCCCTGCTACACATTCCTGACCCAGTTAGAGATTATACCATATACACACATCAGAGCATATTTTAGTCAATTAAAATAATTTGCAAAAAGACATAAGTGGCTGACATTTAATTTACATGGTGAACGGTTTATCCCCTAAAACAGGCTTTCCCAAACACCCTCCAAATGTTGATGAACTACAACTCCCATGATTCGTAGCCCATCTATTTCATTCATAGAATCATGGGAGTTGTAGTTTAGCAACATCTGGAGGGCCGGAGTTTGGGGAAGCCTGCCCTAAAGTAAGAAAGCTCCAGGGACCTCCTGGCACCATAACTCCATTTTGATAAAATTGTTATGGTGCCCAGAATGTTCCTTTTAACGCTTGCAAGCATAGGTAGCATGTGGAGACTTGTCTGGTGGACCAGAGCTTTTATTATGAACTTAGCGTGGAGGTCAGTAAACTCTCTGCTGGGTAAGGGGGTATGTGTTGGATTTTTTTCTTTTTCTTTATTTTTAATCTTTGTCTGCTTCTCCACTCAAGACTTTACAGCAATTCCACTGTGAACAATCCATTGATAGAGCTTCTAATTTTTATCTATCTACTTCTCGCTACTATCCTCTATTAAACCGCCATAACTATTTTGGTGGTCCTCTGTCCCTATAAATTTTTCATCAGGATCCTGGGTTATAAATCATCATCAATGCCTCCAGTGTGAAAGTTCAATTTAAATATATATATATATTTTTAAAGTTTATATTTGTAACTTGTCCTCTACCTTGCGCAACCTTTTTTTACATACATGCGAGTCCCTTCTATTTACCGGATTAAAACAAATCAGTGCTGTATTACGAATCCCTTCTTGTGCCATTTTTACTTTCCGATCTCTGTAAATCACAAGTCACTGCTTGTCCAGTATTATGTAAACGCGGCCTGTTCTCTGTAAAATGCTTTCATTCAGCATGAAAGATGCCCATACATCTGCCTGTCTTACTGGTATTTGATAAAGGGGTGAGGCAGGCCCTGGGAGCAAGTCTATATCTATATGTACGGTTTAGGCATATAATATATCTTCTATACCATAAGACAGTATTTTACATTCTGTACGTAATGGAAAATATAACCTACCTGGATTTCAAGTAATGCTCAGTGGACATTACCTTTTTTTTCTTTTTTTTTAATAGTCTCTTTATTTTTATTTTGCATTACAATAATAAAATTAATGCAAAGAGAAACGTTATTCTTCCTTAAAGGGGATCTGTCGCTTAACAGGGTTTTCATAAATGGGATTCTATAATATTATTAATACAAATCTGTATTCCTAACACTGTAGTGACCTTTGGTCCACCTCCCCGCCATGTAAAGGGTTAAACAAAAACCTTTTACTCACCTGATTCCAGCGCTGATGTCCCTCAGAGCCAGGCTTTGCTGCACCTACTCCGACATCATTTGACGGGTGAATTTAATACTCATGCGCAGTGAGCACTGCAAGCTCAATAGGCCCTTTGCTTTGTTATGGGGATTTTTCTTATGCTGGATGTCCTCCTGCAGAGTGTGAGGATGTCCAGCGTCATTTAGGGGTCCTAGAGTCTGTTGGCATCCAGGAAGTGCCTCTAGTGGCTGTCTGACCGCCACTAGAGTCATAGTCATGCAAGGTAATCATTGCAGTTTCTCTAAAATGATATGAAGTGGACTACAGTGTCCATTAAAGGGACACTTCAGACTTCTGAAGCACTTTTGCTTTCTGTGTGAAGAATTCTGCAAAAAAGTGCAGATTACAATATTTATTAAACTGGTTACACCCCCTTGTCTTTCAAACTGACAAAGTCTTGTTACTTCCTGGTTTGGTTAGCTAAATGGAACTTAACTCCAGAAGAAGCTAGTTGCTCAGAGCATCTACTTTGCAAAAAGACTTCTCATGGAGCATTGGACAGCCACAGAAAGTCTGGGCAGAGTTAAAAGTTGAGGGCTTGCAAAGGCTGCAGGCAAGAACTGCAGATTTTGCAAACTATTTAGATTCATCCCCAATGAAATAATGCATAATTAAATGCATGCAAGTTTTTGTTATGGGTATATCAACTAAACAGTCATTTGAATTTGGGCCGTGAAGTGTTCCTTTAAGCTTATTTTATTATAAGCATAATATTAAGCTTATCATATAAATACTGTCTGTAAGGGACTGGAAATTTTATGTTAAATGTAGAAATCCACACTGTTGTATGTGCTTCTAGTCTAAACCCAAGTATCTCCATCTTGGTCCCCTTACATACTTCTAAGCTCAGCATTCTTCTGTCATTGAACATGGCAAACCGAGGCAGAGAAACAGAAATAATTGTTGTTTCTCATCCTCGGATGCATGGTGTGCCCTTGCTCTGCCTACCCTGAATTGGCTTGCCATGTCCACTGCTAAATCTTTTAACTGCTTTTCAAAGAAAACCGAGCATCACACGAGACATTGACGGACAAGGGAGAGCAGAAATAAGCTACCACAGGAGGTCCTTTTACTGTCTTGAGCATAGCAACCACAGCGTATGCACTTTGGTTGCAATGGAAACTTCCTAGTCGCAGCTTCTAGTGCTGGCTAGGGATTTTAGGAATAGAGTGATGTGACATCACAGGCAGTGCTGGAAAGGTGAATAAATCTCTATATTTTCCATTGAATACATCATGTATATTTGTGATGTATGGGAGCAAGTTCAGGTAAGTTCATTTTCACACAACAGGTTTTCCTTTAAAAGACCTGTCCACTCTAATAAAGATTGACGTGTACAGTGCATAAGAACTGCAGCTTTATTTTTTTTGTGTGGAGTGTTCCTTTAACACAGTTGCACATTTAAACATATTAGAGACTCCATAATTGAAACTGTACACGAAGACCAGGGCAGTTGCATACCTCCCACCATTTCAAATGGACAAATAGGGACACTTTTTTAATTTGAGGTGTGGGAGCAGAACCTGGCGAATCTCTTTTGGGGGCAGGCTTGTGACCTACCAAAGGCCTACTCGCAGACGATTCCTCTACCTATTGTTCTTACTATTTCATAATAAAGAAATTTTATTGGCATAAAATACTTTATTGCCATTTTCTTTCTTTTTTTTTTCTTTTACCTGACTATACATATATTGCATATTTTACAAGAAGTGCAAAGAATCCATAGGTGGGGATTATACCACCCAAGCGCTTACACTGAGCAGTCCAAGCTTGCTCTATATTATGTGAGTAGTATATTTTATACTCTTTTAACTTTGAATTTTAAATCAGAGAGCACTATATATTTTATTCTCTTCTTCTGGGTCTTAAAACACCAATTTGGACGTTGAACCTAAGCCAGATATTCACCTATCAAACCTTACTCCGCATATCCTTGAGTGGAGATTATTCCACTTTACGTGCGCAATATCAGAGCTGGATTTTAGCTCTGAAAAGTGTGAGTAAGACTAATTTTATTATTATATATTTTACTTACCTATATACTGTGCCATTGGAGTTTTTTTTTTTTTATTTTTTTTTTTTTGTAAATATATTTTTATTGGGTGTTTTAAATTTTTCAGTTTCGAACATGTCATGAGAAAGCTTCGGTATGGACACGCAGGTCCCATTATGTTTGCAAGCGAGCTATTGCATTGGAACAGAAGCTGCTCATGTGTATATATACATTGGAGACACGCAGGTCACATTTAAACGTAAAAAGCATAAACTAGTTGGACTCGCAGGTCCTATGGCATATACTTGACATGTGTCTCTAAGCTATTTTCAGTTTGGATACTCAGGTCCCATCTGTATGAAGCGTTAACTGGCATTTTAGGAAGCGTCGTTCGGTCAGGTTTACGTTGAGTTTGTGTGTTCAGTCAGTTATTTGGGGCAACATGTGTCTTAACATGGTATATCTTATCCTGATTTGGTGACATGTGAATCATTTATGAGAGGGTATGGTGGACTCGTAGGTCCTGACGGGGTCGATTTGTTTTTTTTTTTTTTTTGTTTTTTTTATGTGGAGAATCTTTTGTATGTGTTGTGGGTGGGTGTGTCTGCGGTTTCCTGGAATTACAAGGCGTTGGGTTTGAAATTTGTATTCTATCATATACTTTTATCTGTGTGAAGTATTTGTGAGTAAGTAGTAAGTACGATGTAGGGGTAGCTCTAGTAGCACGGGTGTTTTGTGGACTTTTTTTTTTTGGCTGGTATGAGTGGCATCTATGTTCGTTGGGAGTTTTTTTTTTCTACATATGCTCTATCGAACTCCAAGACTTGATCCCATCAAACATCCTAAGAATTCCTTCTCTACACGTGGGACCTACCATTACGGACTGTGATAATTTATTTATTTTTTGGATTATTGCCAATTACTTATTTTATCTTAATATTTTAATATTTTATTATACTTTTATGTATATATTGTCACTATTATACATTTATACATTTTAGGCGCACCCTTATTTTATTGTTTGTTTTGTATTCCTTGTTACTATTAGGGGATTATTGGGGACTCCCCTTTGAGGAGTGCAGCCTTTTATTTATATCCTGTTGTGCCAATTTAGTGCTGATTTTCTTCTTTTGGTTTTTCCGATTCCTCTACCTACTGCCTAACAAATTTTAGTAAGTCTCACACCTACCCCCACCACTGGTGAGGGATTGTCATTATCCATGCTTCGGAGAAAGTCTTCAAGCAGAACTCCGTTGGTCGCAGCCATCTTCCTTTGCATAATGGCGGACGCCGTTTATTAAATCACTCCCTGAGCTCAGGGTACCTGTAACCTGGACAGGTTGGACAAATTGTTTGCAGACTTTTGGTCTAAACTCACCTATCGCCTGGGAGCTTCCGTAGTGGTCCTGTTGGCACCTACCTTGGCTCAGTCCACTCAGCAAAGCATACCTCCTACGCAACGTGGCTGTACACAAGAAGACTCCTTAACGGAATTCACTTAAGCTACGCAAGTCGTGGAAACAGTGATACCGCCTGCACAAGCGAGTTTGGGACTGACATCCTACCCGTCTTTGCCATGGAATGCCAGGGCTCTATTTACACCGGGGAACCAGTAGTACACTTGCCTCTCACCGATTGTGCATGTGATCCACTGGCGAGCCACCAACTTGTTGGGCTGTGATGTATACCCAGAGGGCATTGTCTAATTGGTCCATAGGCATGTATCACTGGAGTTTTGTCACATGTCCCCTCATGGGATGTTGTCACTGTAGGCACACACCCAATCTTTTTTTAAGATATTTATTTTCTGCATGTGTCCAGATCACTTATTTAAAATTTTATGCACGCTTATACCATGCAATACATTGTTTCCCCCTTTTTATTGTTTTATACGCAACATGTTCCTTTATGCATCCTATTTTTTTTTTTTTTTAATTGTGCAGTCATCTTGACCTGCCTTAACAAAATCCTGTTGATACTCCTTACTGTTCTACTGTGACGTGTCTATGCTTATTTAGAATGTTGGCAATGCACTACAAAAGTAAAGATTAAAAAGGGACCTTCCATATAAAAAGAGGCACTTGGGAGGTATGTAGCTGGCAGAAAATGGAGATATCCTATTTAGTAGTAGTATTTATGCAGCACTTTACAATATTATGAAAGGGGAAAATGTAACAATAAATGAGACCATTACAAAACGATACATGAACTATAGGTAGATGATATGTTTTATTGAATAGCTTAATTACTTTTTCAGAAGCCAAGGAGCAACCTAATGTATTTTCTTATGATTATGTATTGTATGTACCCGGGAGCAGGAGTAGAAAAAGTTTGATGCTTTTGCTCCAGAATTCCAATTCAAAAAGCTCTAGACAGGGCTTTACTTTGTGGATAATACACTCCAGATGTGTGGCTGGCATCTGGATCCCATCCTCTAACAAACAGAGTCCCATCTCCAAGCAGGGGACAAGCTCAGATCCAACTTTTTAACCCCTTCAACAGTTCAAAGTAACGAATTCCAGAATTGGGGTTGCATTTTTTGTGTGTGCGTGCAATTTGTACCTTCTAATAATGCAAACATTAGGAAGGATGAAGTAATGGACCTGTTGGTCATGTTGTATATCTGTGGGGTCACACACCTGCTCATTGTGATTAAAGTGGGTTATTTTTATACTAGGTTTGTGGTTGGTTTGAATGTGCATGACGGCGAGCCAAAACGTATTCATAGAAGAAACCATGGAGTGCACAGCACAGCTCACTTATATTTTTAAAAAACAAAACAAAATGGGACTTGCAAGTCTTGACAGAAGTGTAACAAAGTACATCATAAAAATAAACAAAAACAGTACTATGATATATAAAATTATATATATATTTTTTTAAATTGAGGTGTACTGTCAGTTTCTTGTGTTTTTTACTGTATTAAAGTACTTATTTGAAAACACAAATTTAGATTGCTGCTTGATGTAGGAAATGTTACCCCTATATAACACACTGCCATCTTACTTTGAGCCAGGTTTCTAATGCTCTATATGATGGTGGTGAATGCTCACTTGGCCCCTCCCAAACAGCTAATAATACTGCTGCGCCAACAAAACTGTCCTCAGTCATAACCTGAGTGCCCAGTCTGGCTTGCTGCTTTTAGAGCCCTGCCAGGATGATGTCACCATAGGCTGGTACACTGCTTCATGCATGTAGGCTTTACTGTACCGGCTTCTGGGGCGAAGGGAAGGAGGTTGTGCCAAGCAACAGTACATTTGTACAGACTGAAAACTGACTGTATTTCACTTGTTTTGCTTTCTACATTTCACATATACACTGAATGTAGTATTCTTGCCACATATTTATTTACAGTGTGCTGACAGTTTGGGAGTCCACATTCCCAAATTAAGGTGCAGATTCACCTGCTCCTGTCCTTCATGTGCTAGCTAAGCATCTCAGTGTCTCAAATCACAATGTACTTTAAATTACTATGCAACACAGTGTGTGTGTATGTATATGTGTATATATATATATATATATATATATATATATATATATATTGCTTTTTCTAATATAAAATATTGGTCCTTTCAGGGTAAAACGTTTAATTATACAGTAAACATACTCACATGCAGACACAGGCAATTTCACTGACATTTCAGTGACACACGCAAGCTCATTGATACACAGCCTCATAGACAAACAATCTTACTGATATACATCAGCTCATTGACATAAAAACACAAGCTCACTCACTAGCAGGCACACGCATGCAAGCAAGCTCACTCACTAGCAGACGCACACACACAGCTTAATGTGGTGGTACTGGTGTCTATAGCATGTCCCTACAGGCTTTTCAACGTAAACACTGACTTTTCAGACAAAAGGCAGTGTTTACATTGCTTCAAAGTGACACTGCTAGTGACAGTCACTCAGACGGTCACTAGAGGTGCTTCCTGTGTTAGTGTACCTACATTCAGGGCCTCCACACTCTGTAGGTGCTGAACGTTCCCCATAGAGATACATTGATTCAATGCATCTCTATGAGGAGATGCTAATTGGAGTGGCGTTTTGCAGCCAATCCTATGGCAAAGCATTGGATTGGCTGAGATCATCAAGCTTGATGATCTCCGCTATAGAGGCAGGGCCAGTCGAGGGGAGACCAGCACGCTGCATGGGGGAAAAAAAAGGTGAGCAAAAACACTATTTTTTAAACACACATTTACACCATGACAGATACACACCCCATGACAGATACACACCCCATGACAGACATACACACACACACACACCATGACAGACCATGACACACACACACCCCCCCCATGACGGACAGACACACACACACACACACCCCATGACGGACAGACAGACACACCCCATGACGGACAGACAGACACACACCCCATGAATGACAGACAGACACACACCCCATGAATGACAGACAGACACACACCCCATGAATGACAGACAGACACACACCCCATGAATGACAGACAGACACACACCCCATGAATGACAGACAGACACACACACCCCATGACGGACGGACAGACACACACACACACACACACCAGACATACACACAGACACACCATACAGACAGACAGACAGACACATGACACAGACAGACACACACACCATACAGACAGACACCATGACACAGACACACACACACACCATACAGACAGACAGACACCATGACACAGACAGACACATTACTTATACCTGCCAGGGGGAGGTCTTTTGGGGGCCGCTGGGGAGATCTTCTGGGGGACTTTTACCGCTGGGGAGGTCTTCTGGGGGACATGTCCTGGCGGCCGCTGGGGAGGTCTTCTGGCGGCCGCTGGCGGACTTGTCCTGGCGGCCGCTGGGGGAGCTGCGCTGGCTCTCCCGCCCTCGCGCGCTGCTGAATGAGACCGGCGCCGGAATATGACGTCATATTCCGGCGCCGGTCTCATTCAGCTGTGCGCTGGGGAGCAGAGCCAGCGCAGCTCCCCCAGCGGCCGCCAGCAGACCCAGGTGTCTGCCCGTCCCCAGGTGCCGACGGCCCACCGGGAAATTTCCCGGTATCCCGGTGGGCCAGTCCGGCCCTGAACACAGACACAAGTGATTGCATGATCGTTGAAGGTGTTAAATGCAAAGCATGCATTAAACAATTTTGGCTTTGCAATGAGATTTTGCTTAACCCACATGTCAAATGGACAAAGAGTGACATTTTAATTTTAGGGGTATGAGTGGAGCTGTTATGAGAAATTTTAGGTGACTTACTAGTAACAATTTATGCAACTAAAACTTCATTTTCAGAACAAGAACAATGTATCGTATTTACAGACTGATTTCTAATGACATTTATGTATTTTAACGACACAATATAGTTTGTTTTATTGCTATAGAGCTTTGTTATACTCTCGGACACCCCAACAAAAGGGAGCTCCTAGAAAAGAGGAACATTAGGATAGAAAAGAGGGATAAAGGGATTTGACCCAAAAATAGGGACTGTCAATCCTAAATAGGGACACGTAGGAGGTATGGCTATTGTGTGCTTTTAATAATTTGTATTTATTGTTCATTACATGGAGCAAAATGTTGAACTAGAGTCTTCCTTACTAGTGTCTTCTCCCCCCTCCCCTCCATTGTACATCCCTGCTGAACATGTTTGTGCTCTGTTTATTTAGGTATTCTTAAAAGATGTAGGTGCATTTGAAGGGACCAGCCTGAAGCAGAGGGTTCCAAAGCTCAAGCTGTCAGTCTAGGGCTTGAGGCTGCTTGGTTGATGGACCTTTCACTGGTGACATGTCTGGTATTCTTTGATAGTTCCCCTGTGGTAATGCATTCCTAAAGCTTCCTCTTTGCTTTGACTTGTCTTTCCTGCAGGCAAATGTCTGGTTGTATTGTCTTCACTTCAACCCTCTGATAACCTAAAGGCCTCTATTAAAGGAACTAGGTTACCTATAATTGTGCTGCTTTTTGGTGGCCCATGGATTGTGCCCCTATATTATGCTTACATTATACATGGAGATGGGAGTGGGGGCCCTTGTATGATGTGACCATATTGGATTTTGTACAGTAAGGTTAACACTGACTTGCTAGTACTGTCATGCTATGTGATATTGTCTAATGCATTATCATGAAAGGCTTAAAGAGTAGCATCTCAATGTATTTAAAATATATACATATATATTTAGCAGTTATGTATGTGGCATCTGTCTGTATTTATTTTGCACCAGCTGTAATGACACATTCTGTGTTTAAAGGAGCACAATAGTGTCAGGAAAACAAATTAGTTTTTGTGGCACTATGGGGTTATTAGGTCCTCCTACTGTAATGAAATTGAGGGTATAAAATCAGATTGTTTTTGATGGAGGTTAAAAATGTTTCCCTTTTGTTTTTGTTTTTTAAAGTATAATGTCCTATTGGGTATTGTTTTTGAGGACTATAGTCACCAAAACAACTTTTAGATTAATGACTAAATGGCAGAGAATTGAGCAGTGAATCACTTTGTTTATGCAGCCCCGGGGACACCTCCTTGCATGTGACTTACACAAGCTTAATAAATACTTTGTGTAAATTCTCAACTTTTTTTATATTTCCTTTTATACGTTTTACTTTTATACGTTTTATATATTTCCTTTATTGCAAATTCTGTTTATTTAGAATGTCTTGTCTTCTGCACAGTTAATAGCTTGCTAGACCCTGCAGGAGCCTCATGTGTGCAATTAAAGTTCAATTTACAGAGCAGGAGAATTTTTTTTTTTTCTTCTTATAGTAAGCTACTATCTGTTTGAAAATGAACCATTCTGTTTTCGTGCAGACTGGGTAAGTCACATCAAAGGGAGGTATGGCTAGGGCTACAGAAACAAGTGATTTAACCCCTAAATGGCAAAGAACTCAGCAGTGAGACTGCAGGGCATGATCTATACACCAAAACGGCTTCATTAAGCTAAAGATGTTTTGGTGACTATAGTGTCCCTTAAAGTAAAAAATAAGTATAAAATTTAATTATTACTTCCCTGGAATACAGTGCTGGGCAAAACTGCTTTCCACGCCTCGTTTTTTTTATGTCAGTGCAGCTGCATAAGGTCCAATCACAAGGCTCATCGTAGAAGGAGGGAGGGGAGAACTAACTTCCGATTGCAGGTGATCTTCCTGCAAGAGAAAATATCTTCATCTATCGCCAGCATGCAATGCACACTGACGATAGAAGTGAAATATTCACAGAATTGACATTAAGCAGCCTCAAGCAAAGTTATATATGTTGATGGTGCAAGTAGCCCCCAGCACAAAAATGTAGATTAGTCTGCATGTGCAAAGTTTCAAGTGGAATCACTGCACATAAATACTTCTACGACCATGACCATTTCAAATCACTGAAGTAGCCATAGTGGCTGTAGTAACCCTTTAAAGAGTGCGGCAAATTACGGGCTTGTAATGAAGTTAGAGCGCACTGCTGTGCTTGGGTAATTTAACATTGATACCTGCAATTAAGGATGCAGGATGTATTTTGACTGCAGTGGGTCACCGCACCAGATCATATTGCGATGTTCGCTTGATATTGGGAGAATATATTTAGTTTGATTTATCATAGCTGGTTTCTGTTGTTTTTATGAGGACAAATCTCTTAACAATTGTGTTTTCACATATTGTTTCTGCTAAGCAGGTGTATTCAGTAAACTCTGAACTATAACACACTAAAGAGGAACTGAAAATACTCCCCAAAAGACACTAAGAACATACATTGCAAATGAGTAGAATTGGAAACATTGGGGGAGTTTGATTGTTTTGTGTGTAGGGTTTTTTTTTCATGGGGAGGGCAGTTGGTAGGGAAAAGCCAACATTTTTTAGACCATTTTTATAGAACTATTTCAACATATAAACAGATTAGAGACCAAAAACAGCCTTTTCTGAACACTTTGATAAATCTCCCCATTGTTTCATTTATCTTTCTCTCTTTGTGCCTTTTCTACGCCGATTGCTAGATGCAAAAGATTGACCCTATAACATTGACAGGGAGCCATTACGGAGGCACCCAGTTGCCGGATAAAGAGGTATTGATTTCTACATTACTTTTTTTACACCTTACAGATACACATTTATTAAATGTAGGGCATAATTTTATATAGATGGTATCTAGTTCCTGCTAGATTAATCAGGATCTCTCAGACTAATCACGCTACTAATCATCTGCTATAAGGGATTGCTATGCTTGTCATACTCTCTTGCTAAATCACTACTAAGTTCTTGTAAGAGCTTGTTCCTGTCCTATTCTTTGAAGGAGTCCACGGTGGTTATGGCGTCAGCTGGAGTGCTTGGAGCCTCCTTCAAAGGAGGTACCCAGTCGGGGTGCCCGTCAATCCGTTACAATATTAAACCCAAGAACAAACTGTAAACAGACAGTGAACTATAAATAATATATACCTTTTTTTTTTTTTAAAGAACTACCATAACAGACTACCTACCGGATTAAATTTAGATCCATAAGCATTGGCGTATTACATAATAAAGAAGGATTGGTGTTGCCACATACTTGACGTCTAATTTAAAGGGACAGCTAAAGATAACAATTTTCTGTATTTATAACATGATAAACACTCCATTTTGTAGTATGAATGTATTTGTTGTAAGATACATGTTTGTATTTAATGTACTTCTCTTTGTATGTTTATTGGAAAACAAAGAATACTTAAAAAAATAAATGTAGGGCATAAGTAAACCTAATATCAAAAATCCTGGGAAAGTCACAGTCCCCCTTAAATTCTGGCAAAATTGAGGCACAAATTGCGGTGCCATTCCCACAGCATGACCATTTTTATCCTCTGTTTTGTATTTAAGTTTTATTATTATTATTATTATTATTATTTTATTATTTATATAGCGCCAACAAATTCCGTAGCGCTGTACAATGGGTGGACTAACAGACACATAATTGAGATCAGACCACTGACGTACAGGAACAGAGGGGGTTGAGGACCCTGCTCGATGAGATTACATGCTAGAGGGAGTGGGGTATAGTGACACAAAGGGTTAAAGTAGGGGAATTAAATAGTTTGTTACAGAAGGGTTTATTGAGTGCTTGGTAGGTCATTTTTGACATTTTGATACAATGCAGAGTTTAGAGAATAACCTTCTTCATGTTTAATCTATATCTTTAATCTCTCCTGACTTTGTTCTAAAGAAAGTGTACACATTTTTCCGGCTGGTTTGTACTCCTGATTAGATGGAAGCTCTTTGTAGCGTCATGAGTTCTGAGCTGATATTAATTTGAGGAAGTTTATTGTAGATCACAACCACAGATTTACACAACATGTTAACTGTTTATCTTGATCAATACTGACCACATGCAGTGCATGGAAGATTCCTAAAGACAGGCACCAATTGCTACTTCTATAGCCTTTGTATTAAGAGTAGGTCACATATGTACATGCCAGGATGTCCCATGTTAAGACCCTTCTATCTGGATACATATCAGACTTTCCTGCCCTCTGGGAATTTCTGTCTTGGACCTCCAAATGCTTCAGCCACCTCCACCTTATTGGAATCTCATGGAGGATTTATCAAACACTGACCCCAATAAATGTCATATATGTGAAATGTATGTATATCTTTTAAACAGGGTTTGAAAGCAAACTTTGATTTGCAGCCTCTTTTAATAGTAATGTAATACAATAAATGACATCAGAGGTATGATTTCCTACTTTCTAAACCAGAACAAATGAAATACTTCCTATTCCTTATGCATTCACTCTCTCCCCATTTTGTATCTGCCATTTGGTTTTTTTTTTCTTTCGAGAATCGGAAGCAGATGAGAAATCTAATAGAATGCAGTCAGCAATCGGATTTCACATCTCACCACAAGGTTTAAAGTTCACATACAATAGCAATATGGAGTCCTGAAGGAAGTTGTTCCCAGCCTCCAGAGCTTGCTGTGTTTTATAAGTCTTAGCATTGCAATTCTTTGAAACATCTGGCAGTTGTGTACATGGGCCACTATAGATTAATAATGTTCTTTCATCTGTACAGTGTGCTGCCTTCAAGGCAGACTGGCTTGAGAAAAGTCAACATCTACAAAAAAAAATAAAAAGCTTATTTAGAGGAAAGTCTCATCTTATTGCATTAAATCCCTTCTCTCTTAATCTGAAGGTGGTGGTGGTGGGGGGGGGGGGTGGTTACATCTGGTGTCATTCACTTCTAGGAGAGGAGACAAACAACAAAAGACCCTGTTACATGCAATAGACTCCCATTTTAGTTTTTTTAATCTTTTGTAGTCTTTGCATGTCTCAAATATTCTTGTACAATAGCAGACATTTTGTGTGAGCACATGGCTACCAGGTGTACCTCCTCTTGGCTATCAAACTGTCCATTTCACAAACTGAATGAAAGTTTCTAGTTGTCCTGATCTTATTTTAAAGGGACACTGTAGGCACCCAGACTACATTAGCTCATTGAAGTGGTCTAGGTTGCATGTCCCTGTCCCCCTTTTAGAGCCACTAGATGCACTTCCTGGTGGCCATGCAACTTTTGGTCGCCTAGCTGACTGACGATAGACATCCTCACGCTCTGCGTGATGACATGCAGCTTCAGAGTGATCTCCATAGGAAAGCATTTAAGCAATATACTTTCTTATGTGCAGGGCCCAATGTGCCAAGGGAAATCCGTGATGGATTCGGGTGAGTAAACAAAGTAGAAGTAGTTGTCTTGTTTATTTTTCTTGTTTTTTGTTTTTTTGTTTTTTTTTAAACCCTTCTAATACCAGAGGGAGGTGGCAGAGGGAATTATAGTTTAAGAAATACAAGTTTTATTCCTTACACTATAGAATCCCTTTAATTTATGATTTTAGTATTGTCCATTCAATCCGTTATTCAAGACTGTCTGGTAAAAGGAATCCTTATTACAGTGGTAGTTTCCAAAATAACCACCTTTTTATTTCTTCTTTTATAGCTGAGGAAGAGTTCTTGGGTAGCCACTGGAATGGAAAACAAAGGAGGACTCCCCTGCAGGCTCTGTATGACAGCAACCAGGTTAGGACAGTGAATCCTTTTATTTAAAACTATTACATCTTAATGGAAATGCTGTCTCTTACTTCCTAATGTGTAAAACCTTGCTAATTCTATAAATAGGCTGAGAACACCCCTCTCTAATGGCTGCTACTGGTGACTAACCTATATATCTATGACCGTAGCACAGAATAGCATATGTCATCCCTTTTAGTCTTGACTCCAGTTATTGTTGGTTGGTGGTTAAGGTGTGTCTGTGGAGAACGTTTTTTGGCTTTCTTGATAAAAGCAAAGCCAAACTCTGCTAGTACCGGGCCTTAAATGTTACTCCACCACTGCAAGCCATAAGATATGCACCAAGGGTAAATTTCTGTTTACCAATGCTCAATTTTCAATGACCAGTGGCTAGTTTCATGCCTGTTTATAATAAATATAATTACATTTTTTTTGGTACATATTATACACATTTTTGTTTTTCATAGTATTATATAGATAATTAAGTTTTTGGTATTTTTCTATCCCACCAGCTGGAACTTTCTTCAGTCCAGGCAAAACACCAAGAGCGCCGGGAGCTGCTGGCCAGCACTTGCAAGACCTACACTAGGAAACGCCGGGTCTTGACATCTGATGACCTCAAGCACTTGCTTGTAGATGACACCCATGGCTTGTTGTACTGTTATGTCCCCAAAGTGGCTTGTACCAACTGGAAAAGGGTCATGATGATTCTTACCGGTCAAAGCAAATACAAGGATCCGGCACAGATCCCAGCAAATGAGGCTCACATTTCCACTAACCTTCGCTCCCTTTCTGAGTTTACCACATCGGAAATAAACTATCGTCTCCGGAACTACCTCAAGTTCATTTTTGTAAGGGAGCCCTTTGAGAGGCTTGTGTCCGCCTACAGGAACAAGTTTACTCGTACCTATAACACTGCCTTTCACAAACGTTACGGGACAAAGATTGTAGAGCGACACCGCAGGAACCCCTCTCTGGAAGCGTTGGAGAGGGGCGACGATGTCACCTTTGAAGAGTTTGTTTACTATCTAGTGGACCCCATGACTCAGAAAGAGGAGCCATTTAATGAGCACTGGGAGAGGGTACATTCTCTGTGTCATCCCTGCATTGTTCACTATGATGTGGTAGGGAAGTATGAGACTCTAGAAGAAGATGCACAATATGTGCTGCAGCTCATTGGTGTTGGAGATTCCATTAAATTTCCATCGTCCAAATCTCCACGGACCACAGGTGGCATGGCTGCTGAGTTTTTCAAAGGCGTGAATCGCTTTTATCAAAGGCGGCTCTTTAACTTGTACAAGATGGACTTCCTGCTCTTTAATTACAGTATTCCAAATTACCTGCAGATACGCTGAACCCTATTTTGTGTGTGTAGGGCCCGGTGCCTTTATTAACACTTTCATAATTCACATGGGCTGGAAAGTGGAGTCTCTCCAACATTCTTATACCGTATGCTGTTATTTATTGTTGAGCACACTTTCCCCACCCCTTACTGTGAACATGACTTCTAGTTTCTACACATTGCCTATGAAATCAGATTTAAAAAAAAAACAAAAAAACACATACTTTAGCACCCTATAACACTGGGGACTGGGAAAATGAATCCACAGCGAGAAAAGCCACCATTGCTTGTTTGTTTTATAAATGTTATAACCCTTTTTTACCAATGGTAGAGTTAAATGTAATGTCATCCACATATATATAAGTACTTTTTTCACTCTTCTTCCTGTTGGTAAGTTACTAACAAATATATGCACAGGTTGTAACAAGTGTTATTCAGGTTAAAGATGGTGAATGGGTTTATAATTTTATGTAATAACACCGTAAACTCAAATAAGCCACATAAAGGTTTTTTTTTTGTTGTTTTTTTTATGTTTAACACTTGTTACAAGCTTGTCTATTCCAACAAACAAACTGGAAACCGAACATCTACAGAAATAACAAATGGTATCAAAGCATTTAGATTTAAAGGAAAATTATGCAGATTAAGAATCTATAAAATGATCTGACGTTTTGCCTTTTTTTCCCAAGCTTTAGATTTGTGCAGATATGTCTCCAATTTATTACTGAAAACAAATGGATCACTGAAATTGGTAGAGCAGTACTATTAATGTGACCAGCTTCTTCTTGTGTTAATCTATGTGGATACTTGCGAACTGTGGATAACTTTGCAGAATCTTCACTGGTTGAAGCCTGTAAATAAAGGGCGTGAGTACAGATCACTACTGGATAGCAGGTCTGCACCCACAGCTTTTTCAGTTCACTTGAGGTTTCTAAGAATTCTAATTCTTTTGCAATTAAACATTGTGCGTTGAATTTACCTTATTATTATTTATAAAGCGCCAACAAATTGTGCAGCACTGTACAATAGGTGGACAAACAAAAGAAGTGTGTGCAACAAGACGACTTGGACGCACAGGAGGCCTCTGCTCAAAAAAGCTTACATTCTAGTGCTCATGGGGAAAGTGAATGCAACTGTGTCACAATAGGCATTTGCACAAGAGTTAACATCCATACAGTGGTAACAGAATATCGGTTCTTCCACTAACAGTGATTGGATAAATTGCTATTCACTTAAGATTTATGCTTATCTTAGAATCTAGTCCTTTTGTGTGTTGTAAGTAGCTTTGTTTATTTACCCAGTGCCCCAGGAGAGGTTTCATAAAATGCTTATCCAGACACCTGGCTGAGAATCTTGGGGGAAAAGTCAATTAGTGCAGTTCCAGAGGTAAGACGTCAGTGTCACAGCAAACTGGCCTTAGACATGGAACTTCCTGCACGTCCATAAACTGCTTGATGTGAGCTACTGGCATACAATAACCTCTATTAAACAAAGCCTTCCTTTGTGTGACATTTAACATTTGGAACTTAAAGTAATAGTCAGAGGAAAAAAATATGTTCCTTTTGGAACACTTAAAGGAAAACTTTTAATTTATTATTACTGAAAATAACAAACACCTACATTTAAAATTGCATCTGTGTGCATTATGAATTAATCCATGACCAATAGCTTTTAGTGTGTCTCCTGTCTCTGCCTTGCTGGGGTGGGTGGGGACAGCTGTATTTCCTTTGGTCATAGGCATTACTCATATGCTAAGACTATGCACAATGTGAAGATCTGACACTATCCTAGATTGCATAGTTTTTATATTGAAAGTACACTGAAATAAGCCAATAAATGGTACACAGATATAAGGGAGTAACCCCAAGTGTAATATGTATTTAGAGTGAAAAGTAGTGTACCAAATGGGGAAACTGGGATGAAAAGCAAATTGTAATCAAAATTACTACAGTTAAAGTAGAATCTCAAATATCTCATATAGAATCAAAAAATCTAAATAAATACTTTATTGTTATAAGAATATAAAAAAATTGCCAATGGCAATAACCCAATGTGCTGTATACAAACAGAATAGTGGAAAACCAAAAATCATAAAGGGACAGTATATTCCAAAATAAAAATCAATACCTAATAGATCGATATATCCAGAAGGATCAATGGAATGTAGCGTGATTAACTAAGTGTGTGTGTGTGTACACACACACACACGCCGCCACCACCACCACCACCCCATGCTAAATATACTACTCAGAAAAATGTGACTAGGAATGGCAAGTGCTAAACAAGATCAGCATTAACACCATACAGACCGTAGACCGGTGCAATACGTGCTGTCTATAATAAAAGAGCAAAATCCGAGTAAGGATAGCCAAGGTTATAGCATTGTGGCTAATCTTAACTGATATGTCTGTAATAAGACATACAGTACTGTTGAGCTACATCTGACACTCATATAGGTATGATCTGAAATAGCTGTAATAGTGTATGAATACCACATACCTCTACCTGAACGATGCATACTGTCTGTAAAATAAAGGAGAACCAAGGTAGATAATGGCTAAGCCTAGCATCCGTGTCAGTTTTAAACATCTGGTAATGCTGAATTAGGACTGACAATCCTATTCTTCACAGAAAACAATACTAGATGGCTGTAGATAGCTGCCTGTATAGTAGTGCCAGGGACGTGCCAAGAGCAGAGGGAGAGAAGTGGCAGCATGGAAACCAATACTCAAGATAGCTATCAATGCAGGATCACTTGCAACCCTAAATTAGACCTCAATCACTTGGCTGTTGGTTAAATAAATCTCTATACGGGTAACGCTGCATTAGCATATAACCGTGTTGCATATCACCCCTGTTGCTACCAGAACGCCTGCAATTGTGAACATGGCAACTATGGGTACACTCGAATAGTAGCATTCATAAGTTTGAGATCTAAAAAATACAATAGCTACTAGATTGCGGTCATGTATCACAGTGCCTTAGGCTAAAATGGTGCCGAGATGAGAGAGAGGGAAATGGTTCTAGGAGATACAATCTCTGAAAGCTAATAAATTAGAAAGTTTTCCTGCAGGTAAGAGAGAATTATAAACGAGTAATGCTACAGCGATAAATAGTCATGCTACACTATCCCCCCCCGTGCCTTCGAGGGCACCTCAAGCTATTTCCATGGCAGCTATACTATCCAGGATCCTTCATAGAGTGCATAAGTTAGAAACGTGTTAAAAACGCCAGATCGCTAATAGCAAAACCCAGTAGTTAAAACCTAATGCTGTCGATAGTGATCAGAGACCGCATCACATGGACCCACGACGCACGCGTTTTGCCCGACCTGGATCGTCAGAGGGGAACTGGTCGGTATGCTGCACAGGCTTTAAAAAGGAGGAAGGTTCTGATTGGTTTAAGGTAAGTATTTCCTATTGGTTCAATTTTAACTTGTCCACGTTTACCGTGGAAGCTCCTCCTTAATGTCAAATATTGTAAGGGGAATTAACCCGTGCAGTAGTTTAATACTGAAACTGGATAAAGAATGCAGTTAAGCTGAAACAGAATTGAATATGAAACTTTGAACTCACGAGAATTCAGGTGAAATGCTGGAAATTAATCCTGCATGGCTACAAACTCCATACACAGAACTTTGAGTGATTTCTAATACGTAAAGAGCGCTCATATGATAAGTAAATCAATATAGTTCAAGCTAAACACAGGAACAGTGGTATGTCTGTAATAAGAAGAAGCCAAAGATGTTTTTGTGACACAACAGATATATATCAATATAATGCCATTTTAGGAGACAGTGTGGAGAATACCAACATACTAGATATAGTCTAATATGGGAAAGAGATTTCTATGAAATGTTAAGACATCCTAAATACATCAGGACATTAGATGGTATTGTGAGAGATTCACTTTGTATAAACTTTCAGTTGTTGGTAGGTTTTCCCTATGTATTGAATGCCGCAGCTGCATGTTATGAGATATATAACTTTTGTAGAATTGCAATTAACCCCTTAAAGACGGAGCCAAATGTACACGTTGTGAACAAAACAAAATGTAAACAAAACCTGGCATTTGCGCTACATGTCTGTCCAACCGTAATTCAACTCTTTCATAGTAAATGCACCCACACTTATTATATATCATTTTGTTCAGGAGAAACAGGGCTTTCATTTCATATCAAATATTTATATATGAAACATAATTTATTATGAATAAAATTAAAAAAAACTGAGAAATTTAAATTTTTTTTTTTTTACGATTTGTAGTTCTGCCTCACATTTTAGCTGTAAATGTCATAATACTGTTAGGTTTTACTGCAAAAAAATTCACATATTTGTAATCAGCGATGTCTCACGAGTACAGCAGTACCCCTCATTACTAGGTTTTATGGTGTTTTGGAAAGTTACAGGGTCAAATATAGAACGTTCCATTTTCACATTGAAATTTGCCAGATTAGTAAAATTACCTTTGAGATGCCGTGGTAGCCCAGGAATGAGAATTACCTCCATAATGGCATAGCATTTAAAAAAGTAGACAACCCAAGGTATTGACCGGGGGTATGTTTAGTCTTTTTTAGTAGCCACTTAGTCACAAACACTGGCCAAAGTTAGCGTTCATATTAGTTTTTTTGTGAAAAATGCAAAATACTAATATTTGGCCAGTGTTTGTGACTAAGTGGCTACTAAAAATGACTGGACATACCCCATTTGCAATACCTTGGGTTGTCTACTTTTTCAAATGGTATGACATCATGGGAGTAATTCTTATTCCTGGGCTACTATACGGTCTCAAAAGCACCATAACCAATCTGGCAAATTTCAATGTCAACAAAATGAAATGCAAGCCTTATATGTGACTCTCTAACTTTCCAAAACACCATAAAACCTGTACATGGGGGGTACTGTTATTCTCGGGAGACTTCACTAAACACAAATATTAGTGTTTTAAAACAGTAAAACATATATTACAACAATAATATAGTCCATAAACATGACGTTCGTTTGTAAAAAATGCAAAAAACGTCACTTTTACTTAAAATATCATCGATGTAATACAATTTACCAGTTTTAAACACTAATATTTGAGTTCAGCAAAGTTTCCCGAGTAAAACAGTACCCCCTATGTACAGGTTTTATGGAGTCTTGGAGAGTTACAGGGTCAAATATAGTGCATGCGAATTAAATTCTCTGCACTTTCTCCCTGTGTTGTCAGGCATGTCAATCAAATTTTAATTAATCAAATCACATAATTATGTTAAAGGATTACTTAAATATACACGTAGAATTTTAATATTTAATATATGCATTTATAGGTATTTAAATTCTACGTGTATACTAATGTAATCTTTTATGTAATTAGATGTATTTATCTACATATATTTGCGGTTATTTGTATTTTATATATAGATAGCTATATATAGAATGTCATTCTAAGCGTATTTTGTTACCAATATATATATATATTAATAACAAAATACAGTTAGAATGAAATTACATATGAATATATAATTTATATAAAATTTTGTTTCAATATTTTATTTTTTATTTTATTATTTAATTTATTATTGTAATTATACGTATATATATATAATGTGTATATATCTATTATATATATATATAATATATATACATATTATATATGTAACGTCATTCTAAGTGTATTTTAATATATACTTATATTAATATTAAAATACATTACGTATGACGTTATATATATATATATAATATGTGTATATATTTAATATATACACATATATTATATATATAAAAATATATTTAATTTATTTTATAACATGTTTATTATTTTTTTTTTTTTTTACACTTTCCCACCAGCAGGGGGACTGTCTGCTATTTCAGACAGCCCCCCTGCTGGCAGATCCATAGCCAGCTATGGGGGGCCTCATTCATCGGAAGAGGGCTGCCTGTGCGGTCTGGCAGCCCTCCAGAAAAGGATCACAGTGGAGGTAAGTACCGCCGGTCCTCTGGGGCAGAAAGCCGTTACGGCGTTCTATGCCACCACAACGGCTTTATAGCCCATTAAAGCCGTAACGGCATAGAACCCCGTAACGGCGTGAAGGGGTTAATGAAATCTTTGATTTTGTATTCCTTTTGATGTTTTTGTGCTGGAGACAGTCTTTAATATGGTTTAATATGGTTTAATATATTTACAAGCTTTGCAGTGTCCACATTGGTAAATTCCTGCTGTAGGTGTTAACCATGTAGGTTCTGTGTGCCTATGTACAAGATAGTCTTGCAGGTTCCTGGCTGTGCATGCTTTAATGTTAGGGACTTCGCTGATGTTGTCCTTCAAATCTTTGTCATAGTTTAAGATCGGTCAATTGTGGGACATGATTTTTAGTATTGGTTCAAGTATTGGTTGAAGGTCCCTATGCAGCGGATTAATTTAGAGTCTTGCTTTGGTCGTGTAGTTCTCAGACTTACACTTCTATCTTGTGCTGCTGTTTGTTAGTAAGCTCTTTTTAAGATTTTATTGGGGTACCCTTTTTGTTTGAACATTATTCTTAATTTTTTTGCTTCTTCGTTAAAGGTTTCATGATTCGAGCAGTTGCGTCTGGCACGTATGTACTGATCATAAGGGATGCCAGATTTAAGTTTAACTGGATGCTGACTGGTCCAGTTGAGTAAGCTGTTTGTTGCCATGGTTTTTCGGTACAGTTCAGTTTCAATTTGGCCATTATCTAGGATTTTAATGTTCAAATCCAGGAAAACCAAATGTTCTGCGTCAATTACATGAGTAAGTTCTAGGCCAATAGTGTTTAAATTTAGTAACCAACGCCTCAAATTGGGTGATAGACCCCAGCCAGAAGTTCAGAATATCATCAATATATCTGTACCAGCTGTGAATGAACGTCTTGTAGTTGTCTTTAATGGTTTCCTCCAGTATTGTTTCCTCCCACCATCCCAAGTAAAGATTTGCGTAACTTGGGGCACAGGCCGTTCCCAGGCAGTAAGGTGGTACTACAAGGTTTTTTTTATTTTTTTATTCTTTATTTATTCCAAGACGAGACATCACAAACAGTGCATATACAACAACATAAGGTTATGCATAAACAAGCATGTACACTGTAATCATGGCATTGTTACATTCGTATGATGGGTGAACAGTCAAGGTCGCACAAATCCTGTAACTAGAAACCGCTAACTGAGTTTACATCTCTAATTTTCAAGGAAGATCTCATCCCTATGTATGGTTAGATATCCCGTCTGGTTTTGAATAGTAGATAAAACATTTAACAGATAACATATGATATGATATATGCCGACTGCACACGTGTTTGCAAACGCAAACATGCAAAAAAAAAAAAGGGGGGGGGGAGGAAAATAACGGCTAAGAATAATATACGAGCGTACATTTGCTCCCATGTCGCTATTGTCTCGCACGTGTATTCCCACTATGTACAGTCGGACGATAAGATTAAGAAGTTAAGAGATGAAAGAAAAGGGAAAATAGAGGAGGTGCCTCGAAGGTCCGAGGTCGCAAAGAAGGGGGTAGAGGGAGGAGGGGGAGGGGGAAGCCGAGGGTAGCCGCCCGATAAAAAGACATCTTAGGGGATGTGCTTCCTTTCCAGCCCTGTCCCCATTGGGAGTCCGCTAAAAACCTTAACCTGCTAGCCGGGTCCAAGTAATTCGGTTTACTTCCTTTCTCAGAAGTCCCGTGATGTATGTTTGGACGGTCTAATTTAGTCTGCCTTTCTCTAATCGCTCACAGTGCTATTTGTCCAGGGGTTCCAAATCTTATCAAATTTCTTCAATGTCCCCCTGACCTGTGCTGTCAGCTTGTCCATTAGGCAAGTATCTTTTATTTTTTGTTTTACCATCGCCATTGTTGGGGTCTCCCTCTGTAGCCACACCTGTGCTAGGGCTCTTCAAGCTGCTAGGTTTATTTTGTGTATAAGGTTTTGCTCAATTCTTGTCCAACCATCCATGGATCTAGACAAGAGAAACACCCATGGGTCAAATTTCACCTTCCTGTCAAAAACATCTCCTTGCAATGCAGCAATCCGTTTCCAATAGGTTTGTGCCTCCCGGCATTCCCACCACGTGTATATATGTACCCTTGCATCTGCATCCTCTCCAACATAGGTCCGTCGGGTTTTTACGCATTCGGTAAAGTGTCACTGGAGTGGTGTACCACCGAAATAAGGTCTTATAGGATTGTTCCTGCAAGGAGACGCACACTGAAGATGATGCAGCAGCCTCCCGTATTTCCTGCCATTCTATGCCTTCCAGAACCTCATTGAGATCTGTTTCCCACTGATCTATATATGTGATATCTCCCCATTCTAGCGTGTGAGTGCTCAGATGAGAATATAAACATGAAATTAAGCCGCTTGGGAATTGTTCCCTCTTGCACATCCTTTCGAAAAACGTTAACTGCGTCAACGCAGCCGTCTTGATCCGGGAGTCTCGGGCATAATCCCTAAGCTGTAGTGCCATAGTGCAGTTTGGGCCAATTGAGCCGCCACGTAGTAAAAATAAAGGTTTGGAAGGCCGAGGCCCCCCTTACCCTTAGCCCTATAAAGTACATTAGGGGAGATCCTGTGTTTTTTATTCTGCCAGATGAATTTGCCTATAGCCTGTTGAAGCGGTTCCAAATTAGCTTTAGTCACCTGGACCGGAAGAGCTTGAAATAGAAATAGTATCCTGGGTAGCACATTCATTTTCACTGAATGTATCCTTCCGATCCACGAGATCGGTTTATCTACCCACTTCTCCATGTCGTTTATTAAATGTCGAATTAGCGGGGCGTAATTTTGCTGGTATAGTTGGGAGGGATCCGCCGTCAACCATATGCATAAGTATTTGATATGGTCCTTCGATCTACGTATGTGATAAGTCCTCCCTATATACGCCGCTTCCTCTTCCCCCACACCTATGGGGAGTGCGCTTGATTTGTGTAAGTTGACTTTATAGCCAGCCACCTCACCGTATTCCGCCAGGATCCCAGTCAGAGCCCCCATAGAAACCCTCGGATCCGTTAATGTCAACAATATATCCTCAGCGAAACCCGATATAACGTATTGCTTACCTCCCACGGTAACACCCTTGACATCTGAGGCATCGCGGATTGTTTGCATGAGGAGTTCCAGCGAAAGAACGAACAGTAGAGGTGAAAGCGGGCATCCTTGTCTCGTGCCATTACTCAGATGGGATGGTTCGTGCTCCCGAAATCTGGATCTGCGCCCTGACGTTTGAGTACAAGGCCCGAACAGCCGTTACGAACTGGGCCGGCATGCCGAAGTGATTTAATACCTCAAATACATAGGGCCATTTGACTCTGTCAAATGCCTTTTTGGCATCCAATGATAGCATCAGTGTCGGAGTGCCCTTTGTAGCCTGTCTTCCTATAAGGGTTATATTGCGTCTCGTGTTTTCGAACAGTTGTCTCCCAGGTATAAAGCCCACCTGATCTGGGTGGATCAGACCTGTAAGGATCTGATTCAATTTACCTGCCAACACTTTTGCAAAAATTTTGGAATCGTGATTAATTAAAGAAATTGGACGAAAATTCTCCGGGATTGAGTCATCTTTGCCCGGTTCAGATAGTAAAACTATATTTCCAAGGACATATCTTTATCTGGCGTCCCCCCGTCCATGAGGTTGTTGAACCAGGGTTCTAAGTGAGGCACAAGCTCCTCTCGGAAGGTTTTATAGTAGCTTCCATCAAAGCCATCCGGTCCAGGGGCTTTATTGCTTTTCAAGGCGGAAATTGCCGCATCTATTTCTTCAGCCGAGACAAGGTTGCCCAAGGCACCCAAAGCCGCCGCGTTTAACTTGGGGAGGTGTAACCGAGAGAGGAACGCTCGTATCCCATCCAATTCCTGACTTGGGTCCCTGACTCCGCCTGTCGAGTGGTGATAAAGTTTGGTATAATAGTCTGTGAACACCTTGGCAATCTCTGTGGGATTAGTCTGGTATTCTCCTACTGCATTCATAATCCTCGTAATGTGTGTGCCCCGTTGTCTAGGTCTAAGGGATCTTGCCAATAGGGTATCCATCTTGTTAGCTTTTTCAAAGAAGGTTCGTTTTGACCACACTATAGCTCTCGTAGTGTTATCTAGGAGTGTTTCTCGAATAGAGTTCCTTACGTTCTGCACCATCGTTAAATTAGTAGGTGTGGGGTCCGACTTATGCCGTTGTTCCGCCTTTCTCAAAACTTCTAATAATGACGATAACAGTTGACACGTCGTTTCTTCAATGTCGCTTCTCTAATCAGTATGCCCCTAATGACCATTTTATGCGCTGCCCACACCGTGGCTTTTGACACGCCTGACTCTGCCTCCCTGGCAAAATACTCGTTGAGTTCCATACGAATAGTCTCAACTATTGCTGGGTCTTCTAGTAGGGATCTATATAGCTTCCATGACCAAGGGGATGCCGCGCTAAGCTCGTCTAGAGTAAGGGAAACATCTGCGTGGTCCGACCATGTTATGGATCCCACCGTGGATTCCGAGACCTTGGGAACAGTTAGGGGGTTCACCAGAAAAAGGTCTATTCTTGAATATGTATCGTGTGGTGGCGAATAAAACATGTAGTCGCTATCGTCTGGATGTTGAGCCCTCCATATGTCTATAAGACCTGACTGTTGTATGAATGTGTGTAATAATTTGTCTTGTCTGCCTCGTCTGTGCGATCGTGGGATTCCCCTACACGGCCCCCTATCCATTGCCGGGGACGTAGCTGCATTAAAATCCCCCCCTACTATGATCATTCCATGTGGTAACGTGTTTACTATGTGGGTCAGCTCTGTCCAGAATTCTCTGGACAGGTCGTTAGGAGCGTATAAATTGAGGATATGAATAGCTTGAGAATGCAAAGCCCCCGACACCAAAACATAGCGTCCCCCTGGGTCCGCACTAATCTTGCTGACCCTAATTGGGCATCTGTGATGTATGAGAATAGCGACTCCATTCTTCTTATTGAGGGCCCTGGCTTCGTAAGAGGTTCTGAAGGTGTGGTCTTTAAGGGCGAACTTTGCTGATTTCGACAAGTGCGTCTCCTGTAGGAAGGCTATGTCGGGGTTCATGCATTTTAGTTCCCTAAACACGAGCCGTCGTTTTTTGGGGGCGTTTAGGCCTTTAACGTTGAGACAATAATTTCACAGGCATGTTTGTAGCCTGTAAGGTATCTCTATAGTTAAACATTCTATCATGTCTGTTCTTAGTCAGAGTACTCGGAGCACCCCTGTCTCCCACCCCCCCCCCACCCTCCAGAGGAGAGAAAGTAGAGATAGGGACAAGAGGGGAAAGAAGGGTAGAAAGAGTTTAGAAGAAGAGAAAAAAAATAAACAAAACATTTTGTACAAAAATCGCCTGGACTTACCTATAGCCAGGCGTAATTGGGGTATATGTCCCATGTCACCCAAAACATCAAAAGAGCCCTGGGACGCTAGGGACATGGACCAGCCAATAATGGCACTACTTGAGTGCCAACTGAAACTTTATAATAATAAACACATTGTATCCTATGCATCAATGCCTGTCGTGTAAGGTGTGTTTTTTTTTTTTTTTTATATATTTTTTTTTAATTCTTTATTTTTCGTGCATAGGTTATACAAGTAACAGTTTTCTAGCAATGCCACAACAGCTATCGCCAGGAGTTTAGTAGACATATAAATACAATTGTATGGCAGGAATAACTTTGCACATTTTTATATATGTATGAGCAGGGTGGTTAATAGTCTAGTACTGTACCAACGGGCGTGTGAGAGATTATGTTCAGAAGGAGACCTTCAGGTTAGGGGGCAAGGGCTAGTGTGCGTAATGGCCACCATGCGAGATTCCTGTTATGTATAAACTTACGTCTGAGTGTTATCGGCCCTGGCTGATCGATAGGATAGTGCCTGTCTAAACTTCAGACAGGCTTTGCTTTAAAATGCACACTGCCCAGTCGCCTTTTATCTTAGGTGTACGTGTCCAGTGTATCTCACATACTTGAATTAAACTATGCATCTGGAGCTAAGTTGGCTAATGCTGTCAGTTCAGATTGACCGTCCAGGTGGACACCTGCATGGAGATCGATACCTAAGACATTCTAACCGAATTTGGCGGCCTCAATTTGGAAAATAGTCAGCCAATCACCTATTCCACTCCGAGCAATCCCATGAGTACAATTTTGTTTGCATATGGGTAGTGATGGGACAGGAAAGTTGCGAGCTAGCTGACCTCTCCAAATCACATAAGCCACCCTGTCCAGGTTGTGAACTGTGTATTCCAGACTTATTATGCATAAGGCTTAAACCATTTTTTTGAATTCAGAGTGCTAAGTCTATCTGTGTTGTTACCAAGTGGTCTGTGGTGTCAGGCGGTTAGTCGTGAGAGTATCTTGTCAGGAGGCCTTATCTTTGGTCCATTTGAGTTACTCTCGAGGGGTATTAACCCTAACCTAAGGGCTGTCAGGGGGGAAGTTGTGTTCTGTATGGTAGTGCATATTACTTTAGTGCACTGGTGTTCCAGCGTCATCCGTGACAGGCTTTCAGCGCGTCATATGGGTTCTTAGAACGTCATAGTAACTAGTGAGTTATCAACAAAGCTTAAGTGGCAGAAGGTGAAAAGGAATAGGAGAAAAAACTTTAAAGAAAAGAAAATTTGCAATTTTTAGCCCTTGAGCAGGGGCGAGGTAGGAGACTTCTCCCCCCACTCCCGTCATATGGCGTGAGTGTCCATTCTCCGTGTCCTCGGGATGAACGGCTCGATCGTCTCCGGGTCCCAGGCCGGGGTGGTGTTCTGGGTGTTCTTGGTTGGCAGACCCAGTTTTGGTAGTAGCGCAGCAGCGTCGGGACCTGTAGCGATTTTGTACGTGTTTCCTTGATGTGTAACCAGGAGGTGGTGTGGGTTACCCCACCGATATGGTATGCCCGCAGAGCGTAACTGGCTGGTGAAGTCGCTGTGGGTCCTTTGCCATTGGAGAGTGGCTCTGGTTAAGTCTTGATAAAAAGTCAAGTGAGACTCCTCGAAGTTGAGTGGCCTCTTGCCCTTGAGTGCCGACATTATGTGTCCCCTATCTTGGGGAAGGATGCAGCGAACTATGACGTCTCCTGCAAGGGGAGTAGATGCTCTTGTCGGGGTGGGTAGTCGGTATATTCCGGCAAAGGTGAGTTTCCTTGCCACCGCAGGGGGAAGTATAGCTTGCGTGAGCCGTCTCACGTAGTGAGGTAGGTCCTCTTTGGAGACTGTGCCAGGGATACCTGGGATTTTAATGTTGTTGCGTCTGTGTTTGTCTTCTTGGGCTGCTAGTTGTACCTCTAAGTTTTGTTGATTGTGTTGTAGTTGTAAGAGGGAGTCTTGCAGCGAGGTGATTTCACTTTGAATCCCTTGCACTTCTCTCTCAGTGTGTACTACCTTTTCAGTGATTTGTTGCATGCTGGTTTTAAGGGTAGGTAGATCTGCAGCTAGTAGGCTTTGTATTTCCTGCAGCATGTTTTGCATATCCTGTAGGTCCTGTTTGGTGGCTGGTGCGGTGGTACCCTGCTGGGGTGTTGGTTGTAGCCATGGAACCCCGTGAGTGTTTTGCTCCCCTGAGTCAGACTCTGCTGGGGAGTCAGGGCCTTGTGTGGCCGCCATTTTGGCGGGTGTTTGCCTCTGAAGCATTATGCCTATATCAGGCTGATCGATACCTTGTGGTGGTTTCTGGGATCTGCGCCCCATCCCTGAGGTTCCGTGGTCGGAGCTGTGCCGAGATGTGTCCCACGCGTCCTCTAGGAAGTCCCCGCCTGACAGGTAATCCAGGCCGTGGTGGGCTGATGAGAGGTAGGCCCGGGCTCTTAGTTTAAGCTTTGCCTGCTTCGGGGTGTACCTGAAGGGCATCGATCGATTCCGGGGGATCTCCCCCGTACTATGCCGGTGGTCGTGTGGCTGGATGACAGGTTTGTGGGCTGATTTCCATCGGATTAGGTCCGTGGATGTTGGAGCCCGCAGAAATGGCGTCTGGCCCGTCTCGTTTCCAGACTCCGCCCCCGTCGTGTAAGGTGTTAAGGGCGACCACGCAAGGTTTGACGATTCATGTATCGTAATAGCAAGTGACACATTATCGTGTACAGGTCGCTGTATATATCCATATCCCTCTCTGTTCACCCTCTCCCCTTCCCTTTACCAACAAATCTTTCCTCTCCTTATTGCCTTGAAAAATCAGTCTCTTTTCCTCTCCTCTCCCTTCCACTTTTTTTTTTGTTTGTCTATTAAATCTAATAATAGGAAAAAGTAGGCCTGCCACGTAGCAACATAGGTTCATAAGAAGCGATCATAAAAGACATAGGTAACGGTTAGAAATAGGGTTTTATAACCAGCAATATGGAGGGGCATCCCCAAGGGCTAATCTTACATTCTAAGCTGTTTATGTGACAGATGCACCGGCAATGTGTAGCATTGGCAATATATAGCATCAGTAATGTACAATCGTGTAAGTAAACAGTGAGTTAACCAATAATGCAATTTCACAGGAGGGGGCCACACCATACCAGTCTGCCAAAGGGCTTCCCGCTACCATGCGTCCGGCCCCGGGTCCTCCCCCGCACCTCCCCATGATGGGAAGGGAGGGCGAACCCCCAGATACCGGCCCATCACCTCAGCCACACTCCCCCCCCCCCTTTGCCCCGATCGGGAATCCCTTCAAAAAGGATTTGCTATGTACCCATCCCACCCCGGGCATGTAACTGGTTGAGTGACGGAGCATATTCAGGGGGTGGAAAAGCCATGGTAAGCCTAAACGGCCTCCCCTCTTAGCGGCAGATACTTCTTGGGCTGCTTCTTTGGGGCCCGCTTATCCATGTCGGCTCCCCCGTGTGTTGCTGTGTTCAGATCAATTTTTTTTAGCTTTAGTTTGCTGTTGGCCTTGTGGTCCTAGCGGAGCTTCATTTGGACACGTCCATCTTGCTCTGGCTGCAGACCACACCCCCCTACAAGGTTTTCTAACAGAATTTGTGTTTGTTTCGTATCTTGTAAGTATGACTTGAGGCCCGCCACTAACGGATGTAGTAGTTTCTCTAAAAATTGTCTGCTTCTCTCAGTAATAGAAGATTTACCGGAGACTATTGGTCTTCCTGGTGGGTTGTTAATATTTTTATGGATCTTCAGCAGGCAGTAAAAAGTGGCAGTGGTCGGGGTCAAGTGAGGTAGCATAAATTTGTATTCTTCCTTAGTTAGAATACCATCTTCAAGTGCTGGTTCCAAGATAGATTTTAATTCTCTCAGGTACTGTGTAGTTGGGTCTTTTGGTAATCTGCTGTATGGATCTCTCAGATGTTCCATGCAAATCTCAATATTTTTTTCTTTCCAGCAAGACTGTTACCGGCTTTGTCATAGGATTTATTGATAATATTAATTTCTTGACTCAATTCTCTCACGGCCTTACGTTCCAATGAGGTGAGATTGTCTTGTTCAATCTTTGGAGTGGTGAGGGATTCAATCTCTTCTTGATATATCGATCTATTCGGTATCAATTTTTATTTTGTAATATACTGTTCCTTTATTATTTCCCTGTTATGTCACAAATTGAACAAGCCGTTCGCGGTTTTCATTTCGTACGGTTATTTGGCTAATCAGTATATTAGTTAAAGTGGTCATTTTGCATATAACTATTCCGTGTTACAGTGAAACACGTTATCATTTTGGTTGTTTTGCCGTTCGGCACTTATTCATGATACGCTTAAACACGCTTGCTGTTCGCATCAAATTCATGCGTTTAAACTATTCGTTCCAGCTACTGTTTCCCTTCACATTGGGTTTCGGTTTTATTTCTATGTATTACGCATAAATCCTTTCGTGGATTACATTCATCATTTCATGTATATACCATTCGGGTAACGAATTGCTTGGTTAAATAGACAGATTATTTCCATTACTGTTTAAAGATATCAGTATTGTATTAATGTCCATACAAAACCAGCTCACATATCTGTATGGATCATTTTGACTCCCACACTTTCAGGGGTCTGCCATACTTATCCATTTCATTCAAGTTAATTCAGCCTACATTACAGGCCTCATTTCTGTGTTATAAACGACATACATAAGGATACAGTTTCCTTTTCCAAGTAATAAATTCTCGGGTTGAATCAAGTACTGATCCAACCAATCATACGTCTTTTACATTACAGTAATATTATATATATAACTTTACATCACTTTAAAGCATTGTGTGTATCCCTGCCCCTTTTTTGTTATTCTATTTTATATCAACATAACACTGTTTAAATATAGGCCACGGCCTCCCTCACCCATGTTCTTTTTCTACTTGACACCCATCATACATTCCCCTCTGTTTTATACAGAACTGTGCATTAAAGACATGGCATCACTTTGCCTTGGTAACACATTTATATTCTCATGGTATATCACTACACTTCATTTACCAAGTAATACGCCATCAAGCCTAAAAAAATATCACGGGTACGGGCTACACAGTCTACTTCATTCCCACACAGTCCACACTCACTATACTACTCTCTTTTACCCGTTTTCATGCTGTCCAGGTTTAAATAGATATTTCACCACACAGTTTCCTGTGAGATATTCATACTACCAGGTACGTACACCTGCTCATATGGTATTCTGCCATACATTTCATTTCTCCCCCCTAGGTTAGAGTACTGGCAACAGGGTCATAGGCTTCCCAATAGGTATTTACCCCTTCTTGGCAATTGCCATCAGTTAGTGGTCCTGCGAGGCCAACACCCCGTCTCAACGTTTCAGAGGCAAACACCCATCGGGCCACATATTAGCTAGCCGCCTCGCATGTTGCACAGAGAGGGCCTCACCTGTCACTTCCTTTCCCTGTTTTTCTGTGTTACAGTCACCAAGAGGCCTAAAATTCCCGCCACTACAACGGGTGGCCTCAAATCCCCTCGCGCCAACGCATAGATAGAGCCTCTCAAGGCACTTGGCAACTAGTAGCGCCTCACCTGTCACCAAACAAGTGTAATGTTTTGCCATCCGGCTTAGCTAGCCTGCCAGTACGATTTGGGTGGTTTTCATACACAAATTAATTGTTTTGTTTATAGTATGTCTCAGGAAGGGGTAGAGGATTTCTCCCTGCCTAGCCCTCCGGCTAGAGCTATCACTCCTACACAAGGAGGAGAGGTAAATAGTCCAGCATTGATCAGATCCTGGACGATCCCTCGTATAACTACGGAATTGAGGAGACGGCAAATCCTCTATCCCGCTACAGCAAGGAAAGCAGAACTTTTCAAACTGCTACGTACCTCAACTAACAACATGGATCCCGGGGAAGGACCTAGCCAGTCCAACCCAGGAGACATACATTCCATGTTGTCTTCACTCATGGCGTCCATGAGCAGGGTCAACTTCAGGCTGGAGAAACTTGAGTCGGTCACCACGGCCCTTACTCTAGCAGGGCCACCCGCTGCTGCTTCACAAGCACCAGCCGACTAGCTATTGGTTGCTCCAGCCATCACCCCGGATGACCAGGAAGTTAGCCCTGCTCATATGATCCCTGAGCACATAAAAAGAGATATCCTGGAAGGTAAAGAAGTCAACCTGGCTTCCCTGCTGATTGCCTCCCAGGATATTGTGGAAAATAAGACTTATGCTTATGATGATGTGTCTGTTGTTGTCAGATCTGCCTAAACAGGAAACTGACTAGCCCCGAGTTTGTACTGGCCTTTGGTATTTACCGGGATGTCATCTGTGCGGTCTATCCCAATAGAAGAGAGGAGTTTGATCTTTATATGCATAAGCTGGTAGATCTGGGCAACAAATATGGTGGTTCAGCCTTTTATGACTACCATAGGTCTTTTTCTGCAAAAGTGTCTGGAGCCTTCTACCAGTATGGAACAAGATCCAATTGGGGAAGGATTGATACCGTCATATTTTGCAGACACTTTGCTGGTCTAAGAACACCGGCTTGTGCATACTGCTCCTCTACAGCCCATACGACAAATTTCTGTCCCAACACAGCTGACGAACATGCCTCCACCAAAGGAGCTAGTTCCTCTTGTGTTCCAGAGAAATTGACAAGAGACAAACTGGGACGCCCAATCAAGTTTCTGGGCAAGTCCCAGATATGTAACAATTTCAATGTTGTAATTATAGCGGTTGCAGATTATTGCATATCTGTTTAACCCCTTAAGGACACATGCCATATGTGACATGTCATGATTCCCTTTTATTCCAGAAGTTTGGTCCTTAAGGGGTTAAAATGTTTTAGGGCACATGCAAAAACCATGTGTCCAAATAAAATGTACTTTAAGCCTTACCTAACGTCCATTAAAATGCAGGTATTTACTGCATTTATGTCACATCAACCGTCTAAACACTTGGTGGACTTTCTTATCTCTGGTTTAACAGAAGGCTTCCACACGGGTATTCTACACATACCATTCGGGACTCTGGAATGCCCTAATCTACAATCCGCACAACACAATCCCACAGCTGTTGACACTGTCATAGCCCAAGAAGTTGCTGAGGGTTTCGTATTGGGGCCTTTCAAAGCTACTCCATTCAAAGAATGGCGCACTAACCACATTGGTATTGTCACAGGAAAATATTCCCTTAAACAGAGACTCATCATTGACTTGTCTGCACCACACTCACCGGCCAACCCCAGTCTTAATTCCCTCATACCCTCTGAGGAATTCTCCCTGCAATACACCACCATAGATTACGCCATTACAGCGATCATACAAGCAGGGGTCGGAGCCTGGCTTAGTAAGACCGATATTACTAATGCCTTGAAATTGCTACCAATCCACCCCACACTGTGGCACCTGCATGGCATCAAGTGGGCCGGGAACTACTATTTTTTCTCCCGTTTAACTTTTGGGTCCAAAAGTAGCCCAGCTATTTTCGACACATTTGCCGAAGCATTGTGCTGGTTACTATTGAACATAGCCAGATGCCCTACGGTATTACATTACCTGAATGACTACTTACTGGTCGAGGAAAATACTTCCCCTCCTAGTAGCCTCAAAGCTACCACCAAGCTATTCGAGCAACTAGGTGTCCCAATCTCCCCTAAGAAAACGGAGGGGCCAGACACGATTAGCACTTTCCTGGGTATTCAATTAGATTCAACCACAATGCAAGCAAGCCTACCACACGACAAGATAGAGAACATTCTTACCTACATCAACTGCTACCTTCAGCTCGGTACTTGCAACCGCAAAGAGCTACAGTCCCTGCTGGGGTCACTAAATTTTGCCATGTGTGTCATACCTCAAGGCCGCTCCTTCATATCACGACTCTTGTATCTTTTTCAACGCTTCCTACACGACACACACAGGTTGTCCTTAGATACCCAAGCTACGGCAGACTTACGCATGTGGAAGAAATTTTTAACCACTTGGAATGGTAAAAGTATGTTCCTCCCTCAATTGACTGACTCATCACCTACCATTTGGTCAGATGCGGCATCTACCACAGGTTTTGCAGCAATTTTGGGAGCGAATGGATTTGGGGTAGCTGGCCTACAGCAGTTCAGGATTTGGAAGGTTTTTCCACTACCTCAGCTCTCTTTGAAATCTATCCCATCGTGGCGGCTGCTGTAGCATGGGGTCATTTATGGGCAAATATGTCAGTTCGTTGTTACTCAGACAACCAGGCAACCTGTCACATCATCAACAAAGGTCGCTCCAAATCTCCAAAAATTTCTGAGGAAACTCACTTGGTTGGAAGCTTGTCATAATTTCTTTCTATATTGTTTCCATGTTCCAGGTATATGTAACACAGCTGCTGACAGTTTGTCTCGTTTTAAATTTCAGGCATTTCATCAAGCACTCCCGTCAGCTGCGCTCACAGCCACCACCACTCCAACATTTCAACAACTAATACTGGACTAGACATCATCATGCATCATAGCAGGACACTGTCCCAATTGGCACTGTCAAAAAATACACACAAAACATACGACAGGGCTTTTACACTATTCAAAAGATTCCTTTTGGAACATAACATCATGCAACCATTTGTTATGACATCTTTTTTGGGTTTTGCTTCTTTTTGCCACTTTAAACTTAAAATGTCATATAACACCATCAAACTTTATCTCACAGGCATTCAACACCATATGCTGATCTTACAACCAAACAACACTAGTTTCATGGCCTCTCACCAGATTAAGACTATACTCAGAGGCATTCAGAAATCTGAACCCACATGTACATCACAGAGGCTACCCATAGATAACCATATCTTCAAAGCACTGTCTAACCTGCTTGATTTAAAACCTTTTGACACCAACACAAATTGTGTCATCAAAGCAGCAATATACATAGCTTTCTATGGATTCCTAAGACCTAGAGAGTTTACTACAACCAACACAACACAATCTACTCCTATTCTCCTCTATTCCCACTTAACAAAACACATGGATCATTACATCCTGACGCTACCTCACTCCAAAACCAGTCAGCACATACCAGTAAACATTCCATACTATCCCACGCACAACAGGTGGTGCCCCGTCAAGGTTCTGGATGCATACATACAGCACCATAATTCACTACCATCACAACCATTACTACTATTACAAAGTTCGGTACTCACCACTACAACCTTCATGACCTACGTCAGGTCTCACTCAACTGGGCCTCAACGCAGCTAACTACTCAGGGCACTCCTTCCGCATAGGAGCAGCATCCACAGCCTCCAGTGTCAACATTCCAGTTTATGTTATAAAAACACTGGGGCGCTGGAAGTCATCCGCTTACTCACGATACATACCGAACCCAGTACAAGAATTAAGGGATGCTTTCAAAAACATGTCTGGTTGATATATGTATCTGTATTGGTTGTCTGTAATAAATTTGATTACTTAATTTTGCCCTCTTCTTTCTCAGGCCTACCTCATCGTCGGTTCCGGCACACCACAACCGACTTGCCCTTTTTACTATCCTACATTTAATTATGGTATTTTACTCTGTACTATCATGAGCACCTAACACAAGTATTAAGGCAATTTGGCCTGGATTTGTGGGAGGTGCTTGGTATCCACTCCTAGCCTACTTAAGGCACACCCCTTACCTTGCTCCTTACCGTTCGAGGTCAGCGTTGAATGACTCTCCCACCACACCACATTTTAACATTTATTTCCTTTCTATTTCTTTTTCCTGGGTAGGCCCTCTTCTTTCTCAGGCCTACCTCATCGTCGGTTCCAGCACACCACAACCGACTTGCCCTTTTTACTATCCTACATTTAATTATGGTATTTTACTCTGTACTATCATGAGCACCTAACACAAATATATATATATATATATATATATATATATATATATATTTTTTAACTAACAAAATGTGTTGTCCTTCCAAGACTTCTGGAAATATGTCTCTAGTTTAATGGTTTAATTCTTCACAGAAACCATAACAAGCGATGTGCACAAAGATTCTGTTCACTGACCGTTCCTTTAAAAAATATTTCTTAAGCGATAATCTTTTTTTAATGGAAATTACACTGGACATACAGTGAAAAGCTCCCCCGCAGGATAGATCTGGGTAATCTATGCATTTCGTCACTTTATCAAGTTTACCTTGATATGCATTACGTGTTTTACAACACTTTATCAAGTTCAAGGTGAACTTGATAAAGTGACGAAACGCGTGATTACCCAGATCTATCCTGCGGGAGTGAGCTTTTCCCTGTATGGCCAGTGTAATTTCCATTAGAAGATGATCGCTTAATAAATATTTTTTTTAAAGGAACGGGTAGTGAACAGAATCTTTGTGCACGTCTATACCGGTGCATCTGGTATTATTTCAAGCTACACTGTGGAAAGGAAGAATGTAATTATACTATATTGAAGGAGGTATCTGAATTATTTATCTGTTTTTTGTTTTCCTTCCTTCCATTTGGTTCAATTCTACCTTGCTTTAGTATTTTAAATCATTCCATATTGTAGGACATTGGATTGCCTTCTTAAAACAAATGTAAATATATTAACTATTTCTGATTCAGATTTAGTTGAAGGTGCAGAAGCATACAATATGTGTTTTTATTATAAAAACAAAAAGTGTATTGCACTTTAACCTTTGATGCCTAGGACTTTTTCTTTTCTGGAAGTTACTGTTCTTCATGCTCTTACACCCGTAAACTCTTAAAGAGGCACTATAGGCACCCAGACCACTTAACCCTTTAGTGACTAGACCATTTTTCAATTTTCTTACTGTTAAGGATCAGGGTTGTTTTTAAATTTCTGCAGTGTTTTTGTTTAGCTGTAATTCACCTCTTTCATATTAAATGCACCCACACTTATTATATATCTTTTTGTTCACGAGAAATGGGGCTTTCATTTCATATCAAATATTTATATATGAAACATAATTAATATAAAAATATAAAAAATCTGAGAAAATAAGAAATGTTGTAAATCATTTTTAGTTTTGCATGGCATTTAAACTGTGTCATAATACTGATAGCTGTTACTGCAATAAAGTACACACATTTGTATTCAGCGTTGTCTCACAAGTAAAACAGTACCCCCCATGTATAGGTTTTATGGTGTTTTGAAAAGTTACAGGGTCAAATATAGCATGTTACATTTTTCAATTTATAAAGATTGAAATTTGCAAGACTGGTTATGTTGCCTTTAAGACCAAAAGGTAGCCCAGGAATGAAAATTACCCCCATGATAGCACACCATTTGCAAAAGTAGACAACCCAAGGTATTACAAATGGGGTATGTCCAGTCTTTTTTAGTAGAAACATTGTCACAAACACTGGCCAAATTTTGTGTTAATATTTGTTTGAGTGTGAAAAATGCAAAAAACTAATTTGAATGCCAATTTTGGCCAGTGTTTGTGACTAAGTGGCTACTAAAAAAGACTGGACATACCCCATTTACAATACCTTGGGTTGCCTACTTTTGTAAATGGTATGCTATCATGGGGGTAATTCTCATTCCTGGGCTACCTTTTGGTCTTAAAGGCAACATAACCAGTCTTGCAAATGTGAAAAAAACTGAAATGCAAGCCTTATATTTGACTCTAACTTTTGAAAACACCATAAAACCTGTACATCGGGGGTACTGTTATACTCGGGAGACTTCGCTGAACAGTAATATTAGTGTTTCAAAACAGTAACACATATCACAACAATGATATCGGTAGTGAAAGTGTTGTTTGTGTGTGAAAAATGCAAAAAATGGCACTTTCACTGACTATATCGTCATGATACATTACACTAATATTTGTGTTCAGTGAAGTCTTCCGAGTAAAACAGTACCTCCCATAAACAGGTTTTATGGTGTCCTGGATAGTTACAGGGTTAAATATACGACCTGCGAACCGAATTCTCTGGACATTCTGCCTGGGTTGTCAGGCAGGCCCCTCAAATTGTAATTAATAAAATGACTTATTATGTAAAAATATTATATAAATATATTTGTAGAATTTATATATGTGTGTATTTAGAACGTCATTCTAAATGTATTTTGATTTAAATATATATGTATATTAATATCAAAATATAGTTAGAACAAACGGTATATACATTTTTTAATTACATTTTTTTGCTTTTTTAAAATGTATTTTTATATATATAATTAACATAACTCTAAGTGTATTTAAATATTTAAAAATAAATAAATATATATATATATATATATTAATATTAAAATACACTTAGAATAATGGATTGTGTATGTGTATAGAAAAGTACTTGTCTGAGATGCCAGGCAAGTCCCCACATTGTGATCGCCAGCAATCAGGTAAGTGCATATTTGCCACAGTCCTTAAGGACCAATTTTTGTTGGACGTACCTAGGTTCGCGGTCCTTAAGGGGTTAATCTCATTGAAGTGGTCCAAATACAGTGTCCTTGTCCCCCTTAGTCCAGCAATGTAAATATTTGCAGTTGTAGAGCATCTGCCATGATTACCTTGCAGGATTAAGACTGCCTCTAGTGGCTGTCAATCGGAAATCCAATAGAGGCACTTCCTGGATGCTAACGGATTCTAGGTCTGCTAAGTGATGCTTGATGTCCTTACACTCTGCATGAGGACATCCAGCATTAGTGAAATCCCCATAGCAAACTGCAATGTTTACACTGCAGGATTAAGACTGCCTCCAGTGGCTGTCTAGTAGATATCCAGCATCTGAGAAAACCCCATAGGAAAGTACTGAGGCAGTGCTTTCCAATGAGGAAGGCCTAATGTGTTTGCCGCACGTGCGCATTAAGTCCCCCCCATCAAATGATATTGGAGGAGGCTGGAATTGGGCAAGTAAATAAAGGCTTATTTAACCCTTTACATTGTCAAAGGCTGAAGAACACATTTGTTTTAGGAATACAAAAATGTATTCCTAGCACTATAATGTTCCTTTAAAGGGGCAACAAAGGTAGGTGGGTGTGTGTGTGTGAAAAAGAAAAAAAAAACTAAGCACATTAAGCTAATTGGAGTGTAAAAAGGACACTACAGTGCCCAAATAAAAAAATCATTATTCAGTAGGGATACTCCAACTGAAAAGTATTTTTGTGTGTGTGTGTGTGTGTGTGTGTGCAAAAAACTGCAGAGCTCTTGCCTGCTGCTTTCGCTAGCCCTCCTCTTCTAACCTCACCCAGACTTTCTGTGGCTGTCCAAGTACATTTCCCAATACAGCGCAATGAGACGTATTTGCAAGGCAGGTGCTCTGGGCAATTGCGGCCTCTTGAATTTAGCTCCAACCAGATTTAACAACCAGAAAGGAACATAACCTATTGTCTGACAGCCAGGGGATGTAACAAGGCTAATTTATAAAAGTGCCAAATTTTGGAAAGCTTTACTTTTTGTAAAATTAAAAAATGTGGACATACTTTTCATTTCGGCATGCTAAAGTTATTCAGGAGTCCAAAGTGTCCTTTTTAAAAAGTGCATAGTATAAAGTAGTCCACTCAATCTTGACAATCACCTTTAAAGATGGGCGCTTAAAATAAACTGCATATCGTTGGTAATGGTACAGATCTCCATATTGGAAGTATGATTTTATTAAAACACAATTCATCCAAATATAAAAAATAAATAAACAACTTGCTTTACTTTTCTGCTTAGAATTTGTACTTGGATCCAAAACAAGATGGGTCTCTACGTATAGAGTAACACATTTTACTGCAGGATGGATTTATTTCCCCCTTCAATCCATATTGTCTGTTTTTGCCCATCTCAACACGACTTCTTTTTGCAAAGTGTGAACATTTTGTGATTTTCAAATGTGCTACCCCGTCCCACTTCAGTGGTTCTTTCTTCACTAGGTTGGGGTGAACAGTTAGAGTGGTGTGCCATGTAACGGAATGGCCACTGAGTCGGTAAACAGGAGGCCAGTGTGTGAATAAGTCTCTATTGAGGTGGGAACAGTCCCCCCCCTTGTTCTGTGTGCTCTGTGGTTTATCCCATATTTACCTGCTGGCAGGCACTGTGAGGTTTTATCAAACCCATTAACTCCTTCACTACATATAGCTTTCCTGAGCAGAGAATGCATTACAAATGTTTAAAACAAACAAACCACAAACTAGTTTTTCAAAATAATGAAACAATCCTGGCTCAAACTGTTTCTATTCCTGTGCACTGTAAACACTAAAGCCTTATTTCAGGGTCTTTTGGATTAATTTTCTCATTCCAATACCTCATTTTAAACCAACAAAGTCTGATTAACATATACTTTAAAAAAAAATAATTCTTAAATAAATGTGGTGCAGGTTTTTAAATATTAATCATAGGTATTTTTAACCAAATGGTTAGCGAAATGTAGCTGTTTTATAAAATACCTTTTTTCTTTCTTAAAATCATGGCGGGTTATTAAATAGAGGGGCGGGGGGGGAGAAACACACCTCTATAGTGTCATTCTGGTGCTAAAAACATATTGTTCTATCATCCTGTCATAAGGTAAACTACCCGGAAGCACAGTGCCAGAAACCCTGTGCCAAGGAGGTCCCCGAGGGCTGTGAGGTAAGGGATTGAGAAGTTGTCAGGATCGAGTTCTTTTCTCCATACGAACCGCACAATGAGGTCAGCAATATACAGCAGAATGGCAACCTGTAAAATGAATAAGCAACACACAATGTGAAATGTGCCATTATCAGTATTGTCTACAAAGCCAAGCTATTGCTAATACTGTCTGTACTTAATATTTCATATACTGGTTTCCTGGCGGGCTTATTGTCTGTTGTGGTTTTTTGGTTTGTGAAAGTGAATTTGCCGTTTCATTAAGTATACTTAACAGAATATATTTAGATGGAATAGGAAAAACACTTTAACTCTGCTGTTTTTATAGTATGTTCAGATCCCGTGTTAATTCTCATTCCTGGTTTAATGTATAAACCCCTTTGTGTACAACTTATATGAATCCATATAAAGAGCATTTTATCGCAAGTTGTGTTCCAATTGGTCATTGTGTTTTCTGCAATGAAGAGGATAAATTACAGTCTATCCCTTAACTATTTCACTTTCTATTGCAATGCAGAATTAAAGGGACACTGTAGGCACCCAGACCACTTTAGCTCATTGACCCTGCAAGTGTAATTATTGAAGTTTTTATAAATTGTAATAATTACCTTTCTGGGTTAAGTCCTCCTCTAGTGGCCGTCTACTAGACCAACACTAGAGGGACTTCCGCGTTCTTAGATGACTTTTGGTCGTCTAAATGATGCTGGACGTCCTCACGCTATGCGTGAGGACCTCCAGCGTCACCGGAAACCCCACAGGAAAGCATTGAATAATGTTTTCCTATGCGGAGGTCTAATGCGCAGATGTCGGCGGGGGAGGAGCGTGAGCGGAGCCTGACCCAGCGCAGAGGGACATCGGCGCTGGATTCAGGTAAGTGACTGTCAGGGTTTTAACCCCTTCAGCGACGCAGGAGGGAGGGGGGGCACTCCAGGATTTTACAGTGCAGGGGAAAACTGGTTTGTTTTCCTGGCACTAGAGAATCCCTTTAAGCTAACCAATATAAAGGTGGAGTTAACTTTTTAAAACTTCCTTCTATAGTAGAACAGCTTAGTATAATACCAGGTAAGACTTTATTTATTTAAACAAACTCTCAACATGTTTTGTATCATGGAAACATAGCTGCAACAACAAAAAAATTAAATATTAGCATGTACTGGATGATTTCAGAAAATACATTTTAGAGGTAGATCACTAAAAATCCTATTCTCTTGAAAAAGCAAGCGCCTCCTTTATACATTTAAATATTTGTGTATTTTAGTGTTTCAAAACATACTCCAATGTACACTACTGATAGCTTTCTATAATTTTATTTAAATAAAAAAATAAAAAAAAACACTATAGTGACCAGAATACAAACCTGTATTCCGAGCACTATAGTGCTCTATCCCATAGTTTGGTTAGTGGGCCTCTGCCTTTTGCACTATAAATAAATTACACATATATGGATTTCTTGCCTTTTTCCAGAGCCGAGACTTCCACTGCTGACCTATCTACCTCCTGTGACATCTTCCAATCCAAAATTTGTCACAGAGGAGCACTGGCGAGTACTGCACACATCCAATGCCTCTCATGGAAAAATATTAAATCCACTGCTTTCATGTGAACTGCAATGCCAAGTGACTGCATTTTACTCAGTCAGTGCAGTGGAAGTGCCTCTAGTGGCTGTCAGTATGACTGCCACAAATAGTGTACTTAACCCATAATGTTAGACATTAAGGTTTTTGTAAAATGGCAATGTTTTAACTGGGTTAAAAGTACATGTCCACTGCATTGAGATGAAGTGGTCTAGGAGACTTTAGTAGTGCTATAAAAATAATTTTCCAGCCTCTCCCCTTTATATTTTACCTATTATCCAGTGCCAAGACTGTTGCTTCAGTGCAGCTGCTCCACCTTCTGGTAAATCATCATTTGTAATTTTTCATACTGAGCATGATGATGCTGAAGACAGCCACTAGAGACATATTCTCTAGTAAATGTGAATATTGCAATTTCTCCGAAATAAAAATGCTTAAATTGCCAGAGAAAAGGCAGCATATGCATCTTAACTAAATTTAAGATTATGGGGAACCTTGTATACTTTCTATACAGCCTTGAAAATAATCTATTGGTAAGAAGTACTTAATGAGATATTCTTAGCGCCAAAGTGAATCTAGCTTAATTAAGTGTTTTTTGTGTATAGCTTATGCCCCTGCAGTCTCACTGCCATTTTGGAGTATCACTTTGTTAATGCTGCCCTAGCCACAGCTGCCTTGGTTGTTGCTCATACAGCCTCCCTACACAAGTCCTGAAAAAAGACTTGGAAAAATCTTATCAAATTATCAAATCAAATTAAAGTATATACATTGTAGGTAAATCCAGTCTCTCCCAGTCCTACTTCCTACTTCATCTTGCTGCTGCTACCTCTGGGTCCTTTATATCCTTAGGTGGGGATTATTCCACCTGAAGCTGTTCACACTAGAGCAGGTCCATTGCTCTAGTATATGTAAGTAGGATTATTTTTATTTGCAATATACCTACATGTACTATTTACACTATTAGTGATCCTTTTGTTTCCTGTCTTATATACTGTGAAAGTCCATCTCTATAAGCCTACCAGGAAGATCTCATATCAAGAAATCCACAGACGGGGATTATTCCGTCCAGGCCCTTCCAATTGAGCTTATATAGCTCTCCAAAGTGTGAGTTTGGATCATATATTCCTTCTATATTTAGTCCGCTGTTATAATATATTGCACTATTATTCTATTTTGTTCTTTTTTAAGCTATATCATTGACAAGTATCTTCTACCACGTATGTAATATATATTTTTTATATATTGTTAGCGCTGTTCACCTTTCTATTTCATATACCTGTTTTGTTTTTCACAAGGTTAAGGGAACACCTTGTTGGTGAATTGCAGCTCATTTACAGATAGAGAGCACTTGTTCCTGTTTTTTACACTGAAAAAAGACTTAAAACATTGTTTAGCTTCATTTTTTCCACAGTGTTTTAAACGTAGAATTTCTTATCTCTTGCTCTGTTAAGGGACCACTAAAGTAAAACATTGCAGTTTTGTAGAAACCTCAATGTTAACATTGTATGGTTAAATACATCTCGAGTGTCTGTCTTCCTGGCAGCCACTAGAAGTGCTTTCTCCTCCAGAACAGGTAAAGCTCTGTCCTGGAGTCAATTAATAAATGCAGCGCGTGCGTATCTTCAATCCATTTCTTCTCTATGAAAAGCACTGGATTGGAGGAGACCGTGGAAGATGTCAGCAGGCATGCTGATGCATTCGGTGGCTGCAGCGGAGGGGTGCCAGCACTGGAAACAAGGAAAGTAATCTTTATTTAACTTATTTTTTTTTTTATTAGTAAAGGGGGGGTAGACAGAAGGGAACCAATAGGTTCCCTTTAAAAGATTGCTAGAGCCTAGTGTAGTCTCCTTAGTGTGTGTGTGTGACTAAAGTTCAATTAACAGCAAGAGGTAAAAACTTCTAAAATAAACATATTGTGCTGTAAGATTTGATTACAAATACACCTTTTTTTTTTTTTTACCATGGAGACTGTGTAAGTTCTAGCAAGGGAAGGTGTGATTAGGGCTACAAAAACAGCAGTGACTCAACTCTTAAATGGAAGAGAACAGAGCAGTGAGACCGCAGGGGCATTATCTAAACACCAAAACTGTTTTATCAAGCTGAAGTTATTTTGGTGCTTAGAGTATCCCTTGAAATGAGGTAACTGAGCATGAGTTTAAGGAAAATATATAGCACTGCTACTGAAACTAATTCGATACAATTTGGTTGTTGGGTATAGACTATCGAACATGGACAAAGCACGTTCTAGGGATAAGCAGATCCCCCCCCCCCTAATTTTTATGCATTAGATAATGTATTTATACCTTGGGGTTGTTTGCAGCTGAAACTGTCACTTTTATGCTGAAATCACTATTTCAGCACTACTTTTCTCAAGTTCACAGTGACAACTGGTGTGGGTTTAATTTATGCATCCACTCTCTCTTTCTTATATTACTAAACAAGGTTTGTAGACACGTATTTGGTTTTGGTATGGTTTCCTCTCCCAAAATGATGTTTACTCACTGAACTAGACTTAGTGGATAATTACAAGGCACTTCAAAATTTAGGCCAAAATAGCAGAGCTGGATTTTTTTAGGGGGGAAAATTAGGTTCTCTGCTATGCACAGTTCAGTAGATAACCCTTACAGAATGCACAACATTGTTTTTCCGAAAAGTGATCTGCTCCAAAATAGGAAGATGCATGTGCAAACTCTGCAACAACTGTAGACACAAGCACATTCTAAACACGAGAACTTTAGAGAGGAGAGAGGTTCCGCAACCATGAATTATCATCTAAAAATGTGTGCTGTCCTTTGTTTAAACAGTGTTACCTGCAGCAGGGCAGCAGCCAAATATAGTGTCACAAACAGTGGAGTGAGAGAGATGTGCCCTCCCTGTAAGAAGTAGATTGTGTAGAGGAAGAGCAGGTGCCCAGGGACCACCAACAAGAATAATACTCGAGCAGATTTTGAATTGACACCTGTAAAAAGAAGAATAATGGGAAAAAAATATCACAATGCTTAATTCACTCTGTATACAGTTAAAACTTTGCTTAAATGCAGATATTGTTACAGTAATGTTCAATTCTTTCAGTGTACAAAACAATACAGAGACAATACCAGCCTTTAAAACAGATCAACTAGGGAAAGATGATCTGGGGTTAATTGTGGTCAGAGGAAACCGCCTACAAGATGCCATCAACTGTAACTCCCACAATTCTTAGCCAGGTGTGTATTACACAGAATACAATTGGAAACAGCCTAAAGTTAAGAAGGAGTTTAAAAAGGAGACTCGATGTTGTATCATGCAACTTTGTGTTGCATTTCTCTTGATCGTGCTGGAATTTCAGTGAAATTCCAATGTTACCTGCAGACAGAATTTCAGAAAAAATCAGAAAAATTGACCATCAACAAATCTGCTATAAATCACAGGCAGGCGTTAGGTGGAGGGGCCTAGATGAATATTTACAATCTGTCTGTAAATTACACGTTTTAAATCACAAGTCCTAAAGCTTGGCCTCCATCTGTCAGATTATATACTCAGAATTTTACTGCCAGTTAAAGGACACTAAAGTGTTAGGAATACAAACATGTATTACTAATGGTATAGCGCCCTAGTCACCGTTTAGGTGACCAGGCCAGCTCTGCAAGGGTTAAAGGAGGTGTACTTCATTAAGAAAAGAAAAAAATATGGGACAAACTCATCCCTATAGGATCCTTCAGCCATGTACATGCCCCTTTGGTCGGCAGTGTTTGAAAACGAACAGTCTCTATGGTCTTCCCTGTTTCTGTGCAGGAAGTGAAGCAGGGAAGACGATAGAGACAAACTGTCAGTTATAAAGGTAAGGATGAGTTTTTCATATTTTCTTTACATGCACTTCATTAAAAAATATTTCCTATCAATACTTAATGAAAGGATTATTAGATTAAAACATTTGTCCTTTAATGGCCTAAGATTAACAACCTTGTTCTGGAACACAAGATTCCTGAGTTAGCATGTTCTTTAGGGTTGGTGGGATTTTAACTTTTTGTTCAATACTTTATTTTTTGCGTGCAATTACAAATGCAGATACAGTGTCTTAAAATTAAGAATCAAAAAGTAACTGCTCATTGTACACAGGGCCGGACTGGGGATACACAGCAGCCCTGGAAAAAATCTATGCCAGCCCCATGTCATTGAGCCTTGTGTGTGAGTGTATATATATATATATTTGTGTGTATAAATTAGTAACTGGAGCAGGATAGTGGAGTGTAGGGGAATGTTGGTGTGTGAATGCAGATTAGAAGGGGTTGAGTTGCCAGCCAGATGTGAAACGTTATGAGCCACCTCAAATGCTTGTGCACAGTATTTTTATTTATTTTTAAATTGCATATTATTTATTCAAGTATGTACACAACTTCAATTTGTGTGTATTCAGGGGCATATTTGTATTAATAGTTTTATGTGTCGGTGTATATGCAGGGCCATATTTGTATGTAGTTCGTGTGGATACAGGTGCATATATATGGAGCAGGTCAATGTGTTTAAATGTAGGGACGTGTGTGTGTGTGTGTGTGTGAGAATGCAGGGATGTGTCTGGAGGTTTGATGAGCGTAAAGGAGCAGAAGTGTGTAGTGGGTCAAAGTGTTCTTGTGTATGGTGGACACTGACTCTCTGCGTGAATGAAGTTGTCAATTTGTATCCCTCATTGTCTGTAGTCCATTTCCATCTGCAATAGCTAGTAGCCCATTACTGCCCCATAGTTTGTAGTCTGTTTTTTCCCTCCTATTTCCCATAGGTAGAAGAAGCCTAGTCTTTGCCCTCTGTAGTTAGTAGCCCATTCCCTTCCCCCCATAGTTAATAGCCTATGTTCCTCCTCTTCCCCTATAGATAGTACCCAATCCCTCCCATAGAAGTAACCTACTCACCTCTTCTCCCCCGTAGATAGTACTATATTCTCCTCCTAACCCCACAGATAGTACACATTCTACCCCCCCACTCCACCTCCCCATAGATAGTACCCCAATCCCTCCCCCATAGATATTGCCCCAATCACTCACCTTATAGACAGTGCCCCAATCCCCCTCCTCATAGACAGTACCCCAATCCCCCTCCTCATAGATAGTATCCCAATCCCCCTCCTCATATATAGTACCCCAATTCCCCTCCTCATAGATAGTGCCCTAATCCCCCTATTCATATATAGTACCCCAAACCTCCTCCTCACATATAGTACCCCAAACCCCCTCCTCATGGATAGTGCCCAAATCCCCCTCCTCATAGATAGTGCCCCAATCCCCCTCCTCATAGATAGTACCCTTATCCCCCTCCTCAGATATAGTACCCCTATCCCCCTCATAGATAGTGCCCCAATCCCCCTCCTCATAGATAGTGCCCCAATCCCCCTCCTCATAGATAGTGCCCCAATCCCCCTCCTCATATATAGTACCCTTATCCCCCTCCTCATATATAGTACCCCTATCCCCCTCATAGAAAGTACCCCAATCCCCCTCCTCATAGATACTGCCCTAATCCCTCCCCCTCATAGATAGTGCCCCATTCCCTCCCCCCATAGATAGTGCCCCAATCCCTACCCCATAGATAGTGCCCCAATCCCTCCCCCTATAGATAGTGCCCCAATCCCTCCCCCTATAGATAGTGCCCCAATCCCTCCCCCTCATAGATAGTGCCCCAATCCCTCCCCCTCATAGATAGTGCCCCAATCCCTCCCCCTCATATATAGTGCCCCAATCCCTCCCCCTATAGATAGTGCCCCAATCCCTCCCCCTATAGATAGTGCCCCAATCCCTCCCCCTCATAGATAGTGCCCCAATCCCTCCCCCTCATATATAGTGCCCCAATCCCTCCCCCTATAGATAGTGCCCCAATCACTTCCCCCCATACATAGTGCCCCAATCCCCCTCCTCATTTACCTGAGGGGGGTCAGCAGTGTATTAAATAGGCTCCCCCCTAATGCACTCCCAAATGTAATACACAATAGGTCCCCCAAGCCCCTTTACTCCTACCTGTATTTCAAGTCAGGATGCCAACAGGGCAGCTCAGCTCAATAGTGATGGATGGTCTGCACAAGCAGGGAGGGGATGCAGCCGGCCGCCGCTTTGCTGCGCAGTGTAGAGCCGCCGCCGCGCAGCCGCCGGATATGACGTCATGTGCCGTTCACATCCGGCGGCTGGTGAAGGAAAAATCTTTGCGCTCGCGGCTCTAATTTCTGACAATCAGCTGCAGAAGCACAGCCGCAGAAGGACAAACGGGAAATAAATATTTTCCAGTCTTGTGGGTGCAGCCACATGTCAAAGCGGCCCCAGGGTCGGCAGCCTACCGGGAAATTTCCCGGTATCCCGGTAGGCCAGTCCGGCCCTGATTGTACATGTAATTACAAACAAGGCAAAACTGTAATGATATAGCTTATCCAACAAGTGCTAATAAAGCACAACTTTCCATGATGTTAGTTACTAGAAGAGGTTGGAACGAAATTCTCTCAAGCTTGATAAAATAACTGATAAGCTTATCCACTACTTATTAAATTATTAAAGATTGAAAAGGAAACCATCCAACCCAACACGCACTACTGCACAAGTCATGACTCTGACATCAGGATTTGAGGACTATATTAGACGTTCTGTTACAAAACATACAAACAGCTCTGCAATGCAAGTGGAATTATTTTTGACACAGTTTACACTGCTTCGGGAGGTGTTTTACCTGTAGAGAAAAAGGTGGTATACGGGTCCGGCCAGTGTTGCTTCATTCGGTGCGGTAACACACCAGGCACACTCCAGAAGTGAAGGAAGGTTGAGATTCGGCTAGCCTGTATGGCAACCAGGTTACCAGCAACACCTGACCACCCAGAAACCAGAAAGAGTGTTAATCTCAGATTAAGCATATGGAGGTAACAAAAAAGGAGCATATTCACTTAAAGGGAAATTTATTATTTTCCTAACAGGGCTATTTTGATTCAAATGTGCAACTCCATATTCAGTGTTCCACAATTACTGATTTACTGACTTAGCCTCACAATGAAACTAGATTTAAAAAAAAAAAAGAAACACTGTTCACTGTACTACCAAAATCACAATCTTCGATAAAGCAACACACATATCACATAATTTTGAACTGAAAGGGGCACACACACAAATCTAAATATTTATAAAATAAATACATATATTAACATTCATAAAGTGCCCGTATATTTTGTAATGCTGCACATTTTATACTATGCTCTAAGAAGGGGTTGGCTTATAGTGGTAAAGAACAATGTTACACTGACCAACCACAACATTAAAAGCACCGACATGTGAAGTGAATAACATTTATTATATTATTACAACCACCTGTCAAAGGGTGGGATATATTATAGGCAGGAAGTGAACAGTAAGTTCTTGAATTTCATGTGTAGGAAGTAGGTAAAATGGGCAAGTAAAAAGTTGCTTGACAAAGGCCAAATAATGATGGCTAGGACTGGGTCATAGTGTCTCCAAAATGTCAAGCTTTGTGGGGAGTTCCCGGCATGCAGTGGTTAATACCTACCAAAAATACAATGCAACAACTGATGAACTGCCATCACGGTCATGGGCGCCCAAGGCTTTTTGATGCACGTGGGAGCAAGGGCTAGCGTGTCTGGTCCGATCACAAAAAAGAGTTATTGTGCATAACAGTTTAACTGGTCTGAAGCTAAGCAGCGACATACATAACCAAGTGTCCATGATGACCCTTGTTCATCACTGAAAGTGCCTTCAATGGGGGCATGGGTTTCAGAACTGGACCGTGGAGCAATGCAAGGTGGTTGCTTTCACTGCTGAATTACGTTATCTTTTAGATAAGGTGGATGGCCCAGTGCTTGTGTGTCATTTACCTAGGGAGGAGATAGCAACAGGAGGCACTATGGGAAGAATGCTGGCCCGCGGATGTGGTGTTACGCTCTGGGCTATGTTCTGCAGGAATACCTTGGGGCTAGCCAATCATGTGGATGTTACTTCGACACATACCTTCTACCTAGAGATTGTTGCACATTGTATACACCCCTTATTCACACTGGCAGTGGCCTTCAGCAGGATAATGCAGCCTGCCACACTGCAAAAATCGTTTAGGAATGGTTTGAGGAACATGAGAGAGTTCAAGGTGTGGCTTTGGCCTCCAAATTTCCTAGATCTCTATCCAACTGAGCATCTGTGAGATGTGCTGGAACAACAAATTCGATCCATGAAGGCCCCACCTCCCAACTTACAGGACTTAAAGGCACCCTCCAGTGCCATATTTGTTTTCCTGGCACTACAGGACCCTACAGTGTTACTCTCCCTCCCAAGTTGCTGAAGGGGTTAAAACCCCTTCAGTGACTTACCGGAGTCCTGCGCCGAAGTTCCTCGGTGCTGGGTAAGGCTCCGACTACTCTCATGAAACATGAGATAAAATCGTATATATCGGCTTTTTTCAATCTGCAGGGTGAGGCAGCTGTCTCATTCAAAGCTAAAGCTTTTGAATGAGAGTGTTGTCTCATGGTGATGCATGTCCCTTTAATTTCAACAAAAGATAAAAAAAAGGGAATTATTTTTTCCCACAACCTATAGGTGGAGACAAAGTACATGCTTTGCGGTTAGGATTTATGAATTGCATACTTTTAGACAATGCTTCACAGCCTCCTATGACTATAACCACAATGAAGGACATACGCTCTTATGGTGCTAAGAGTGGCTGATTAAGCTCACCCTAAAATTCATCAGATAAGTTACTTCTTTTTCTCTGTGTAATGCATGTAGGGGATCAGCCAATATGAATGGACAGAAGAAGGAAAGATTAGGCATTCTTTACCAATTACAGACAAACATGGCTATGATGTTTAAACCTGGATAAGGAAATGTTGTTCCATGATGAAATCTGACTGAGTCAAATTAATTTTGCCATTTATGATTATGGGATGAGATGAAAATTGTATTTTGGGTATGTTGGTGTTTTCTCCTCAGGATCAACCAGTACAGAAAACATTGCATTCAATGGAGTTATTTTTTTTTATCTAGTTAGTTTATTTTTCAACTAAAATTCTAATTCTGCCTTAATATTTAAAAGTTATTATGTAAAGATAAAGTGAGGATACAAAGATGCATAAAGATACAAAGGCGCACCATTAATAACCGGTGTAAATACAGCCATTCCTTCAAATTTGGGGTCTGTAACAGTCTTGTCCAGAATCAGGCCACCAGTGCTAAACATAAATAAAATAAAAGATATGATATGTAAATGTAATGTGCATAAAATACGGAGTACAAGAGAGAATAGAGAGTACAAGATAAAAAGTTTTAACTGAGTAAAAGCACAGTGGAAATTCAGTTCATTTAGAAATATCTTTGTCCTCATTCGGTTCCAGTAATTAAAGGAGCTGCAGGTCAAATTTAATCAAATGATTATAAAAGATGATTAATATTACTGAGTTCTAATACTTATAGAAGCAAAACATCATTAACAGTAGGAGGCTCCAAATATTATAGGAGTTTCAGATCAATAACATCCACCAAACCCTAATGAATTACATTTGTAGGCCAACACAAAACACACACCTAATTGCTGTCAAGTGTCCACATTTACTAAAATAAGGACTCATAATATGGAGTTTGTCATTGAGGAAAGAATCATGTAAAATATAAGGTGATTTGCATGAAATTCAAATAGTGACTGCTACAGTTGTTATGGTGTACCTCTAGCACAAGAGCCTAGCAAGTATATATGTGTTTTTTTCTTTGCAAAAAAACTACCCATCATACCTCTTCAGACATCAAAATGATGTTAAAGGAAATATGCAAAACACAGAATTATATATAACAAAAAACATTATGACTGTTCCACAATCAATGAGACTGGGTACTGTCCAATGGTAAAAAAAGAACAGAAAATAAGACAGTGGGTACTACCACAAGCACTATACCCTAGGGTAATCGTGCCTGGTGTAACCACTAGTCTTAAGTACCGAGATGAGACTCCAGGGGTCTCAAGGGGCTTAACCCCAATGTAATGATAAACCAAAAACAAAAAATTAGATGCAAAATAATCTCAGTGCAGACAAAGCCCTGAGGCTAGTTGCATCTCTTGGATATAAATATAGTAATGCATCTTACAAAGCACCGAAACGAGCGTCCATGATACTACTGATTTTTACTATCTGACTTACTTTGCTACTATGCCTGTCTGACCTCTATATCTTTACTGCCTACTCTCCTTCTACCTTCTGACTGGGAGAATTTCTCCTCTACGGCACTTTCTTTCTACATGTATCATACCCCTTCACCAATGTAAAATCGCTTTGTCTATTACACTTAACAGATAAGTGTTAGACTATTCCATTGGATTATCAGCGCATAGGAATCAGATCTGGGATTTGGAATCATAAGTGACAATGATGCTGGGAGGAGTACCTTCTGGTATACCATGGATAGGGGATATTTTGGGATAGATTCTCTTCATACAAGCCATTTTTATAATAAAGCCTTAATATCCCTACCTGGTATATACTTTTTGATGCATAGTTGCCTGTAGATATATTTTTTCACTGATAAATCAGTTTGGAGACCTGTATTTATTTATTATTATTTTTTCACATTCGCCAGTATTTTGATATTTACTCTACATTACTATACTTATATCCAGGAGATGCAACTAGCCTCACGGCTTTGTCTGCACTGAGATTATTTGGCATCTAATTTTTTGTTTTTGGTTTACTGTCCAATGGTGTTCAGATAATTTTTTCTGAAGGAGGTGCTCTAGCACTACAGTTCTCATTACCTGCTTATAGACATGGCCACAATTACAGGCTGCCAGCCAGATTTCAGAACCTCGGCAATGGATGGGCTTTGTTTGGCTATTATCACCCACAGTGGGATCAAGATAATGAAGATGGCACAGATAGCAGGGGATAAGTACTGATAATCTAAAAAATAAAAACACACAAAAAAAATAAAACAGAGAGAGTGGCATCAATACTTCTCCTGGCGATTAACAAGACTAATCATAGCAGGGGTGGAATGAAAAGGTAGACCTTTGTGATGTCCCATTTGGCTATTTTTTAAGTATTGTCTTTAGTACATTGATTAGAGCCCAAGCCCAGCTAGGAACCCAAAATTGCTTGTTCTTGCCGGAGAGAGTCTTGTAGCCAGAGTTACTCAGTAGGCACCAGTTTTACTTCTTGGGCACCATTTACATTCTTCTTATGCTCTCAAAAACTATGCTCATTATCTGCAACTGTCATGTTTATGACATTATATTTTTTATTTACCTCAATAAACACTGTTTACATGTTTTAGTGAAATTAAATGTGTAACAGAAATTAAATAAATGTGCCAGTATATTAAAAAAAAACTGAACACACACAAATTTATGTCAACTATAATAGTATAGTCGTGGCAGCAGGAAATTATGGGAATATTAAAGAATAAACACAGATTTGCAATTTTTTACCTTTGGAGCATGGTATTTCAGTAAATCAAAATTTTAAAAGAAATGTCCATGTTTACTATGAAGCAAATAAAAAAAAGAGTTTTGCTAAATTTGTTAAGTGCATATAAATAAGCCTTAATCGCAGATGGGAGAGTTCCTCTTTTTGACACGATGTATTCACACTTGGGGCTATATTTGGTTCCTCCCAACTGAAATTTCCCACATGTTTTGCTATTTAAATCCCAAAACAAAGAAATATTTACTACAGAAAAAAAAGAAAAGAAAAATAGAATATTAGAGGAAGTCCATGTCACATTAATTTTCAAATTACTCAAGTGGTAACCATGTAAGCCCTTGAAAACAACTGTCATACAGAAACCAACACCGGAGCATAAAAATACATTTGACAAGAAACCTTATGAGAAAAAGCACATTTATTCCTTTTCTCACCTGAGAGTGCACTAGGATTTTTCCCAGGACAATATCACTGCCTCCCTGTGGATTTTGGACATGTACACCTACTTTAAAGAGCTAACAACCTTTCTTTCTGCAGAGACTTCCACTTGGATAGATTATTCCGCAGCAATAGGTATGTTCAGTATCACTGATGTAAAACCTAGCGCATTTTAGAACAGATTCTGTCTTATGCATGAAGCCTCTTTTGCATTATATAGACACACACAACATATTCATTAAATACATTTTAGTTTATTTAGCACTATTTAATTGGACTCCCACATTAAAATTAATGTAGAACTCACCGATATTGGGCTACAATGGCGTAGTGGTGAACTTAACACTATATGGCTATATGATCGAACTGATCCCCCAAATGTTTTTAATTAGGTGATTTTTTGTAAAATGTAAAACTCTATTTGTGTGTGTGCACTGTTCCTTGATCTGTATTTTGTATAAATTTTGGTCTCTATGGCAGCAACACTTCTGAGAAATGCATGTTCCAGGTCTACCCCCAATTCCCTTATTTATTTATTTTTAAATGCATGGAGTCTCATGATATTTAAAAAGTATAACTGGTTTGGTGCAGTGTTAAATCTGTTCATTATATATGCAACATACCTCTATAGGAATACAGAGTGCTGCTAATTCCTGCCAGCAGTGAAAGAGTGATCAAATCTCCGAGACTGGCTGCTATTGGAGTTGCGACGTTGTCTGGGTTTACCCCAACCTTTCTTGATACAATGATGACACAAATCATAACTATTCCTAAAAGAGGGGGGAAAAAGATATTAAGGATTAATGTGTTGTCCTATTATCCCAGCCAATAATTGTTTTAATTCTAAATTTGGGTTAGTGTTTTTATCTGTATGTCATCATGTACAAGATAGTGTAGGTCACTGTCTGTTTGCATTTTTGACATTAGTGAGTACGCCTGTCTGTGTGCTGTATGTCACAGAGCTTTTATGTCAGTAGCTATATGTATCTAACACAGTGACAAATAAATCAAGATAAAGGGGGAAGAATGGAGAAGGATGATATTTAAAGGACCACTATAGTGCCAGGAAAACATACTAGTTTTCCTGGCACTATAGTGCCCTGAGGGTGGCCCCACAATCAGGGTCCCCCTCCCACCGGGCTCTGGGGAGAGGAAGGGGTTAAAATCTTACCTTTCTCCAGGGCCGGACGGGGAGCTCTCCTCCTCCATAGTGACGTCATCGGCAGGAGCCGCGCACGCATTCAGCCAGTTCATAGGAAAGCATTTACAATGCTTTCCTATGGACGCTGGCGTCTTCTCACTGTGATTTTCACAGTGAGAAGCACGCAAGCGCCTCTAGTGGCTGTCAATGAGACAGCCACTAGAGGTTGGATTAACCATATTATAAACATAGCAGTTTCTCTGAAACTGCTATGTTTATTTTAAAAAGGGTTAATCCTAGATGGACCTGACACCCAGACCACTTCATTAAGCTGAAGTGGTCTGGGTGCCTATAGTGGTCCTTTAAGGGAGCTGGGAAATTACAAAAAATATAGCGAGGGGAAGTAAATGCATAAACAATGGAGACAAGAATAAAAACAGAATTAATAAAACAAACATTATAAATAAAATACAGATGGAAGGACTGGTAACAAAATGAACAAATAAGAATCATATGATGGTGGACTACCTAGTCTTTGAGGGAATCATAATATCTTCTTTCTAAAATGGCTTTGCTCTTTTTATACGTTTGGAAAAACAAATTATACCCACTACAAGTTGTCTATACCAATTAAAGAGTAGAGATAATATAATACATATATTTAAACAATAATATTGTTAACATAGGAAGGAAATATTTTGACATAAAGCAACACAAAGAAACATTTTGATAAACAATTACACTGATCAGCCACAACATTAAAACCACTGACAAGTGAAATTAATAAAATTGATTATATTGTTACAATGGCACCTGTCAAGGGATGGGACATTTTAGTCAGCACTTGAATTTTGTGTTGGAAGCAGAAAACACGGGCAAGCGAAAAGATCTGAGTGACTTTGACAAGGACCAAAAAGTGATGACTAGACAACTAGGTCAGAGCATCTCCAAAATGCCAAGTCTCCTGATATGCAGTGGTTAGTACCTATCAAAAGTGGTGCAAGGAAGGAAAACCAGTGAACCAGTGTCAGGTTCATAGATATCTAATGATAGAACCATGATAGAAAGTTGTCAGAACACACAATGCATTGCAGTTTGCTGCTTATGGGGCTGCGTTGCCCCAGATCGGTTGAGAGTTCCCGTGATGACCCCTTTCCAACCCCCAAAAGCTGATTCAATGATGACATGAGCATAATAATTTGACCATGGAGCAATAAAAGAAGATTGCCTGGTCTGATGAATCACATTTTATTTTAGACCAGGTGGGTGGCCAGGGGCATATGCATCCTTTAACTGGAGAAGAGATGGCAGCAAGATGCACTATGGGAAGAAGGCAATCCATCAAAAGCAGTGTTATGCTCTGCTGGGCAATGTTCTGCTGGGAAACCTTGGGTCCTGGCATTCATGTGGATGTTACTTTGACACGTACCACCTACCTAGAGATTGTTGCAGACCATGTATAACCCTTCATGGAAATGGTGTTCCTTGATGGCAGTGGCCTCTTTCAGTAGGATAATGCACCCTGCCACACTGCAAAAATTGTTCAGGAATGGTTTAATGAACATGACAAAGAGTTCAAGGTGTTGACTAAGACTTCAAATTCTACAGATCTGAGTCTGATTGGGCATCTGTGGAATGTGCTGGAACAACAAATCTGATCCATAGAAGCCCACCTCACAACCTGCAGGACTTAAAGGATCTGCTGCTAATGTCTTGGTGCCAGATACAACAGGACACATTTAGAGATATTGTGGAGTCCATGCCTCAATGCATTAGAGCTGTTTTGGCAGCATGAGGGGTCCTACACAATACTAGGCAGGTGGTTTTACTGTTGTGGTTGATCACTGTATATTATTCTAAAAATAAACAACACAAAAATGTCAGAATGATTTTAACAGTTACTAATAGGCAAGCCACTGTGGGTGTCTAGGTGATACTCTAAGAATTATTCCTGGCTGAGGTAAATAGGATTAGAACCCTAACAATGTAATGCAAAAAATTAGGATAGCTTGCAGTAGTGTATGAAATCATGGCACATGCCTATGGTTAATGAAATACTGTTCCTGATTAAGATTCGGCATTTTCCCAAAAAGAATGAGGACTTACCCAAGGACAGAGCCGCTATGAATGCTGTGGTGACGCTACTGGCACAGAGTACGAAAACTTGGTCCATCTCCACGTAACCTTTAGACATGGCACCCAAGATGACAGCAGCAATAGCAGCCAGAAGCCCGACCACTGTGGCCTGAACCTGCAACAAAGATACACAGAGCAGTTACATAACACACACAGTGGGTCAGACTGACCTCTGTAGATTTTAACTCCTTGAGGACCTCGCCCAACATGAGCTAATGCACCTAGATGCAATTGTTCTAATAACCAAATCATTGTTTTTAATATTGAATAAGTCATATCAAATTATCGGAGAATAGTAGATGTAGTACCCATATTTAAAAATGGATCCACATTTCTGTAGGGAAATTACAGATGCATGAAACTTACTTCTATGTTGGAAATTATATGAAGGGTTATTAAGCAATTATATTTAGGAAATCAACATGAATCACAGTGAACAACAGCATCATTAGTAACAATCAACATGGTTTATTAGGAAGAGATCTTGTCAAACTAACCATCTAATTCTAAAAATAAAATCAGTAAATGTATAGATCAGGGTGTTGCAACGTGATCTACATGGATTTTGCCAAGACATTAATATAATTTCACTCAAAAGATACTGTACTAGTTAAAATCAATTATTCTTCTTCTTGGATTGCACATTGGTTTAAAGATTAAATGGACACTATAGTCACCAGAACAACTACAGCTTAATTTTGTTGTTCTGGTGAGTATAATAGTTCCCTTTAGGCTTTTTTCATGCAAACACTGCCTTTTTTCATGCAAACACATGGCCTCTAGGGACACCTCCAAGTGGCCACTGGAGGTGCTTCTCGGGTCAGTACTGCCGAAAAACCAGCACTGATGTTCAGCGTCCCCACCCTCTGCATGGAGACGCTGAATTTTCCTCATAGAGATGCACTGATTCAATGCATCTCTATGAGGAGGTCTGACTGGCCAAAACGGCATTTGGCCCCGCCCCCGTGCCAATTTAAGCCAATTAGCAAAGAATCTGCTATTCTGATGGTGTCACAAAAGGGCGCGGCGCAAGTGCCGGCAGACCCGTGCAGCACTGGAAATAAGGTGAGTTTGAATATTTTATATGGGGGCTAAGGGGAAGCAAGCCACCTAACTGGTGGGTTAAACACTATAGGGTCAGGAATACATGTTTGTGTTCCTGACCCTATAGTGTTCCTTTAAGTGCAGATAGTAGTTTCTAATGGAACATTTTTAAGTGAGACAAAAGTGGTGCCCCTAAAGATTCTATTCTTGGTTAATTTTGAATAGCTTTCGAATTGTTTATTAATAATCTTACAATGGCATTTAAAATCATGTGTCTGTTTCTGCAAATGATACAAAACTAGGTAAGATAATACCCTGTGAACATATTACCTAACTATTGTGGGATTTGTATAAATTAGAGAACTGGGCAGAAAAATGACAAATGAGATTTACAGTATGAGGGTTAAAGTGAGAATTTTCAGGAATTCGAAAATAAATTTAAAGGTTTAGGCCAAAGTATCTGAACTGGACACACAGGGGACTTGGAGAATTTTTCCAGTTCGACTACTTTGGCCTTCAATTTGGAATTCACTTTGAATTCCTGACAATGCTCTCTATAGTAAATATCTCTGTCGATATATGCAAACTTATGTATTTTTCTGTGAGGAACACATAAGAAACTATATGCATAAAAAGGACAAAAATATAATTTTGCCTCTTGATAAATCAATGGTAAGACCACACGTGTGAATTGTGATGCAATTTTGGGGACCTAATTCAAAGAATTTTACAGAACTAAAAATGTGTAACAAAATTTATTAGGATAATGGAAGATTCTAGTTATTTAGAAAGGCTATAAAATGTAAACTTGTTACCTTAGAAAATATGTATCTCAGATGGGATATGATAACATAAAACAAATATACATACGTTGTGGTTTTCTGGATTTTTGCTTTTCAAAGAATGTATCACAAAAAAATCATTGTCCCTTGGATAAGCAATACTTTTTAGAATAGATGTGATCATGTCTGATAGACAATTCTGCAACATATTCAGCCAGCATCCTAGTACTGATAAATACTACGCAAAGAGATGAAAGACCTATTCTATAGTTCTGCATGGCCAACAAGCATAATGCATAGTAAACAGGGAAACTTATTTAAGATTCCTTTTTAGAACATAGATGGACAGCTGACTCTCTCTAGCTGTTGTGGATTCTATATCCAATGAGCTATGCCTATGGTTTGCAAGGCACGATGGGAAATAAAAATCCACCATTGCAGGAGAACTCCATATTGGCCAGATGTTTTTTTAGCAGCTGAGAACACAGTGTCACCAGGATAGCGAGCCCTCCAATCAAAACATCCTGGGAATCTCCATAGGACTGACCTGAATTAACGCCAAGTTACTAATGGCTAACTTCCACCTCTCCTTCTGATCATCCAACTGCCCAGTATTTGACTGAAAGAAGAGACAAAACATAATAAGATGTAACACTTCACCAACACAAAACAAAAATCACCTAATATTAGATGATATACATATATACAAATGCATGAACGTAAATATGATTTGGTGCTTTTTTAGTAATCTGCCAGTTACTGTCTAATTCAGACTGAAACAAACACACGTGTATACGAACAAAAAGGATCCCTCGCTGAAACAGTGACTGTGCTCCATCTCCATCACTTCAGCCCTGTAAAGCAATTACCATTTCAATGATGACTATCCCGTGAGGGACACATTTATTTTCAAAAACATTTTTATTGAACAATGTTAGAAAAATAAATGATTAACACTGTATAAGGGGCACACTTCCAAGTAACCATGCTTTCTTTTATATATAAACAGTGTGTTTCATACTCCATATAAGGAAATAAATCATATATAATAATTTCAGTGATCCTCAGTAGGTACTCAGGATATGTGAATATAGCTTCTCAGTTGGGTGAGGACCATTAAATATAAAAATAAATCACAAATAGTTCTCACAGTTTAAAAGACCAGGAATAATACCAGGAATAACATTCCTGGTATTTTAAACTGTGAGCACTATTTGTCGTTTCTTTTTATATTTTATGATCCTCACCCAACTGAGAAGCTATATTCACGTATCCTTTAAAGTGGGGATTGTACCACTGCACACTATCTATACTGGAGCTAGTTCTAGCTCCATAAAACGTGAGTAAGATTCTATTATATATTTTATACTCTCCCTGCCAGTACATACTGTACCATCATTTCCTTTCTTTTCCCATATACGGATACACTGCTGATCATCTTTGACATCCCCATCGAAGAATCCTTCTCAAACCTCCGGATACCACCCCTGGCCAATGTACATTTGTAACCATATTGAACTTTTCCTACCTATGGACTCTATAATCAGGACATTTCCGTATATATAAAACCATTTATTTTTTATTTCTTGATATATATATTTTTTCCTATCTAAGTTGTTTCCCACTGTACCTTAGGTATTTCTACTCTGTGGCGCTACCCCTTCTGTTGCTTTTTTCGTTTTATTTCATGCATACATAGATGAACAGAATACAAAGTGCACATTCTTGGCATATACCGACTACATGTGCAGGACACATGCTGCTGCTGTAGGGATTAGGCTAGATTTCCGAACTGTATGTGCCACAGGGAGATCAAATCACAGACTAATATAAACTTGCCTGTAATACATTAAAAAGGCAAACACGGAATGCTGTGTACACTGCTTTGCTAGCAGACAGTAAGCTAGTTGTAGGGGTTTACAACAAAGAAGTCAGCAAGAATAATTCTACACTCTCAAAAATAATTAACATGACAATCAATCTCACTACTGGTATGTAGGTAGCGATAACATCTTTAGAGCCAAGAAACTCAAGTTGGTATCCCAGTCAGACCACCTTACCAGTTTTTGTCCCTAATGATATACATCTGCCTACATATCACAAATTCTCATAGATTGTAAACTCATTCTTATAATTCTATAATTATAAAGCGTGGGATATGTCAATGCTAATAATAATGCAGACATTAATAACATCTCATTTTATTATTATATTGCAATAAAAGTAAAACTAATTGAATTACATTTTTTATTGTTTTACATTGATCCAATCCCATAGGTTTACTCTAATCTCCGTATGAATTAGAATCACCAAATCCTGTGGGTTACAAAACTATACTTAATGGAATCTTGTTATAAACTATTGATATCTTAATGTTTATGTTTTCAGTCGTGTCGGGTATATATATTCACTTGATGCAGCTCTCTATTCTTTATTTTATTGTAAAATGAACCTATTAGATGATGTATTTCATGAAACACTCCAAATACCCACTAAACAAAACAAAAAATACACATTGTGCATTTACTTCTCTAGCTAATTTCTTGATTACACGTGTTATTTAGTATATCCAATAATTTGACCTTCACAGGCAGCGCAAGGTCACATTCCAAATGCTATGTTAGGAGTGAAGGAACTGGGCAAGAAGTGATATTCAGACAACTTTATCTTTTTATTCATATTTAAAGGATGCAATTTATGGTAAAACAGATCCCCTTGCTTTATATACATTGTGGAGTTGTGAATTTTTTACAGAATTAAAGGAACCCTCAAAGCACCATAACCACTACAGTTCACCCAGGCAATTATTTCTGACATCATCATCTGCAGAATCTTTGTTAAATGGGAACCATTATATCTCTGGAAATTGCGCTGAATAAAACACTGGAAATCTTTTTCATGCAATACATTTTTTTTAAAATTGATATTAAACATTTAGCAAGGATATCATAATTCTGCTTAGACTAGGCACAGCCATGGCACACATTGCAAATGAAGAGGAGGGGGAGTAGAAACATTGGTTTGTTTCTTTTCTTCTCAGTATGTTTACTGCCAGATGCCAAGGACCTGGCATAACCATAATTGTCAGAGAGCTGTTTAGATGGAAGAGCCCAGTTCCAGGATAAATAATTGTGGATTCCTACATTTAATTTTATTTTTCACACCTCAAAAATACATATTTGTCATACATAGGGGATATATAAACATCATATTACAATTTATGATAAGTGACCTCATTCTTTTCTCTTCAGGGAAGTCAGCGCCATTAACTTATTGTCCCTTTCTGATCCCGTGAGATACTGTTATTTCTTGGATTCTAAGGATCATCTGTTGGTTCCGATTGCCTTTCTAGTTTGGGTTGCCCATCATGTCAAGGACATTGAGTTAATCTTCACCTCGTTCAAGCCACCTGGCCAACTTCCTAATTGCAGGAGTCTGTGCTGAGGGGTTCTGGTATCAGAAGGTAAGGTCTACGCCCAGCCACTAGTTAACCGAGGAACATTATTTGGGGTCATGGTTTGACCCCACCTATTATGACCTCTCCTTCTACCACACTAGAAGTGAGTGCCACATTCTTCATATGCAGCCCTTAGTAAAAACACTAATACAAGTATGAAACTGATGGCATTAAAGTTGTTAGACTTCATTCTTTTTTCACTCTATGGCCATATACCTTAAGGCACCCTCCTACACCCAAGGAAACAAGATAATGGCTTAAGCTATGTTAATTGTTACTTATATATATGTGTCTGTGTGCATATGCACCTGTCTGTCTGTATTTGTACTTGTATATGAGTTTGTGTGCATATCTGTGTCAGTGTATGCATCTGTATGTGTGTACATGTGTCTGTTTGTACATGTTTGTTTCAGTGTGTGTGTCAGTGTGTGCAGCTTTGTGTGTGTGGCAGGGCATACATCCCAGCATTCAAACGCCATAACTGAACAAATATACACCCCAGCATTCAAACACAAAAATGTCACTGCATTCAAACACCAACACTACATACAAATTCACCCCTGCATTTAAAACAAACACTACACACAAACATAAAATGCAAATGTGAACACTGTGCACAGATACACACATGCACTCTAATGTGAACACTACTCACACACCCCTGCATTCAAACACCAACACTACACACAAATACAACACTGCATTTAAATGGCAAAAGTACATACAAGCACGCAACTGCATTCAAGCACCAACACTACACAAAAATTACATTAATTACATTATGTGAAGACGTTCTATGTGCCGGCTTTTTTTTCTTGTTTGCGCTTGTGTATTAAAAATGTCATGCATTTAGTCCTCCATAACTATTTCAGTGAACAAGTTAGCTCTCCAATACAAATGAGTTTGACACCCTTGTACTAAACAGTGAATTAGATCTAAATTTTCTCTAAAGCAATGTGAGAGCTAAGGTGGGTTGCCAAAAGTTAGCCCTACCAGTTTCATAAAAGCTCTCTCTGTCATATAATATACTTCACAACTCAAAAAAAACCCTCTTTTAAACAGCACTACGAACTAGTGGGAAGAGGCGTGAAATTGAGCACACCACAGGGCTGAAATTCCACTCATCTGATCATAATATTGTAAAGAGCTGCGGAATTAATTGGTGCTATATAAATACCAATAATAATAATAATAGTAATTTGCTAATGCCTGGAAGGCAAGTGTACAGTTTGAGCAATAAAGCTAATGCATTAAATAACTTCCTTTTTTAAAGGAAGACAAATATTTAGGATATAAGCAGGCTTTTTAGAATAAAGAAGTCTACGAAATGTTTTTTTTTTGGGACAAGCTAAAACACAAATCATTCCCTCATTCCAGTCCTTTGAATTAACAATAAAAAAATAACGACAATAACATAGTAACTTACTGCTGTAGAGAGTCGGGATGCCAGTGTCATTTCCAGGTTACCTTTAAGACCCACCAGAGCCGGCACCAGAATAAAGATTTCTGTGATTGTTTTAAAGACATCCCAGTGCTGAAAAAGATGCAGAGAATTACATTACATTTTCTCGGTAATGGATAGTTTATTTTACATATTAACCCGATTACAGATAAATCCAGATTTCAACAGTAACAAACACTCTTCCACCAGGAAGGCAGCATCAGGACAATGAATCGTGTGCCTGGAAATGAATCTTATATTGTATGAAAAACTTAGTTTTTTTACAATATATATTGAAATTATGAGAAAAATAACAAGTGGAGGACCAGTAGAATGGTTAAAGTGAAAGTTTGGCAAATGAAGAAGCCAGCTTGCAAAATAAATGCTGATTCCTCTATCTGTTTCAGAATCATTTTTTGAGCATTCTAATGTCAAGCAGTGGAGAAATCTCCATGGAAAGCAATATCTCCGATATGCCAGGGCTTGACAAATTTGCTTGGAATCTAGGAGGCAGCTAAAAAAGTTAGGACCAGTTGTTTTTTTTAGTTTTTTTGTTTTTTTAACAAAGCTTCATTTTCAGCAACAAAAATACAATTCCTAAAGGGACATTACAGCTTAATGTAGTGATTCTGGTGTCTATATCCTGTCTCTGTAAGCTTTTCAATGTAAACACTGCCATTTCAGAGAAAAGGAAGTGTTAACATTTCTGCTTAGTAGCAGTCACTCAGACAGCCACTATATTTTTGCTTACATTCTATTGTGTTAATCACAAGATGGGGCTCCCATATATAACAAACTGATATAATGCACTGTGTAAGTCAGGTAGGGGAACAACGTCAGTAGCAAAACACAAAGGACGCATTTAAAAAATATACTTTTTTTTCTAGACATCAACCACCAACATGAATCATATATATATATATATATATATATATATATATATATATATATATATGTGTAAACTTTTTTTCAAGTACTGTATGGCACACACACCCTGGCTGAATTTTAATTCGCCAATAGCTAGTAAATAGTGGAAATTTTGAATTATATTAGAAAGAGAGGGAGTGTGTTTGTAAACTGAGACACAAACTTAAAAAGTATTTAAAAGGTATACATTAAAATTGTGCCACTTCTGAATCTGAGTGTGTAAATTTTACAGTTTAGTGCAATGAACAAACATAGTTTTACATTTCACTAAAATACATTGTCTACAATAATCTCTCACAGACTTGTTGCAGTGCAGAACTGCAAAATGTGCTAGCATTGTGTTTTAAGAAAATATGTATATTTGCTAAACTTTAAAATAAGCCCCAAATACATGTATTGTCTTTTTAATTTATATACAGGATTTTTGCGTCCGCGTTTGGATTACAAAATATTCAAACAAATTTATGAGCCCCTGTCATAGAGCACGTACCTGAAAAAGGTCCATGAGCAGTCCAGCTCCCACCATTGCCAGGCCAGCCAGCAGGTAAGGCAAAACCACTTGAGTCACTATGGAGAAGTGGGTCTCGGGGATAAAGTCTTTGGGTAACCTGGTAAGCTTACATTTAAAGCCTCTGAGCTTCTTGTCATGGAAGCACCACTCTAATTCTAACTGTGTGACCACCATGTTTTCTCTCTTAATTCATAACTATCCAGATACAACCCGATGGAGACTTAATTCAACCCTTGCAAGCTCCAGCTTCGGTGGGAAACAATCCCCACTAATCAAATCTTCATCCAGAGTGGTGAAAGATGTCATCGGCATGTAGTCTTCTTTCCCAAGGAACAAACAGCCTTCCATAGGATAAACCAGAGCTAATGTATAGGAATCACAAACCTACACCACACTTGACCATAACAAGACTAGGTGCTCATTACCAAAACTCCACATAGGCAAATGAAGAGAACAAGAGATAGACCGTATATTCAAGTTCTTTGGGTGCACATTGCCACCAGGCTTCCTGGAAAGACTTACCATGTGGCTGCATTAGATAAAATAAATGCACAGTGCAGCATATCTGTGCTCAGGCCACTATAAGTCAATGACAAACTCCTTTGTCACTAAGGCAGTATCAGCTGGATTCCAGGCATGCATTCTGCACGAGATATATAGCAAATTAGAAGGCTTCTGTGCTCACTGTCTCCCTCTCCCACGGCTGGCCTCTTTGACTGGGAAAAAAGTCACAAGGTGATATGATAGATTTCAGTCCTCTTCTGACTAGCATGGCTGAACAATTTTACACCCATCCAAAGCCCTTATCAGCTGTCATCACCTGAAAAGTATAGCTCACACTGAGTACCAGAGCTATTTTGTTTTTCATTGAGGGAGATGCTCTATGAGGTTTGCACACTCTCAATACTATCTCTTGGTAATTATTGTTATGATTTGTATAATGCCTTTATTATTTCATATTTTTTATAATTCCTAAATGGCAGAGAAATGTGCAATGAGACTTCAGAGGCATGATCTTTATACAAAAACTATTGCATTAAGTTAAATAGGTTGATGCAGAGAATTACATTACATTTTCTCGGTAATGGATAGTTTATTTTACATATTAACCTGATTACAGATAAATCCAGATTTCAACAGTAACAAACACTCTTCCACCAGGAAGGCAGCATCAGGACAATGAATCGTGTGCCTGGAAATGAATCTTATATTGTATGAAAAACTTAGTTTTTTTACAATATATATTGAAATTATGAGAAAAATAACAAGTGGAGGACCAGTAGAATGGTTAAAGTGAAAGTTTGGCAAATGAAGAAGCCAGCTTGCAAAATAAATGCTGATTCCTCTATCTGTTTCAGAATCATTTTTTGAGCATTCTAATGTCAAGCAGTGGAGAAATCTCCATGGAAAGCAATATCTCCGATATGCCAGGGCTTGACAAATTTGCTTGGAATCTAGGAGGCAGCTAAAAAAGTTAGGACCAGTTGTTTTTTTTTAGTTTTTTTGTTTTTTTAACAAAGCTTCATTTTCAGCAACAAAAATACAATTCCTAAAGGGACATTACAGCTTAATGTAGTGATTCTGGTGTCTATATCCTGTCTCTGTAAGCTTTTCAATGTAAACACTGCCATTTCAGAGAAAAGGAAGTGTTAACATTTCTGCTTAGTAGCAGTCACTCAGACAGCCACTATATTTTTGCTTACATTCTATTGTGTTAATCACAAGATGGGGCTCCCATATATAACAAACTGATATAATGCACTGTGTAAGTCAGGTAGGGGAACAACGTCAGTAGCAAAACACAAAGGACGCATTTAAAAAATATACTTTTTTTTCTAGACATCAACCACCAACATGAATCATATATATATATATATATATATATATATATATATATATATATATATGTGTAAACTTTTTTTCAAGTACTGTATGGCACACACACCCTGGCTGAATTTTAATTCGCCAATAGCTAGTAAATAGTGGAAATTTTGAATTATATTAGAAAGAGAGGGAGTGTGTTTGTAAACTGAGACACAAACTTAAAAAGTATTTAAAAGGTATACATTAAAATTGTGCCACTTCTGAATCTGAGTGTGTAAATTTTACAGTTTAGTGCAATGAACAAACATAGTTTTACATTTCACTAAAATACATTGTCTACAATAATCTCTCACAGACTTGTTGCAGTGCAGAACTGCAAAATGTGCTAGCATTGTGTTTTAAGAAAATATGTATATTTGCTAAACTTTAAAATAAGCCCCAAATACATGTATTGTCTTTTTAATTTATATACAGGATTTTTGCGTCCGCGTTTGGATTACAAAATATTCAAACAAATTTATGAGCCCCTGTCATAGAGCACGTACCTGAAAAAGGTCCATGAGCAGTCCAGCTCCCACCATTGCCAGGCCAGCCAGCAGGTAAGGCAAAACCACTTGAGTCACTATGGAGAAGTGGGTCTCGGGGATAAAGTCTTTGGGTAACCTGGTAAGCTTACATTTAAAGCCTCTGAGCTTCTTGTCATGGAAGCACCACTCTAATTCTAACTGTGTGACCACCATGTTTTCTCTCTTAATTCATAACTATCCAGATACAACCCGATGGAGACTTAATTCAACCCTTGCAAGCTCCAGCTTCGGTGGGAAACAATCCCCACTAATCAAATCTTCATCCAGAGTGGTGAAAGATGTCATCGGCATGTAGTCTTCTTTCCCAAGGAACAAACAGCCTTCCATAGGATAAACCAGAGCTAATGTATAGGAATCACAAACCTACACCACACTTGACCATAACAAGACTAGGTGCTCATTACCAAAACTCCACATAGGCAAATGAAGAGAACAAGAGATAGACCGTATATTCAAGTTCTTTGGGTGCACATTGCCACCAGGCTTCCTGGAAAGACTTACCATGTGGCTGCATTAGATAAAATAAATGCACAGTGCAGCATATCTGTGCTCAGGCCACTATAAGTCAATGACAAACTCCTTTGTCACTAAGGCAGTATCAGCTGGATTCCAGGCATGCATTCTGCACGAGATATATAGCAAATTAGAAGGCTTCTGTGCTCACTGTCTCCCTCTCCCACGGCTGGCCTCTTTGACTGGGAAAAAAGTCACAAGGTGATATGATAGATTTCAGTCCTCTTCTGACTAGCATGGCTGAACAATTTTACACCCATCCAAAGCCCTTATCAGCTGTCATCACCTGAAAAGTATAGCTCACACTGAGTACCAGAGCTATTTTGTTTTTCATTGAGGGAGATGCTCTATGAGGTTTGCACACTCTCAATACTATCTCTTGGTAATTATTGTTATGATTTGTATAATGCCTTTATTATTTCATATTTTTTATAATTCCTAAATGGCAGAGAAATGTGCAATGAGACTTCAGAGGCATGATCTTTATACAAAAACTATTGCATTAAGTTAAATAGGTTTTGGTGACTATAGTGTCATTTTAAAGGGACACTCCACTGCCCAAATACAAAATAAATAAAAATCTCAGTTTAGTTGATATACCCCCAAATGACGGAACATATGCTTTTAATTAAGCATTTTTTCATTGGGGTTATATCTAAAACCACCTGCTGAACCTGCAGTCCTCTTGTCTGCTGGCTTTGCAAACCCTCTCCTTCTAACCCAGCCCAGACCATCTCTGGCTGCACAGTCAGAGACTTCCCAATGTAACTCGATGAGAAGTCTTTGCAGACAGGTGCTCTGGGAAATTGCTGCCTCTGGAGTTTAGTTCCACTGAGCTAACCAAACCAGTAAGTAACAGGACCTGTTGTCTACTTAAAGACCAGGTGGTGTAACAAGTTAATTTATAAAAATTTACATTTCTACTGAAATTTTCTGCAATTTTTTCAAAATTGAAAAAAAAGAGGACACACTTTTCACACATATAGCTTTTCAGCAAGCAAACATGCTTTAGGGGTACTGAGTGTCACTTTAAGTCCAATGGCATTGTACACACAGGGCACTGGTGTGCCATGCAAGCCCTCACCTCTATAAATGGCTCCAACATAGCTTTGCTTGTGAAGATCAGGAATGAGCTATCAAAAATCTTTCCTATAACCTCCCAACTGTGTTAGATCCACCGGACTTATTTGGGATCCTGTTGGCTTGGTTTAAATGTATACTATAGTGTTAGGAATTCAAACATGATAGTATTATAATATACGTTTAGGTTCAGCCCCTGGTCTTGCCACGGTCACCCCTTGTATTGGCCAAGATCATTTGATGATCTCAGCCAATCCAATGCATTCCCATAGGAGAAAAAAGCAGTGTTACACTGCTGAGGCCTCAGGGACAGTCTATTTACCCCAGAACCACTACTTTAAGCTGTAGTACTTCTGGTGCCTATAATGTCCATTTAAATGCAGAAGCCTCAAAGGCATCTTTTCCATTTTTTCCAATGCAATATCCATATTATGTATTACAATTGGAGTCCGTCCAAGTTCAGATTATCCACTGTATGTTTTTTTCTTTTCTTATGGGTCTTGTTTTAAAGTTATTGTTGTTAGGGGAATTTGAAAACATGTTCATATCTTTCTGACAGCTCTATCTGAACATTGGCTGCCCTAGCAGTGTAACGTGATGTGTAAAGGTCAGCCAACTGCCATGGTACACATTGTTATTTACTAAACAGTGAAAACTGAATTTGCTAAATAAAAATCAAAGTTATTCAATAAAGTCTGAACTGGTAATAATTCCAAAGTGAATTTAAACTTTTGGGCCAAAATAGCCAAACTGAAAACATCCTCAATTATATTTTCAATTCAACAATTTTAGCCAAAATGTGATTTTTACTTTTGAATTCTCAACAATTCAAATTTTAGTGGATAACCCTTAAAGGGGCTCTAAAGGGTCATAGACCACTTCAACTCAATAAAGTCGTCTTCGTGCCATGCCTCTCTCATTTTAACTCTACAAATGAAAACATTGCCGTTCTGCAATGTTTTCAAAACGTCACCTCTTTATTTTTTTAAAAGACACATTTTGTAAAGGCAGGAAGTTTTTGGTTTTTTTGACAAAGTCCTTTGAGTGCTCTCTATGTGAAGAAATCTATTCTATGGTTGGAGATTACATTCGGGAATCCAGACCAGAATTGGTTAGTGCAGGACCACCGAGTATATTAAAAATATCCTAAAATCCTACATGTTATTGGTTTCACAATTTGCTTTCCGTAGCTGATCTGACCTAGCCCATTTTTGCTCAGTATAAACTTAATTGTTAGCTCTGTGGTCGCAGAGAGAGATATAACATACTATGAACACTTACTCATACTGCATTTTATTCAATATATACTCCAGCAAAACAATACAAAAGGATGCACAATGTAAGCAGTTAAAGGCACTCTAAGCATAATAACCAGTACAGCGTGCTTTATTGGCTATGGCCCCAGGAGTGCTTTGGCAGCCTCCCATTATAATAAGTCGGATTGTTTAGTAACGGGTTTACTTTTTACTTGGGGTATGCTCAGCACTACTCTAAGTATCCACTACAGTTCTCTTCACTGAGCGAAGCACAGCAATATAGAAGGTAAGAAGTTAACCATTTTAAAATGGTTCAACTACTTACAAGACAAGTACTTATTTTGTGTTTACTACTAGGTGTAAAGGACAGAGCTTATAACAATGACGGACAGAAAGTTAAATATTGAGGTGTTCAATGCCAGCATAAAGCAAGTGGATTTCTATATCTCATTTTATTTTCTACTCACTCATAGATATTTGATAAATACAGAGAAATGCAAACATAATATTAGAAAATCTGTAAAGTGACTGTTTCTCTTTAACAAGTATCCCCATTTACATTTACACATCCCCTGACAATTATGTCGTCCTCATTTCTAATCACATGCCGACATTAACCTGCCAATTGATTATCCTTTTCAATTTACATCCCCACAGTCCCTTGTTAAATTATCCCTTGCCTACCCAATTTAATGTAATTTCTCACACCGTCCTGCAATTAACCTCTCCTTTCCAGTGCCTTGTGGTACCGGTAATTCCACCCAGTTTCCAAATCTAAGTACAAGCCCCACAACCCAAAAGTGTTCTCATGGTGCCCTATGGTATGCCATGCACTCATGGTGCCCTATGTAATTGCCCTTGCGCTTTGGGTAAGGTTGCCAGATCTGCAGTTACTTTTTCTATACTACCACAGTGCCGCTTTTTGTAGACCAACAAGGGTGGAACAGATCTCTTATAAATTCACAGTTCCAGCATATTAGATACAATTCCAAAAGGAATGAAAGAAAGATAGTTAAATAAAATACAGCAAAAGAAACAAAATGTAATGTCCCTTAAAGAGACACTTTAGGACTCGTAACCATCTCAGCTTATTAACGTGATAAACGTGCTAGAATACTGGGTATTAGGTGTAACAGTGGAGCCAAGAAGCTTATGAAAGCAAGGCCTATGTCCCTTTAAGTATGGAGAAATTACGTAAACTGTCAATTCTGCTATTATTATTATTTTTAATTTTTTTGCAGTGCATATGAATATAACAAACATGCGTGAGGTACCCCAACGGCAATCCTCAAGCTTATATTGATCACTTGTAACATTGAGGTATACGATAGTACTTGCACAATTTTATAGTTCGGAAGAGGTTAAGTAAGATTAGCATAGGCTAGTTACGGTACAAAGCAGGACATAGGATAATGCCATTACTCCAGAGTCATAGGAAAACAAAAATGTTATGGCCTGCAATTAATGCCACTGGGTACAACAGTATAAAACGAAGATATACACAGTGTAAAAGAATATGATAGCTCTGAAACACCTATAAAGTGGTACCCCCTACACCACTATAAATACAAAACCATACATTCCGAATAATAGGTGGAGCTGCATAATGTCCTGAATAATCTGTAAAACAGAATAAATACAAATAGCGTAGCTTGTCTGAATAAAATAATAGTGAATAGTAGAGGTAAGATAGTTGAACTCACAAGACTAGAGTCATACATATGACGGTATGACTCTAGTCTTGAGAGTTCAACTATTTTACTACTATTCACTATGTATTTATTCTGTTTTACAGATTATTCAGGACATTATACAGCTCCACCTATTATTCTGTATGTATGGTAATGCCACTGGGTGCCCAGTATGGAATGTGTTAGGTGACCGGTCAGCCATAGGATGCGTCGAATGCAGATTGGCATGCTAAGCAGATCTAGTGGGGGTGGAACCCAGTGTGGGCCCCCACTAGGTGGGAGGTTGGACGATGATACAGGCTTAGCATTATCGTGGCATTATGGGTGCTGGGTTTAAGTAAGTGAGTGTACTCTGTGCCACACTCCAGGTCAGACATAATAAATGGCAGAGATATCAACTGGCTGCCCATGCTAAACAGGATTAAACTGGAATAATACAGGCTATACTTATCAGTAATGCTTGTCTAGGTCATTATGTGAGCTGTGGAGCGCTTCCTTAACTAGCCCTGAAGTGTTGCGACAGATCCCACAGCTGACCATGAGGTGTGTGCCAATGCAGGAGTAAATAATATGCTAGCTATGTGCATTTATGGAAATTAACAAAAGGATTAAGGGCACTATGCCCTAGAGTGGTAGCATGCATTTCCCACCGTAAAGTAGGAGGATAAAACAGAAAGGGAAAAAAAGGGGAAAAGAAGATAAATGCATTCAGCTGGAAGATTATGCCACAGAATATGGAATCATAAAAGTAACATATGTACAGTTCTGTGGTAGGCCTGAGAAAACCTCCGCCCGGTGTCTGCACCCTATGCTGCGTATGGGATCTGCGAAGCATCCACGGCAGTAGGGATCTTCCAGACTCAGGTAGCTTATTCAGCCGATGCCCGTCAAGGGTACCCCGAATTCCTGCTATGCAGCAAGGTAGCGGTCAGTGCTTCCATGTGGGCACAGTTCACGAGGGCGGGTGGCCTTGCAGAGGCGGCACTCCTGCCCCTCGCCTGCGATGGGACTAGTACCTCACTGCCATGTACTCATTGCCTGCCGGAGGCCAAGTTCATTCCAGGCTTGTGACTCTTACTGGAGTTCCGTAGTATTGGGGGATTGACATGGAGTTGTTGAGGTGATTGTTCCCTTCTGCCCCGGTGCTGTGTGAGAGCTGGTGCCCTCTTGACACAAGCCTGGGAATCGACGTGGTCCAGGATCGTCCCTTGCGGGATGCTGCGGGGAGTCTTGTTGACCCTTCCAGGTTGTCGTCTTGCTGCTCTCCGCCTGTGGCCAGCACCTATTGGGTATGCCCCCTGCTGTTCTCAGCCCGGGAGGGCCCTTGATGCGGGAGTCTGTAGCGTGGGACTTCGTGATGCCCTGAAGAGGATTCCCAGGCCTCTGTGCACCATTGACTTTATCCCGTGTGGACGGTTTGTGGTGATTCGTCACTGGCTGTAAGTGTATCAGCAGCTTGGCCCAAAAGCGGTCAAAGATTTCAGCAAGGGTGTCTCTTGCGTGGTCGCTGGTGTCCGGTAGGGCATGTTGTTGCTGCCGCTTGTCTCGTGGCAGAGTCAGACAGATTCGCCATCTTGGAGGCCCCCTTTCCCACGTTGCGTGGAGAGATTGAGGGGCCCATCGTGAGGTGTGGGGTTCGAGGTACTCCATCTGGCGGGGACTGGGATATCCCCCACCGGTCCACTTCGTGCTCACATGAGGTTTTAGTATCAGACGGGAAGGCGAACGTCCTTCCCCTTGGCCTCCTCCAGTAGGACTCAACCTTCTGTTGTGGTTCCCGGTCAAGCCCGGTGTCGAGTGTAGTGTCGCCGGGTTCGTACAAGCTTCCCCAGTCCAATGGGCTATGTTGTGGGTGAATCGCAGTACTGTACCCCGAGAGAGCAGCATAGTTGGAGCCCGGCTGCGCCCCCCCAATTCTGCTATTATTATGCCAGCCATTCATTTATTTTCATCCATGTACATCCAAACACTGACCATGATTTGAATTCTAACTGCATTCTTATTGGCTGAAAAGACCAAGCCTCCATCCAGAATCCAGCTTTGATGATAGACTATTCTCATACGTAATTGCTTCACTCACTTCCATGTACTCCTGTTAAAAACACCATCTAGCCCCCCTGCCCTCCTTAATATAGTAAAATCGTACCTTTATTCCAGTCTGCTGCTGCTGGCTCTGCCTCTGATCTGCCTTCTTGGCTGACAACATCAGTGGGGATAATTATACTCACCAGAACAAATATAATAAGTTGTATTTGTTCTGGTGACTATAATGTCCCTTTAACTAAAATACTGAGCTTCCAGCACTAGTAAAATAGCACATTCCAGAACATTACTTCCACCTTTAACAGTTTGTCTATGCAATGGCATTAACATGCAGATGGTGAATTAAAGGATTGGATAACGTGAAATGTTTGTAAAATTTTCTCTTACCTGAACCATATCCAACACCATTCCTGCCATCACCATGCCCAGACCTGCAAGGAGGTATGGGAAAATCACCTGCAAGGCAATGGTTGTGGCTGCTTCATCCCCTGGCCTTTTCATGGGTGCCTTTTTCTCAGGTGGGCGCTTTTCTGGGATAAGTGGCATCTGTTCCTCCACCACCTCCCGGGCAGCAGCACGGCTCTCATTGTGTTTGCTTCTGTTCTTTCCTCTTTGCTTGGAACGCTCCCCATTCTTGGCTCTCCCCTCTTTTTTTCTCTGCCGGGCATCGTCTCCCTTCATTTTGACCTTTGTTTAGACAGCGCCCTGTACGATGGCAGAGATAAGACACTGTTTACACATGAGTGACATTAAAAAAAATCAATTTGAAATGTAGAGATTGACACTAACTAAATAAAAAAAATTATCTAACCCATTTCAAAACATCAGACCTTTGTGGTCTTTTGACACAAGTACTTTTCAAACGAATTGTGAATGCTCTCTAGAAAAGATACAGAGAAAGATAATGTCTGCGACCTTCCTTCTCTAATGTCTTAGTTGCATTAGAAAAAAAAAAAAAAAATCGAAGGTGTAATGTTATTGCTAAAGTATTTAATCCCATCATCTGTCCAACTAAACTGAGAATGTCCCTGAAATAAAGCATTTCAGAGTGTTAGGAACTGAAATTCCTAGAATCTCACTTTTTTTCTAATTTAAAGGGTAACTCCTACTGCCATGACTACTTCTGCTTTCAGAAGTGATCATGGAGCAAGAAAACTTAAGTCCATACCTGCATTCTAACTTATTCGTTTTTTTTTTCCAATATTGCCCACCTTCGTCCACGCTCTGGTCTACCACCACACTCCTTTCCCTCCCTGGCTCAGAATGCGCATATAAGAAGCATTTGATTTGACCAAGGCGTGGGAGGCAGAGATAACCGATGGGGAGTGGGAAGCAGCTAGGACAGCTTTACCTGGCGCTGGATTCCAGGTATGGTTGTGTTTATTTTTTAACATTGTTTAGAAAATCTATGGGGGGGAAGGGGGGGGAGGAGCAAGGCACTAGTGACCAATAGGGTATTTAAAATTAAAAGAAAAATTCAAAATGGTTGGAGTAACCCTTTAACCCTAAAATTGAATACCAAAATTAAACAATTATATTCTAACAATATATGTGGCAACTAGGTCCTGCATTGGGTAATCATTAGTAATAAATCACCCTCAAAAGTTGATACTTTACAATGCTCCTCTTTTTGGGGATTGTCTCTAACAGCCAACAGAAATGGTTCCATTGCCAAAACAGAAAGTAATGTGGATAGTGGGCATCCCTGACAGGTTCAATTGCACAATGTGCAAGGAGGGGAAGAGAGACGATTATATTTCACTTTTCTTGAAGGAGCAGTATTTCACATAACTGCATCTCTGAGCAGATATTTCCCATTAGCTTAAACTATTAGGCAAACATTTATTCTAATAAAAACTGACACAAATAGATTATACAATCTATACAACAATGAATAATCTAAATTACTCGACTTGATGGATAAAATTATGCATAGAATATTCTTTCATGACCAAGTTAAAACTCATAGTGTCCCAATCTTGATATATCCCTTACAATTATTGTTCGGCCTATCAGTCAATGACCATGAACTCAACTTAGATATGAAAACACTAAGATGTGAGGTTGGCTGCTCTTTATTCCAGTAATCATATACCACTATAACATAACTGAACTGAATTTAAATCATACCCAAAGACTTAAAGAGCTTATCATTAGAAACACATCAGGTCATAGACGTAACAATGCAAAAAACAATAAATAAATACCGGCAGCTCCCTTAGAAGAAATTACACTCAAAATAATATATAATCTCTGAAATTTACATTTGAGGTTTCCCTATTAGACACATTCCCTAAATGTAATAGAAAAATCACCTGGTAAAATTAAAGGGGAACTTTAAACACCAAAACCAGCACAGGGTACTGTGGTGGGTTTAGTGCCTGGAGTTTACTCATGCCTTCTCTACGTCCACTGGCTACTCATTTAATTTGTTACAGCCATCATTTCCATGAGGATGCCCAGTAATTGCCTGAAACAGCCGCCACACTCCATAAGCCTGCAGTGACAGCCTGTCTCCGGGTCCTATACCGTGACAACTCATGTCTGACTGAATCTGTTGTATATAAAGTATTAAAGGAACACTATAGTCACCTAAATTACTTTAGCTAAATAAAGCAGTTTTAGTGTACAGGGAGTGCAGAATTATTAGGCAAGTTGTATTTTTGAGGATTAATTTTATTATTGAACAACAACCATGTTCTCAATGAACCCAAAAAACTCATTAATATCAAAGCTGAATATTTTTGGAAGTAGTTTTTAGTTTGTTTTTAGTTATAGCTATGTTAGGGGGATATCTGTGTGTGCAGGTGACTATTACTGTGCATAATTATTAGGCAACTTAACAAAAAACAAATATATACCCATTTCAATTATTTATTATTACCAGTGAAACCAATATAACATCTCAACATTCACAAATATACATTTCTGACATTCAAAAACAAAACAAAAACAAATCAGTGACCAATATAGCCACCTTTCTTTGCAAGGACACTCAAAAGCCTGCCATCCATGGATTCTGTCAGTGTTTTGATCTGTTCACCATCAACATTGCGTGCAGCAGCAACCACAGCCTCCCAGACACTGTTCAGAGAGGTGTACTGTTTTCCCTCCTTGTAAATCTCACATTTGATGATGGATCACAGGTTCTCAATGGGGTTCAGATCAGGTGAACAAGGAGGCCATGTCATTAGATTTTCTTCTTTTATACCCTTTCTTGCCAGCCACGCTGTGGAGTACTTGGACGCGTGTGATGGAGCATTGTCCTGCATGAAAATCATGTTTTTCTTGAAGGATGCAGACTTCTTCCTGTACCACTGCTTGAAGAAGGTGTCTTCCAGGAACTGGCAGTAGGACTGGGAGTTGAGCTTGACTCCATCCTCAACCCGAAAAGGCCCCACAAGCTCATCTTTGATGATACCAGCCCAAACCAGTACTCCACCTCCACCTTGCTGGCGTCTGAGTCGGACTGGAGCTCTCTGCCCTTTACCAATCCAGCCACGGGCCCATCCATCTGGCCCATCAAGACTCACTCTCATTTCATCAGTCCATAAAACCTTAGAAAAATCAGTCTTGAGATATTTCTTGGCCCAGTCTTGACGTTTCAGCTTGTGTGTCTTGTTCAGTGGTGGTCGTCTTTCAGCCTTTCTTACCTTGGCCATGTCTCTGAGTATTGCACACCTTGTGCTTTTGGGCACTCCAGTGATGTTGCAGCTCTGAAATATGGCCAAACTGGTGGCAAGTGGCATCGTGGCAGCTGCACGCTTGACTTTTCTCAGTTCATGGGCAGTTATTTTGCGCCTTGGTTTTTCCACACGCTTCTTGCGACCCTGTTGACTATTTTGAATGAAACGCTTGATTGTTCGATGATCACGCTTCAGAAGCTTTGCAATTTTAAGAGTGCTGCATCCCTCTGCAAGATATCTCACTATTTTTGACTTTTCTGAGCCTGTCAAGTCCTTCTTTTGACCCATTTTGCCAAAGGAATGGAAGTTGCCTAATAATTATGCACACCTGATATAGGGTGTTGATGTCATTAGACCACACCCCTTCTCATTACAGAGATGCACATCACCTAATATGCTTAATTGGTAGTAGGCTTTCGAGCCTATACAACTTGGAGTAAGACAACATGCATAAAGAGGATGATGTGGTCAAAATACTCATTTGCCTAATAATTCTGCACTCCCTGTATAGATAATTCCCCTGCAGTTTCACTGCTCAATTCACTGTCATTTAGGAGTTAATTCACTTTGTTTGTTTATGCAGCCCTAGCCACTCCTCCCCTGGCTATGATTGACAGAGCCTGCATGAAAAAAAATGGTTTCACTTTCAAACAGATGTAATTTACCTTAAATAATTGTATCTCAATCTCTAAATTGAACTTTAATCATATACAGGAGGATCTTGCAGGGTCTAGCAAGCTATTAACATAGCAGGGGATAAGAACATCTTAATTAAACAGAACTTGCAATAAAGAAAGCCTAAATAGGGCTCTCTTTACAGGAAGTGTTTATGGAAGGCTGTGCAAGTCACATGCAGGGAGGTGTGACTAGGGTTCATAAACAAAGGTATTTAACTCCTACATGGCAGAGGATTGAGCAGTGAGGCTGCAGGGACATGTTCTATACACCAAAACTGCTTCATTAAGCTAAAGTTGTTCAGGTGACTATAGTGTCCCTTTAAACAAATTGGGGTCAGTTTTAGGCTAATGTAATAATTTCAACAGGAACAGCTGTCTATGAGTCAGCATTCAACATGATGCAAGTTAAAACTAAAATAAACATATTTTTAATATATTAATATACAGTTTATATCTTAAAACATACAGTGCTATAGATTAAACTCTGAAATGCAATGTTGTTTTTTTGTGTGTTTATTCTGAAATGTAATGAAGTGAAATTTGAATGATGAAATTAATCCTAAAATATCCATATGGTGACTAAAGCAGGCGTCCAGAATATTTTAAAAATCAACTACTTTAGCCTCAATTTTGCTACTGGGATTTATTTAATTCACTACAATATGAAGTTTAGTGAATGAGTGTTTTGGTTGCTGGGAAAGCAAATACTGGACTTAAGAAAAATATTTTAAAAATATTATACTGTATAATATTTGGTCTGCCAGAGCTTGGTTTCATTCACAGTAATGTGCACAGAGTATGTTTGAGCAGACTACAGAGGTAATGAATTAGGTGACATTTTTGCATTGCAGTAACACGTTGGGTGACGGTTGGTAATTTTATCTCTCCATGGACAGTTCCACTGATGTAAGCGTTTACTCGGTAGTACTTGATGCACTTACAAAGGAGAGAGCAGATGATCTCATATGATATATATATATATATACACACACGCATATGTAATCTAACACCTGGTTATAGCAAGCCTGCTGTATTACTCTCGAGGGACAGATGATTTGATGGAATTTATTATGCAGAAGATAACACTTTTTGTCTTAAAGGAACGCTCCAGTTTTAAAAATAATTGCATTTATTTATAAGGCTGGAGTGGTGTATGGGCTATTTGGATTACTGCCCCCCCTCTAGCCGCATTGAAAAGCATTCTCATAGATAAGCATTGGGAGGCAGAACCCATGCGCAACAAGTGCCACACTTCTCATAGAAAACGTTTTTCATCTGCTTTGAGGAAGGACTCATGGTTTGTCAGTAAGTGCACCCT